AAGTGAGCCAACTGTCAGAGGCCCAGAAAGGTGCAATGAAAAAGCAAGTACCCAAGAGGTACAACCAGATGCCCATACCTGAAGCACTCAAAACTGCCAAACAAAGGCTCCAAAAGAGGTACATACGATATAACGAAGCCAGACGAATAAACCAGCTGTTCGCAACACAACCGGCGAAAGTGTACGCTCAGTGGCAGGGTAATAACACTAGAGCAGACCTACCAAGGCTGGAGACTGAGAGGTATTGGAAAGGCATATGGGAAAGGGAGGCATCACATAACACTGATGCACAGTGGCTGGTGGATCTGAGAGAAGACCACAGCAACCTCCCTGAACAGAATCCAGTCACCATCACAGTGGCAGACATCCAGGAAAGAGTCTCAGGTATGAAAAACTGGACCGCACCAGGCCCTGACATGATCCACGCATACTGGCTAAAGAAGCTCACTGCCCTCCACGAGCGCCTGGCAGCACAAATGAACCAGCTGCTAAGGCTCACCCTGAATGGCTACCCCAAGGGCGTACGATCCTGATCCTGAAGGATCCTTCAAAGGGTGCAGTCCCATCCAACTATTGGCCAATAACCTGTCTCTCCACAACATGGAAGCTCATGTCAGGCATCATCGCGGCTAAGATAAGTGGGCACATGGATCAGTACATGAGCGCAGCACAAAAGGGCATCGGCAAAAACACCAGGGGAGACAAGCGGGGCCACCATCAGTCACCTCCTCTACATGGATGACATCAAGCTGTACACTAAAAGCGAGCTAGACATCGACTCACTGATCCACACCACAAGGATCTACAGCACAGACACTGGGATGTCATTCGGGCTTGAGAAATGTAGCAGGATGGTGACAAAGAGAGGGAAGGTAGTCCACACAGAGGGGGTCTCACTCCCAGAGGAAACAATAGCTGTTGAGGACAGTTACAAGTACCTTGGTATCCCACAAGCAAATGGCAACCTCGAAGAGGCAACAAGGAAAGTGGCTATGGCCAAATACCTGCAAAGAGTGAGGCAAGTCCTAAGAAGCCAGCTCAATGGCAAGAACAAGGTGCAGGCAATCAACAGCTACGCCCTGCCAGTGATCAAATACCCTGCAGGAATCGTAAGCTGGCCAAACGAGGAGATACAGACCACAGATGTTAAGACACGAAAGCTCCTGACCATGCATGGAGGGTTCCATCCCAAATCCAGCACCCTGAGACTGTACACAAGCCGGAAGGTAGGAGGCCGAGGACTAGTGAGTGTGGGAACCACTGTCCAGGATGAAACATCCAAGCTCCTTGAGTACATCAAGGACAAGGCCCCGGCAGATGAGGTGCTCAGAGAATGTCTCAGACAGTGGGGTCCAGAGGAAGAGGTGCTGGAGGGACCATCATGGCAGGACAAACCCCTACATGGGGCGTACCACCGGAACATAACTGAAGTGAAATCAAGAAATCCTACCAATGGCTTGAGAGTGCTGATCTGAAGGACAGCACAGAGGCACTGATCCTGGCTGCTCAGGAGCAGGCCTTGGGCACTCGAGCAATAGAGGTCCAGATCTACCACACCAGACTGTGCAGTCCGGTGTAGACTGTGCAAAGAGGCTCCTGAGACAGTCCAGCACATAACTGCAGGGTGTAAGATGCTGGCAGGGAAAGCATACATGGAGCGACATAACCAAGTGGCGGGCATAGTGTACAGAAACATCTGTGCAGAGTAACTGGAGACCCCAGGATCAAGGTGGGAAACACCTCCAAAGGTTGTGGAGAACGACCAAGCCAAGATCCTGTGGGACTTCCAGATACAGACTGACAAGATGTAGATGGCGAACCAACCAAACATAGTGGTGGTGGATAAGAAACAGAGCCATGGTGGTGGACATCGCAATACCAAGCGATGGTAATATCAGGAAAAAGGAACACGAGAAACTAAAGAAATCCCCAGGGGCTCAAGGAGGAGCTGGAGAGAGCCTGGAAAGTAAAGGCATCAGTGGTGCCTGTGGTGATCACTCGGGGCTGTAACCCCCAAACTGGAAGAGTGGCTACAACAGATACCGGGAAAAACAATGGACATCTCAGTCCAGAAAAGTGCAGTACTGGGAACAGCAAAGATACTGCACAGAACTCTCAGGCTCCCAAGCCTTTGGTAGAGGACCCGAGCTGAATGAGGGTGAGAGAGACCTACCACCGTGGAAGGTGAGAAACACATTTTATATATATATATATATATATAAATTGGAAATGTTCCTGTTAAAAACAGAGCACTTCTGGATTCACAAATTTATAATACTAGCTGTTTTGTGATATGGTCAAAATATTTTTGCATTTAATAGTTATAATAGTTATAAATTTAATAATAATCAGTTGAGTTCTCGCAATAAAGTGACATCTTGTAAACTATTCGTCCATTCCTTACCGAAGACGCTACAGAATGTTTTGTTTTTTTAATGTAACTATCTAAACTGTTTTCTTTTTTTTCTTGTTGTAGAGTGAGTTGAACTCACTGGGTGACCTCACTTTAGGATCTCCCATTCGTTGGAGGCGTATATGAGCACCTGGGCTGGCAACCATTTTGTATACTGAGCCAAAGCAAGAAAAATAAATGACTATGGCTTTTTTTTTTTTTTTTTCCCCCAAAATATTATTTATTAAAAAAAAAAAAAAAAACATCAACTATTTCAGTGTACTACGACGGAGTATAAGGGTCAGATTAAAAAAAAATAAAAATGCTGGCGCTACGAGAATAAAGTCGTGATTTTACGAGAATAAAGTCATATTTTTACGAGAATAAAGTCGTAATTTTATGAGAATAAAGTCATATTTTTATGAGAATAAAGTCGTAATTTTATGAGAATAAAGTCATAATTTTACGAGAATAAAGTCGTAATTTTATGAGAATAAAGTCGTAATCAAAATAAAGTCATAATATTATGAGAATATTGGCTGCTCGGAAAGTCTGAACGAGTGGAGAATGGAGAATTTGGAGCATTTTGTAAAAGGAGAAGAATCCGTGTATCATTCGTTCATTCGACTGAACAAGGACTGAATCAGGACTAAATCAGGTCCGGAACCAAACCAGAAAGACCAGGATTGAGACCGGGACCAGACCAGGACTGAAAACGGTTTAGTCCTAGTTTAGTCCTGGTTTAAGTCACGGAAATGGGAAATGGCATTTCTGTGACTTTAAAATGCGATGTGGGACTATTGCGCCGCATACGGACTGAACCAAGACTGAACCAGGACTGAATCGGGACTAAACCTTTTTCAGTCCTGGTCTGGTCCCGCTTTCAGTCCCAGTCTCTGTCCTGGTCCTGTTCCCGGTCTCAATCCTGGTCTCAGTTCTTGTCTGATCCCGGTCTCAGTCTTGGTCCCTGACTCAGTCCTTTTCTAAGTCCTGGTCTCAGTCCCAGTCTGGTCTCAGACCTCGTTTAGTCCTGGTTTAGTCCTGGTTAGTTTTCTTATTTTTGGTTTTATATTGAAAAACAAGGTTCTTCTTCTGCCGCATTTTTCACTTTGACTTTGATTTTATTACGACTTCATTCATGTAATATTATAACTTTATTCTCATAATATTACGACTTTATTTTAACTTCGACTTTATTCTCTCAAAATTACGACTTTATTCCTGTAAACTTATGACTTTATTCTCTCAAAATTACGACTTTATTCCTGTAAACTTATGACTTTATTCTCGTAAAATTGCGACTTTTTCTGGCTTCGACTTTATTCTCATCATATTATAACTTTAATGTCGAAATGTTACGACTTTATTCTCGTAGCGCCAGCATGTTTTTTTTTTTATCTGACCCTTATACTCCGTCGTACCATATAAAGGCACATTGTACTGAGCTTTATACGGACAAGTACAGCTAGGCCATTTTTTATTTCATTTTGTTTGTATTTTTTTTTTTTTGTGTTAAATTTTTTTTCCACCGTCTCCACTAAAAATGTTTGCAAAGTACAGAAATTGGTCAAAACTAAAAAGATTGTATTCAGAGATCATATTTATGTAATTTATAAAATACTAGATATAATAATAAATAAAATATATAATATTTTAGGAATGAGATAAAACAAACTATTGCATTAAATATGCAGCCCCAACATTTACTTTGACGTTACTAATTTCAAAGCAAAGACTTTTGTCTTTGTGACTGCACTGAGCAGGTTTTCCTGCATTTTCAATGCAATTTCCAGAGCAAGAAAGTGGGAAAAAAACAACAAATTTATTTGAACTTAAAATTTTATAAATAAAATTAATACATCTTTTGACCAGTCCTATACAAATTGTCATTAATATTTTAGATCACTGTATGAGATTGCATATAGACATTTTTATAATTAATTAGTATGTTTACCCATATCAGCATTCATTACGCACACTGTTGACAATGTTATCTTTTTTTGAAAAAGTAATGATGCTTATAAAGCCCACAGTATTAATACAGGAAGTGTGCCTTTCTGCTGCACAGCTGATAAAAGTCATTTTGAATTTTACATTCAAAATATGATAACAAATGATACCAGTGATAACAACATTGCTCTGCTCAGACTGTCCTCACCAGTCACTTTCACAGATTACATCAGACCAGCTACCAGCCCTGGATCTACTCTCATATCAGCTCAGATAAGCCTGGCTTCGTCCACTTTGGGAACCAGATCCTGACACTAGTGGTACTTGTCCTGGTCTTCCTTTACAAATAAGTCCATCTCATTAGTGGTCAATGTGAGCACGTAAAACTGTCCGCTCTGACATCCATGTCTTCACCACAACTTCGACTTTCGCTTCATTCATAAAGGAAACTGTGGGAGACATGCCATCTCCTGCTGCAGTGAATACAACAGCTTCGGGGGGAAACTCAGCTGGAGTGTCTGTTTTGTTGCTTATTGTTACCTCCATATTACTGTCTTTGTAAATCCACTCCACATTGCTGTATTGCTACATTAAACTTAAACATATAAACATTAAACATATCTCTGTGTTAACTGTTCAAAGATGTGATACTGTGTCATTAGTTTGCAAATGTTTTATTTCCAGTCACATGCATATAGATTTTCAGCTTTTTCATAGCTCACTTAAGCTTAAATTAAAATCAATAGTGCATTTTGCACCATATAATTTCCCAATATTTATGTTTGTTAGTTTATAAGGACCTTGCAGGAGCATAAAACATTAAAGAGATCCTTTGCACCATAGCTCTCAGAGCTAATTTCCATCTGCAAACCCTGAGACATATAAAATCATAGCATGTGTTTTACTAGGTTATTTAAATGTATAACTGCACAAGTATTTTATTTGCAAAGGAATATTAGGCTACATAGGTTAGTTTTGTTGTAAACATAATAAAAAAGTTAATATACATTTGAATAAATCTGAATTAATTACAGTCCTATTATTGAATATTGTTTATATGTTAGGCTATATTTTATGTTAAGCTGCTGGTTCTTCTGGAGCACCATCGAGAGCCTCTTCCTGCCCTTGAGTCTCATCAGCAATCATCTGTTGGTATTTACTCTTGAAAAATCCAGCCTGTAGAATACATGCAGACAGTGTTGGGCCGAGTAATAGTGTTATTTTCATAATGGCTCCACAGCATGATCTACCTTGTATAAGCCAGCGGTCAGTAACAGCACCAGCACCACTGCTCCCACAGATCCTCCAATGATTTCTTTGGTGAAGTCCACTTCCGTATAGACTTCTACTTCTGCTTCAATCTGTGGAGACATACTTAGTACACATGAATGGAATTTATTGACAAAAATATTATTGCACACTTAAGAAATATTAGCAGATCAGTTCTAGAGGCTGACACCAAAACCCAGTGGGCTAGTCTGCAGTTTGTTAGGAGGACAAATGTTTCAAACTGATTAAAAAGTCATAACACATCTACATAGTTTATTCAAATTCTAATATATATTTGTGGCTCACATTTATTCTTAAAATAGCTGGTAACGATTGTGATTTACTTCATCTCAATTCTTATATTTTAACAAAAGATGGCACTGTACCTTGACGGGTTTGTTCTCTGCAAAATAGAAAATAAAGCGGTCTGTATCATACTCCAGAATGGCTGTGCTGATGAGGAGAAACTTGGCAGACTTTAGTCCAATCTGTGGGAGGCATAAATGTATCATGGCACACTGGCATCTGTCAGGTAATACTGAATGTAAATGTATGTGTTAGACAGTGTCAAGACCTGCTCAATCCATCCTGAGCTGAGGTTAGCAGAGATGATGTAGTCTTTACTCTCCATTTGCCCCATGAAGCGAGTACACCTGAAAACCCTGCATTTGGCCACACTGCAGTTCTGTTTGGGTTGATAAAAATAAACACAAATGACAAGATTTCTAATTTTAGTGTTGTCATATTGATTGTGACAGTATTGAAATTGATACTTACCACAAATTTGCTCTCCTGTATTTGTGCAACAAAATCTGTCACCGTTGGCTCTTCATCCTTGTCTTTTTGACAGTCTGGAATCTTGAAAAAAATATTAAAATCCTTTTCAAGCACAGTACAATTAAAAATGAAAGAATGTATGTATTTCCACAAAAAAAAAAAAAAAATCAAATGCTTATAATTGTTTCATTAGATGAACGAATTCAATAGATAACCCATTACATGACCCTAATATTGTATCAGTAAAGTGATGTTGTAATTACTTAGTTGTCCAGGAGAGGTCCTAGGACCACTGAGAGACAACCTTTTCTACCTTATAAAACTAGTGAATTTCCTTGTCTCCTTTTACCTGCAAAGAGTCAGAGTCTACCCAGATGTCCCTCTTGCCAAGCTTTACTGGAACACGGATCACCACAGAGAAATTCAATGTTCTGATCTCATTTGTAACCTGCAAAAAGAGTATTTAATATTATGAAAAGACATTCACCTATATCACAATCCATTGTACTTTACCTTTATTGACTGATTGACTGGCTTCTGAAGATCATTTTTACCAAACGTAAAATTGGTGTAGCTGTGTGAACTGAAGAGATTTTATGTGAGCAAAAACTCTGAACAATAATTAGGGATGCACAGATCCAGCTCAGTTTCGATACTGAAATCGATACTTTGACGTTACATGTCTGTCGATATCCTATATTAGCTGACACCAGTGTAGGGACGGAAAATGTTACTTGTTTCCTTAAAACACAGTTAACTTATTGCAAAAGAGATCCAACTGTGTTATGTAACTGTCAAATAACTACTGAAGAACTTAATAACAATAAAAGCATTAACATTCTGAGATGTTGTAGGCCAAAATCAGTCTGTAAATAGTCTTATTACAATAAAAAAAAAAAAAAAGGCCCAACTAGAACACCGGTTTAACCGAAATGATTCAACTGATACCGAATCCAGCAAAATTTTCAGTATCGTCACTGATACTGCACCATCCCAGTATCCATATCAGTGCATCGCTAACAATAATATAGACCTTTTTTGCTAAATGTACCTTCCGATTGTCACTGAAATGCTGTATTTAACATCAATCTCTCTCTTTTTGTATCGCTGGGACAATTGGGATGACTGTACATTGCCACTAAAAAAAAACAAAAAACAAATGATGAGTGCTTATATAGTTTTGTTCAAGTTGATACTACAGTGAATGGCACCTGGTTGCATTTGCAGTGATAAGAATCCTCCTGTCGAGTTGGCTGTTGGTGTTGAAGCCATATGAGACAACAAAAAACCGCCTACAACAATACCAAAGGCAATTGATGGTGCATGCTACACAAGAGAGGGTTTATGAAAAAATAAACCACAAACCTTTGCATTGCTCTTAAAGATAGGCTTATCAATAAAGCATTCGGTCCGTCCTCGTATCAAACTGTCCTTACTGTCCACTGAGTTACAGTCAATTCTCCCCTTAAAGAAATATAACATGGAATAAGAAAGTAGTTGGCAATCAGTGATGATCTGGCAAACTTCTTACTCGAAGTCCAGTGAACTTGCGGTAGGAAAGTCCCGAAGGATATGTCAGGATGACTCTTGTATCATAGGAATTTTTTCTTCTATATTTTTTCTAATGACACTGTCACATTGAGCAAATCATCAATGCCAATTCGGACTACAGAAGATCTGTAAAGTCAAAATGGTGATTAAGTAGCTTAAAGAGTAACATTCTGTGAAAAACTATCACATAAAAACTGTATACCTGGTGAAGTTAAAGTCCACTATGAGTCTGTCAATACACGTGTCATCCACCCCACAGTTGATCTCAAACCCCAACTAAAATGAAAATATTTGGATTAAATATATGTTTATTTATTATTTATTATTTATTATTTATTAATATATCATCTCCCTATCCACCTACATCTTTGTTGACTTTTGTGGGGGACTGTTCAGAGAGACTTGGTTTGAGGTTTTGGGGGGAAGCCAAGCTTTCAAATGTGAACTGCAACTCATTGTAAAGAGGACTGAGAGCATCTTCAGGACACGACTGTAAGTAAAGTGTACTGGACATTAATAAAAACAATACACATTAAAATTTAAGCATATAAATCAACATTTGTAACCTGTATAAAGAATCTGATAATAACACATTCAGGACGGTTCAGTGTAATGGTGAGACTTCCGGTTGCGTCTGGTTGTTTCTCCTTGACGAATGCCCGGTTATTTGGGACAATGCGTGTGGCATCCAAAGTAAAAGTATAATTGATTCTTGCCTGAGCTGAAAAACCACGTATATTCAGTAAATATTCAGTAAATACTGAAAAGAGAATGACTGAAACTTTAATAAGGACCTTGATCTAGTGAAGTGATTTTGGACATAGTGAAGCAGACAGTAGCAGAAGCATCTAGAGGTTTTGAGCAGTCGGGATTCTGAGTTGGGATCAGTTGTGGCATGAAGGAAATTGTAGCATCTACTTTTACAATTGGTTTGGACCTGGGACAGAGTAAATAAAGAAAAATGGTTAATATAACCAAATATGTAGATCAATATAAGGGATGTCACATGGATGAAGCAAATAATAGCAATGAGCATAAATGATAAAAGCCTAATATTAAAGCAAGAAAAATTACTACATGACAGAAATATATATTTTATTGTACATTCAGGTGACCTTTTGGATCCAAGGGGAATTTAAAAGACTGAAAACTATTTTGACAGATAATATAAAAGACAAAGTATTATTTTTTGGGAATTGTGACCTGACTAGATAACCTAGTTTAGGTCTAGATCCAGTTCTCAACCTCATATCTTCACCATTCACTCTTATTTGAACAGTATATTACACAGGAAGTGGTTGCACTTACCTGAGAAGGAGAACAGTCCCTTTGGAACCCACCATCAAGTCTGGCAGACCATCACCACTTTGGTCCAATGATGTTGGACTGATGGACATGCCGAAGAAAGTCAAACCGGACTTTACTTCAGACGCAGTAATTCTCTAGAAAAAAAGAAAATACTGTTGACATGGTTTTACTGTTCTACAATTTGTTTCTTTTTGACAATAGAGTCAGAAGCCCTGTATGACAAGTGTACCAACGAGGCCAGTTACGTCGCCCGGATTGGCGTCACCGGGGCCCCACCCTGGAGCCAGGCCTGGGGTGGGCGCTTGCCAACGAGCGCCTGGTGGCCGGGCCTTCCCTCACGGGGCCCGGCCAGGCTCAGCCCGAAGGAGTGATGTGGGGCCGTCCTCACGTGGGCCCACCACCCGCGGGAGGATCCATATGGGGCCGGTGCAGAGAGATCTGGGCGGCAGTCGACGGCGGGGGCCTCGGCGACCGGATCTCCGGACATGGAGACTAGCTCTGGGGACATGGAATGTCACCTCGCTGGGGGGGAAGGAGCCTGAGCTTGTGCGGGAGGTTGAGCGTTACCAACTAGATATAGTCGGCCTCACCTCCACGCACAGTTTGGGCTCTGGAACCCAACTCCTTGAGAGGGGCTGGACTCTCCATTTCTCTGGCGTTGGCCGCGTTGAGCGGCAGCGGGCTGGTGTGGGCCTGCTCATTGCCGCACAGCTCAGCCGCTGTGTGTTGGAGTTCACCCCGGTGAACGAGAGGGTCACGTCCCTGCGCCTTCGGGTCGGGGACAGGTCTCTCACTGTGGTGTCAGCCTACGGGCCGAACAGCAGTGCAGAGTACCCGGCCTTCTTGGAGTCCTTGGGAGGGGTACTAGACAGTGCACCGACCGGGGACTCCGTTGTTCTACTGGGGGACTTCAACACCCACGTGGGCAATGACAGTGACACTTGGAGAGGGGTGATTGGGAGGAACGGCCTCCCCAATCTGAACCCGAGCGGTGTTTTGTTATTGGACTTCTGTGCTAGTCACAGTTTGTCCATAACAAACACCATGTTCGAGCACAAGGGTGTCCATAAGTGCACGTGGCACCAGGACACCCTAGGCCGGAGGTCGATGATCGACTTTGTAGTCGTGTCATCTGATCTCCGGCCGCGTGTCTTGGACACTCGGGTGAAGAGAGGGGCTGAAATGTCAACTGATCACCACCTGGTTGTGAGTTGGGTTCGCTGGCGGAGGAGGAAGCCGGAAAGACCTGGCAGGCCCAAGTGTGTAGTGAGGGTCTGTTGGGAACGTCTGGCGGAGCCCTCTGTCAGAGGGACTTTCAACTCGCACTTCCGGGAGGACTTCTCCCGGATTCCGGGGGAGGCTGGAGATATGGAGTCCGAGTGGGCTTCATTCTCTGCCTCTATTGTCGATGCGGCTGCTCGGAGCTGTGGGCGTAAGGTCTGTGGTGCCTGTTGCGGCGGCAATCCCCGAACCCAGTGGTGGACACCGGAAGTAAGGGATGCTGTCAAGCTGAAGAAGGAGTCCTATCGGGCCTTGCTGGCTCGTGGGACTCCTGAGGCAGCTGACGGGTACCGGCGGACCAAGTGTGCTGACGCCCGTGCGGTTGCGGAGGCAAAAACTCGGAGCTGGGAGGAGTTTGGGGAGGCCATGGAGGAGGACTATCGGACGGCCTCAAAGAGGTTCTGGCAAACCGTCCGGCGCCTCAGGAGGGGGAAGCAGTTCTCCAACACTGTTTACAGTGCGGGGAGAGAGCTGTTGACCTCAACTGGGGACGTTGTCCGGCGGTGGAAGGAATACTTTGAGGATCTCCTCAATCCCACCGTCACGTCTTCCGAGGAGGAAGCCGAGGCTGGGGACTTGGAGACGGACTCATCCATCACCCTGGCCGAAGTCACTGAGGTGGTTGGAAAGCTCCTTGGTGGCAAGGCTCCGGGGTTTGATGAGATCCGTCCTGAGTACCTTAAGTCTCTGGATGTTGTGGGGCTGTCTTGGCTGACACGCCTCTTCAACATCGCGTTGCGGTCGGGGACAGTACCTCTGGACTGGCAAACCGGGGTGGTGGTCCCTCTGTATAAGAAGGTAGACCGGAGGGTGTGTTCCAACTATAGGGGGATCACACTCCTCAGTCTTCCCGGTAAGGTCTATGCCAGGGTACTGGAGAGGAGAATCCGGCTGATAGTCGAACCTCGGATCCAAGAGGAGCAGTGTGGTTTTCGTCCTGGCCGTGGAACACTGGACCAGCTCTACACTCTCCATAGGGTGCTCGAGGGTTCATGGGAGTTTGCCCAACCAGTCCACATGTGCTTTGTGGATCTGGAGAAGGCATTCGACCGTGTCCCTCGTGGTGTCCTGTGGGGGGTGCTCTGGGAGTATGGGGTCCGGGGCCCTTTGCTAAGGGCTGTCCGGTCTCTGTACGACCAGAGCAGGAGCTGTGTTCGCATTGCCGGCAGTAAGTCAGACCTGTTCCTGGTGCATGTTGGACTCCGCCAGGGCTGCCCTTTGTCACCGGTTCTGTTCATTGTATTTATAGACAGAATTTCTAGGCGCAGTCAGGGGCCGGAGGGGGTCCGGTTTGGGGACCACAGGATTTCATCTCTGCTGTTTGCAGACGATGTTGTCCTGTTGGCTTCATCGAACCAGGACCTGCAATGTGCACTGGGGCGGTTTGCAGCCGAGTGTGAAGCGGTTGGGATGAGGATCAGCTCTTCTAAGTCCGAGGCCATGGTTCTCGACCGGCAAAAGGTGGCTTGCCCTCTCCGGGTGGGTGGAGAGTCCCTGCCTCAAGTGGAGGAGTTCAAGTATCTCGGGGTCTTGTTCACGAGTGAGGGGAGGACGGAACGTGAGATTGACAGGCGGATTGGTGCAGCTTCGGCAGTGATGCGGTCGCTGTATCGGACCGTTGTGGTGAAGCTTTACCGGTCAGTCTTCGTTCCTACTCTCACCTATGGTCATGAGCTCTGGATAGTGACCGAAAGGACAAGATCGCAAATACAAGCGCTCAAAATGAGTTTCCTCCGCAGGGTGGCTGGGCGCTCCCTTAGAGATAGGGTGAGGAGCTCAGTCACACGGGAGAAGCTCGGAGTAGAGCCGCTGCTCCTCCACGTCGAGAGGAGCCAGTTGAGGTGGCTGGAGGGACTATGTCTCTCGGCTGGCCTGGGAACGTCTTGGGATTCCCCCGGAGGAGCTGGAGGACGTGTCTGGAGTGAGGGAAGTCTGGGAGTCCCTGCTTAGGCTGCTGCCCCCGTGACCCGGCCCCGGATAAGCAGAAGAAAATGGAAGGATGGATGGATGGTTTTACTGTTCTACTATTTGTTTCTTTTTGACAATAGAGTTTTATACAAAATAAAACTCTAATTGTCAATGTATATATGTCATATATATATAAATACTTGTTTACAAATAAATCACAGACTTATAAAGAAACTATTACATTCTAACTACTATTATATTATGATAAAACTATTACATTCAGATTGCCCTAGCAGTATATTCACTACATCCCAGTGAGTGGGATGGAGGTGGGAGTGGGAGGAAATGTGCAAACCAATAATAATAATAGACTGAAAGACTGGATGGAAAGCACCACATTTTAAAAGAGATGATATAATGGTACTAAAGGCTGTTTAGTCAAAGAAATCTTGGATTTCGCTTACCTGTGAATAGGTGGGATTAATCCTCCTAAACCCAGAGCCATGGTAAATATAAATAGTGCCTTGACCACCATTCTCCAAAGGGGCTCCCACAGCTAAATCAGCCAGTTTATCCGAGTTCAGATCTGGTAGTACAGCAAGAGATGACCCAAACCTTCCTTTTTCTGGTACCCCCCTCAGGATTAACGGAGAATCAAAGTGACAATCCACACGCTAATAGAAAAATATTTACTTAATTAATTAATTATACTCTACTTAAAAAAGAATAGATAAGATATTACCGAATCAGTAACGTCACAAACATAGACTCTTCCTTCCCTGTCTTTCTCTCTATACATTGGTGAAGATATCAGCAGCAGGTCAGTGAAGATGTCACCATTGACATCCATTGTACAAAGCTCTGCCCCAAAATATTCACCACTCTGTTGAAGCTGTATCAATCACAGTGCCAGCAGCAGGTTAGCAGGCGATCATTGGCCTTTATTCAGTCTCAACAGTGACTACACACCTGTCTATCCACTGGATCAATCCTCTGCTGAGTGTAAATGCTATGAATATACATTACAATGCCTCTGTGTTGATACCGTGGTGCACCAACAGCTGTAAATGTCCCAGCCACAGTATTTGCAATAGCTATGGAATAACCTGCAACACAATGTGTCAAAACATAGCAGAAATGAAACACATTTGCTCTTTCAACATTTTAGAAAGACTTGCCAAGGTAACTGTCGTTGTCAATGTTTTTAGGCTCATAGAAACTCGTCATGGCACCAGACTGGGTGTACTTCTGTAATCCTCCTTTCCACTCATTAGCACCAACAGCTGTCATTTGAAATCCCTAAGCAAGATAAAACACTCATATTTAAATATATGTTAAAGTTTTGTATACTCACTAAAAGTGGACTGTTACCCCACTAAAAAAGGCTGCAGCAAAGCCCAACTGGGACATTTCCATTTTCAAAGTCTCCCCACCTGTTTGAGTTCCTAAATAAAATGTATTTATAGTTCAAATCTAACACTAAAAATCAAATGAACAAAGTTTTGACCATGAAAAGCATTTAATATACAGTTACCTTCAATAGAGAAGATTTTTTCCTGCAGAGTCTGTCTTATTTTATCAAGAGCATCAAATCCTTCAACTTGAAAGACATGGTCTTTAGATGATGCAATAGTTATAAGCTCATCCTTTGCTTTAGGTTTATTAAATGAATTCCCAACCTACAAGTTTTGACAAAGTGAGATGATGAATAAAACAAAATGTATTTGATTTGAAGTCAAGCTTCATATCTTACCCCAATGGCAAATCTAATAATATTTTTTCTGTTTGCTGCCGCACTAGCTCCTCGTAAGTAAAATCTGTCATTGGACTCTCCATCAGTAATGACAATCAATACATTATTTGCATTTGGTCTATTACCACTTGATGATGTGAAGACTTCATTTCTGAAAGAATTTTATTAGAATTCATATTTGTACAATCATTATAATTTATAATGCAGCAGAAACTGGCATCAGCCACAGTTACTTACACAACTTTCTCTATTGCTCTAGCTGTATAAGTGCCTCCTCCCAGTTGTTGTATATTATTTATTTGTGACTGCCAAGACCCTCTGACTTGAAAATTGTTGAAATAATAACTAATTTCAGGGGAAGTGGAAAATTGTATAATGGCAAACTGAAAAAAATAAATACATTAATTAATTACACTAATGTATGTATGTATAACAAAATCAATAAATATTATTATAATTTTGTCCAAACAGTGTTCATGTTTCAGAAGTTGATGACATTTCAAATGTCCCCCCACCAGCTCAGTTTTAAACTAAGGGCATTCTAAAATGTTTTCATGTCACTTGAACACAACCAGATCTGTAATAATGATTTATCCCACCTTCGAATCTTTACCGAGAAATGAGGTGATCACGTTGATGACAAATCTCTTCATTTTTGAGAAATCTGCTGGATGTACACTGCCTGAACCATCTAAAAGAAATGCGATGTCGGCTGGTTGGCTCGGGCAATCTGTTAAAAAAAAAAAAGAGAGAGATTACTTAATAAGTCATATCCTGTACAATCTATAGTCATACCTGAATAATCATGTGCATATAGAGCTCAACACTCTCGCCCACTTTGAAATTTGCACTGGTTTCCGGAAGTACATTTTCCATTCATTTCATCAAGACTTCAAAGAGGCTTTGTAGTAATGAACTAAAATCCATAGTATGTTTGTTTTAAGTCCAAAAAGCATGTCTAAAACGCAAAATTCTGCTAAATGATTTAATAACTTTTAGTGGTTTATGAAATTTCAGATTTTTTTTGTTTGTTTTTTTATAAAATGATACGTCTTGTAGTCATTAGTTACAGTATAGCTGATTAGCCTTGAACAAGGTTTCAAACATTTAACATTAATTTCTTTCAAAAGTCTTTGGGAAAAATGAATGGGAGAATTACTTGCAGAATCAGGGGCAGATGGTCACTGTTGATCTCCATAGGGCTATATAATATAAGTCTATGTACCTGCAGTAGACGTAGGTGTGGTTCTTCTTAGATTGTTATTGTGATCAATCTCTAAGCACAGACCGTTGTACATGGTGATGCTCCTGCAATCTTTTGGAATGGTTGGCCCACAAACCTGATAAGAGACATCTTCATCATTAGCGTTCATAATACAATGTTTAAATCGTTATATAGGCTCTCAAACTATAAATGCAATGTGGTGCAACTAAGAGAAAGTAAGTTCAATGCAACAAGTTGAGAAGCTATTGTAACTTCTATGTCACCTGAAAATAACTCAGTAAACCTACATATGACTACATACTGCATTTTTTCATCTTCTACCCTGGGAAAAAGATCTAGTAATCCCAAACAGTATCAGTTTAACAATATTACTCAATTATATAATAAATCCAGAAGAGCATGGCTTTAATAATTTACCAGAGAGTTTTCATTGCTGGGGTTAAATGCCATTGCCAATCCAAGAGAGGAGTTATCTGCATAAGGTGGCACTGTGTAAAATGTGGAGATAGTATTAAAGAACAGCTTAGATCATTGTGAAGAGTAAAATGTGATCAAATAATTGGTTCACATACATTCAAGCTGGATTTTGCTGCAGCTCATGCTTGTAGGTGAACACTTATAAATCTGTCCTCTTCTTTGTTGTGAATACTGCTCAAGAGGAGCACTGACCAGCAAGCTGTGAAGACACATGTATAAAACAGACACATTCTCAAATATTTCTTTTAACACACGTGCATTACTCTCACTTACCCTTTTTTTTTTTGAATCACCTTGTGTCCAAATCCTGCCGCAGGGTAACTGAATGATTTCCAAGATACAGGTTCAATGTTAAAACCACTTATACTCTGTAACACTAGAAAAAAAAAAAAAAAGAATTAAATTTTTAGTCAAATGGATAAATATTTACTGTCTGGTTATCTATTGGTCCAAATTTCAACTTAAATAACAGGGATAAAGGGAAGCAGCCACAGATCATTTGTCTTAGGTAAATAGATTCATGACAGTAATGATAACATTTTTTGATTTTGTAAAACTAATATGCAGATGGGCTTAACAGAAACAAACTATTCTCTCACTGCATTCCTTTGCGCAGGCAGACTGGACGCGGTCCAACGCCGCATTTGCCGCTGAGTGGAGAGCAGAGCAGAGAGAATACAGCAAGGTGCAGAGACACGCAAACAGACCAAGAAGACGGGTGGAAATATCAATTAGTTTATGAATATAAATTAACATCGAAGATTTGCCACAATCATCTGATAATAACATAATGTCCAAGAGACCTAATCATCTTGGAATCAGATCATGACAACAAGAAGCTGTACATTTTGTCAATGAAGCTCTATTCCGCTTTCGGGAAAAGGCGTTTCAGGTTCTGTGAGGTTGAGTTATGACGAGTTTCACGCATCTCACAGATACTGCAAGATACTTGTTCTGTAATCCTAATTCTGCAATGGGACAAAATGCAGAAATGAAACTTTCGCAATTTCTTATTCAACACATAAAATAGCCTAGACATGTTTTTTGATGGTACACTGAAAAAATGGTCTGAGAGGGGTTGCTCAAATTGCAAAAACTTTTCTCTGTCCAGCATGTTTAAATCTTACAAACATCGCTTGATTGTGGCCGATGTGAGACCTGCATGTTTTAATCAGGTTGAGGAAACATGACTTTATTATAATTTCTGGTGAGGCTCCTCCCTCTGGAATTCTCCTCCTCAAAACTTTTGGAGGGAAAATTCAAATGTAACAGGACACAGGACAGTTCCAGGAGCAGAGGACACACAGTGTGGAGCAGGAGGATTATGAGAGCTGATCTGGAGGTAAGACTTTTCAAAGATTGTATGTGCTTCTCTGGCCTAAATGTAGTCATTGTAAAAACATGTTTGTGGTGTTTTATTTGAAATTAGAGTTAATGAAAGGACTGTTTCTATGAAACAAATTATATTTGACTGTCCATCTACAAGAGTGTGACAGTTGTACTAAGATTTGAATGTGTTTGTTCCAGAGTCGTCTACAAACAAAGAGTGATATCCAGAGCTCTGCTGGAGCTGTGGGGAAGTTCATGAATGTTACAGCTGATGTTTCAGAAAAAAGGAAGATGTTTGAGAACCAACAAAACACAGAGCACATATGAACAAAGTAAGTAACTCAACTAAAATGATTTTAAACAAATTTTTTCAAAATATACTTCCTATTGAAACAGTTATCGTGTTTCTACAATGATGTGGCTCTAGGAGGACTTTATACCAGATGCCCTACCTGTTACTGCGTTTAGAGGAAGAAAAGTAGCACATGGTGAGTTTTGTTTCTGCAGATACAGTTCTAGTGTTCTTGTTATTCTGTTCTAGTCCATTATAGGTACTTTAAATGTATTTAAACATGTACAACATCATAACGATATCGTGTTATTCCTATGTCCACAGGCAGAGACCAGAGCGTCTTCACTGGAATAAATCTTCACACTGTCCAGCTCCAAACTGTGTGTCTCTGTACTTTGTGCTCTTTGTATGTTTGATTCTGTTAAGACAATACAGAACTGTGGAAAACTAAAGACTATTTTTGTATTATTTTACAGAATTAGATCAATTTAATTTAATTATACATACTTATACATTTCACAATAAGGTAACATAAGATAAATATGCATATTCAGCATTATTTGATCAAATTTCATCAACATGAAAAAGTGACATTATGTTTTGAGAAAAATATGTGTAGAGGGATCGAAATAAGTTTCAAAGCCTAAACATAATTTTATTGCATGCAGCCGCTTTCCATAACTTTTTTACGCAAATCCAGCAACCTTTTTTTTCAGTGAAAAAGATCTCCCTAAATATGTTGTAGTATAATGTTTTTGCAGATCCAAATTTTCTGTTACATTCTGAGGTCAAAGGTAAAATCTGTGGTAATGGTTGTGATTGATAAATATTAGCGTGCCTTTGACATATGAAGTACAACATCTAAACTTTAAAGTCATGTTTCTCAGCTGTCAGCGCAGTTGCTGCGTTTTTCCTTGGTAGGGCAGTACAGTGACTCAATCGCGCTCCAGTTGAAAAAATAAAAAATCCATCTGGAGCGCGAGCGTCAGCTTCTCGCAAAGGTGGCAACTCTGAGATGTCCTCAGGGGCGCACCGGCGTAGCGTTTTCAAACTACCCCCTTCAAAAATTACCCCCCGGTAATTTGAAACTGGTTAGGGTTAGAATTAGGGGTTAGGGTTAAGGGGGGTAGCTTGAAATCGTTTTCAAATTACCGGGGGGTAATTTGAAACCAGCTCCAAGCTACCCCCCGGTAGTTTGAAACCGGGGGTACTTTGAAACCTTTACACCGGTGCGCTCTTGCGCCGCGCAGCCACGTACGCATAAATGGAATTCTGATTCAATTGTACCCGCGCCGTCAAGAGCGCGTTTCCACTGGACCTCTGCACAGTGATCTTGGACTAGGTCGGTGCTATTGCGCACTAATTTTGTGTCCTGCTGCGCATTTCTTGCTTCTGAAAAAATGACCACTTTTATGTGTGAATGAGAGAGTGCATTTTTTGGTCTATGTTAGCTTAATGCATAAATTAAATGAAATTTCTTTTAAAACATTGTCTATTCTTTAGCGCAATTTAGATTTTGACCTTGTTTCATCAAATTTTTATGTTAAAGAATTGAAAATCAACCTAAATGCAAGGGATTCGATGTACAGACTCACAGTAAATTGTGATTGTGAAGATGTAACTGTATGGCTGTAATTTATTATAACAAATGCCCGATATAAATGAAATGATTAACAAAAAGATCATGGGGCGTGACTAGTTCATGCTAATAATGATTTAATAATGATTTAATATGAAGTAAACTATTAGCAGCAGGTCTTCAGAAGTGAGGCTGAAGTTTGGGTTCTACTATAAAGAAGAAGTCTCAAGTGAGAAGTGTAAAACTCATGTCATGACAAGTCATGCCCAAACAAATTGCTGAATTGGGTTATATATGTTTTTAACTTCACATACTTTCGACAACTCTAATAAAAGTCACCATGACTGAAGAATTGATCAAATTCAACCATTTAATCAAACAGTTTTTGTTTTGTTTTTTCTTCCATTTTCCAGAAACTCATGAAAAACTACTCCCAAAAAAAGTTTGTGCACATGTCTTAAATACTATGGAAACATTTATCTCACAACATGTGTCTGATTTTACATACTATCCACCAATGTGTTGGAGATAAAACTAGCTAGGGTGACCATATTAACCCGGACACCTTACCGGGGTGGAAGGTGGGGCCTCGACATTGAGCTCGCTATATCACGGTTTACCTTTCGCGGTCTCGTCGTTTGCAGATTTTTATTTATTTTTTCCCCTTTTCTTTTTTTTCTGTGTGTCAATTTTGCATGTTTTTATTTTTTAATTTTTTTTAACACACAGGTGGGGGTCAGGACTAAACCAGGTCTAAACAAGGACTAATCTTGGACTTAAGAGAGAAAACACCGAGCAGTTTGTCCGCAAAGCACGATCGGGCAATTGCCGCATTTACGTTCGTGAGGTGCTGAGCTCTCCATCGCTCCTTTCTCCTGCGGTCACCTCCGAGCCCCTCCAGACAGTGAGTCCTGTTTCACTTCTGAGTTAGTCCTGATTTAGTCCTGGTTCAGTCCTGGTTCAGTCCTGTTTTAGTCCTAGTTCAGTCCTGGTTTAGTCCTCCTCTTCAGTCCTGGAATCAGTCCTAGGTTAGTCCCGGGTTAGTCCTGGTTTTGTCTTAGTTCAATCCGTGGAGTAGCGCGAAAGTTATAAATCACGGGTTAACGGGCAGGTGAGGTGTTGTACTGCGGGTCTCCAAAAATGGACCCATGCTGGACTCTGCGCTGTAGGCTCCATTACGGAATAAATGAATCTTGTGTTCGTTACATAAAGACGGAGGGACATAACAAAAGGACGACAGCAGCAATAAGGTTTAAGAAGGGTTGCACCTGTCCTGTGTGAGAAAAGTGTATAAAGTGTGTGGTGAGGGGTTTTACAGCCTTAAAACAGATATAATAATTGTAAAATATAAAGCAGACTACTTCTACTATTTCACCAATCTCGCGAACGTAACCACCGCGATAAACGAGGGAGCACTGTCCCCTCACCTCACAACCTGTGCACATAGACTCACACTTGCCCCGACCGGGATGGAAAACGGAGAATTTCTTGTACAAGTCATTGTTAAATGCGCATTTGTGCTTCAGTATGTTGCAGACTGATCGACTGTTTGTGTCTCGCTCCTTCTGAGTCACAGACGCTACGAGAGACGCTCAGTTTAATGGCCCTAATGACCGGTAATGAAAACCCGGACATTTGCATCACTTAAAAAACAAAACAAAAAAAACAAAAAACGAACGCCCAGGACAGGACGCAAAATACGGACATGTCTAACTGTAAAAAACGGTCACCCTAACTGTAGCCTAATTAGCTAAAAGATAGTATGGGTTGGTCTTAGTGTATGATGCCAATAACATAGCACATAGATAAACATATCCTTAAAACATATTCTTCCTTGTACATCTCAAGGTCAAAAATGTCTTACCTGAAAAAGTGATTATCCAATACATTGTGTTTATCTTTGTAAAATTATAGTTTATAAAAGTAAAAGTTCTACATTACATTTCTGCAGCTCAGACAGTGGAAATAGAGGCAAGGTTTCTGGGTTTTAATGCTGAAGGGGCCAATCTGAGGAACTCTTTTGTAGGTGGAGTTAGCAGACGGGAAACTTGACGTTTGTAGTTTTAGATTTACCAGTTTCACCATATAAAGGCACATTGTACTGAGCTTTATACAGACAAGTACAGCTGGGCCATTTTTTATTTTTAATTTTTTCCCACCGTCTTCACTAAAAATGTTCTGCAAACTACAAAAATTGGTCAAAACTAAAAAGATTGTATTCAGAGATCATATTTATGTAATATATAAAATAATAAATATAATAATAAACAAAATATATAATATTTTAGGAATGAGATAAAACAAATTATTGCATTAAATATGCAGCCCCAACATTTAATTTGACGTTACTAATTTCAAAGCAAAGACTTTTGTCTTTGTGACTGCACTGAGCAGGTTTTCCTGCAATTTTCAATGCAATTTCCAGAGTAAGAAAATGGGAAAAATAAAAAATCCAAACTAATTTATTTGAACTTCAAATTTTATATATAAAATTAGTACATCTTTTGACCAGCCCTATACAAATTGTCATTAATATTTTAGATCACTGTATGAGATTGCATATGGACATTTTTATAATTAATTAGTATGTTTACCCATATCAGCATTCATTGTTGACAATGTTATCTTTTTTGTTGACAATGTTATCTTTTTTGAAAAAGTAATGTTGAGATATATATATATATATATATATATATATATATATATATATATATATATATATATATATATATATATATATATACAGTCCCTGACAAAAGTCTTGTTGCTTATCCATTTTGTAGAAATACTTATTATTTATTATTTTTACATATTTCTACAAAATGGATAAGCGACAAGACTTTTGTCAGGGACTATATATATATATATATATATATATATATATATATATATATATATATATATATATATATATATATATATATATATATATATATATATAATAAACAAATAGTATGTTCCCTTTTCTATTACTTCCTTTTTCAAATACTTCGAAAATAAGGATATATAAAACTATACCTGTATATTTTTAGACAGTAAAGTGTTACACAGCCCACAGTATTAATACAGGAAGTGTGCCTTTCTGCTGCACAGCTGATAAAAGTCATTTTGATACCAGTGATAACAACATTGCTCTGCTCAGACTGTCCTCACCAGTCACTTTCACAGATTACATCAGACCAGCTACCAGCCCTGGATCTACTCCCATATCAGCTCAGATAAGCCTGGCTTCGTCCACTTTGGGAACCAGATCCTGACACTAGTGGTACTTGTCCTGGTCTTCCTTTACAAATAAGTCCATCTCATTAGTGGTCAATGTGAGCACGTAAAACTGTCCGCTCTGACATCCATGTCTTCACCACAACTTCGACTTTCGCTTCATTCATAAAGGAAACTGTGGGAGACATGCCATCTCCTGCTGCAGTGAATACAACAGCTTCGGGGGGGAAACTCAGCTGGAGTGTCTGTTTTGTTGCTTATTGTTACCTCCATATTACTGTCTTTGTAAATCCACTCCACATTGCTGTATCGCTACATTAAACTTAAACATATAAACATTAAACATATCTCTGTGTTAACTGTTCAAAGATCTGATACTGTGTCATTAGTTTGCAAATGTTTTATTTCCAGTCACATGCATATAGATTTTCAGCTTTTTCATAGCTCACTTAAGCTTAAATTAAAATCAATAGTGCATTTTGCACCATATAATTTCCCAATATTTATGTTTGTTAGTTTATAAGGACCTTGCAGGAGCATAAAACATTAAAGAGATCCTTTGCACCATAGCTCTCAGAGCTAATTTCCATCTGCAAACCCTGAGACATATAAAATCATAGCATGTGTTTACTAGGTTATTTAAATGTATAACTGCACAAGTATTTTATTTGCAAAGGAATATTAGGCTACATAGGTTAGTTTTGTTGTAAACATAATAAAAAAGTTAATATACATTTGAATAAATCTGAATTAATTACAGCCCTATTATTGAATATTGTTTATATGTTAGGCTATATTTTATGTTAAGCTGCTGGTTCTTCTGGAGAACCATCGAGAGCCTCTTCCTGCCCTTGAGTCTCATCAGCAATCATCTGTTGGTATTTACTCTTGAAAAATCCAGCCTGTAGAATACATGCAGACAGTGTTGGGCCGAGTAATAGTGTTATTTTCATAATGGCTCCACAGCATGATCTACCTTGTATAAGCCAGCGGTCAGTAACAGCACCAGCACCACTGCTCCCACAGATCCTCCAATGATTTCTTTGGTGAAGTCCACTTCCGTATAGACTTCTACTTCTGCTTCAATCTGTGGAGACATACTTAGTACACATGAATGGAATTTATTTACAAAAATATTACTGTACTCTTTAGAAATATTAGCAGATCAGTTCTAGAGGCTGACACCAAAACCCAGTGGGCTAGTCTGCAGTTTGTTAGGAGGACAAACGTTTCAAACTGATTAAAAAGTCATAACACATCTACATAGTTTATTCAAATTCTAATATATATTTGTGGCTCACATTTATTCTTAAAATAGCTGGTAACGATTGTGAATTACTTCATCTCAATTCTTATATTTTAACAGAAGAGGGCACTGTACCTTGACGGGTTTGTTCTCAGCAGAATAGAAAATAAAGCGGTCTGTATCATACTCCAGAATGGCTGTGCTGATGAGGAGAAACTTGGCAGACTTTAGTCCAATCTGTGGGAGGCAAAAATGTATCATGGCACACTGGCATCTGTCAGGTAATACTGAATGTAAATGTATGTGTTAGACCAGGGGTGGGCAAACTACGGCCCGGGGGCCATATGCGGCCCTTTAAACCTTTTAATCCGGCCCGCCGAACTGGAATAAATTACAATAATAACCTTGTTGATGTTTTATTTTTCATGCATTTCCGGCGTTTCCCAGTAGATGGCGCACTATATATATATATCTGTGTCTGTTAATTTTTGTGTGTTCTGAATCTTTCACGGCAATGTCGTAGCGCTTAGTGCGTTTCCTACATAAGCGTAAATACGAATATAATGTAGCCGAGCTCTTAACATGTCATGTCCTGTGTTCTGTCCGGCCCTTCAGGCAAATTTTAGGACCCTATGTGGCCCGCGAGCCAAAAAGTTTGCCCACCCTTGTGTTAGACAGTGTCAAGACCTGCTCAATCCATCCTGAGCTGAGGTTGGCAGAGATGATGTAGTCTTTACTCTCCATTTGCCCCATGAAGCGAGTACACCTGAAAACCCTGCATTTGGCCACACTGCAGTTCTGTTTGGGTTGATAAAAATAAACACAAATGACAAGATTTCTAATTTTAGTGTTGTCATATTGATTGTGACAGTATTGAAATTGATTCTTACCACCAATTTGTTCTCCTGTATTTGTGCAACAAAATCTGTCACCGTTGGCTCTTCATCCTTGTCTTTTTGACAGTCTGGAATCTTGAAAAAAATATTAAAATCCTTTACAAGCACAGTACAATTGAATGTATGTATTTGCACAAAAAATAAATAAAAAAAATCAAATGCTTATAATTATGTTTATTAGATGAACGAATTCAATAGATAACCCATTACATGACCCTAATATTGTATCAGTAAAGTGATGTTGTAATTACTTAGTTGTCCAGGAGAGGTCCTAGGACCACTGAGAGACAACCTTTTCTACCTTATAAAACTAGTGAATTTCCTTGTCTCCTTTTACCTGCAAAGAGTCAGAGTCTACCCAGATGTCCCTCTTGCCAAGCTTTACTGGAACACGGATCACCACAGAGAAATTCAATGTTCTGATCTCATTTGTAACCTGCAAAAAGAGTATTTAATATTATGAAAAGACATTCACTTATATCACAATCCATTGTACTTTACCTTTATTGACTGATTGACTGGCTTCTGTAGATCATTTTTACCAAACGTAAAATTGGTGTAGCTGTGTGAACTGAAGAGATTTTATGTGAGCAAAAACTCTGAACAATAATTAGGGATGCACAGATCCAGCTCAGTTTCGATACTGAAATCGATACTTTGGCGTTACATGTCTGCCGATATCCTATATTAGCTGACACCAGTGTAGTGACGGAAAATGTTACTTGTTTCCTTAAAACACAGTTAACTTATTACAAAAGAGATCCAACTGTGTTATGTAACTGTCAAATAACTACTGAAGAACTTAATAACAATAAAAGCATTAACATTCTGAGATGTTGTAGGCCAAAATCAGTCTGTAAATAGTCTTATTACAATAAAAAAAAAAAAAGGCCCAACTAGAACACCGGTTTAACTGAAATGATTCAACTGATACCGAATCCAGCAAAATTTTCAGTATCGTCACTGATACTGCACCATCCCAGTATCCATATCAGTGCATCGCTAACAATAATATAGACCTTTTTTGCTAAATGTACCTTCCGATTGTCACTGAAATGCTGTATTTAACATCAATCTCTCTCTTTTTGTATCGCTGGGACAATTGGGATGACTGTACATTGCCACTAAAAAAAAACAAAAAACAAAATGATGAGTGCTTATATAGTTTTGTTCAAGTTGATACTACAGTGAATGGCACCTGGTTGCATTTGCAGTGATAAGAATCCTCCTGTCGAGTTGGCTGTTGGTGTTGAAGCCATATGAGACAACAAAAACCGCCTACAACAATACCAAAGGCAATTGATGGTGCATGCTACACAAGAGAGGGTTTATGAAAAAATAAACCACAAACCTTTGCATTGCTCTTAAAGATAGGCTTATCAATAAAGCATTCGGTCCGTCCTCTTATCAAACTGTCCTTACTGTCCACTGAGTTACAGTCAATTCTCCCCTTAAAGAAATATAACATGGAATAAGAAAGTAGTTGGCAATCAGTGATGATCTGGCAAACTTCTTACTCGAAGTCCAGTGAACTTGCGGTAGGAAAGTCCCGAAGGATATGTCAGGATGACTCTTGTATCATAGGAATTTTCTTCTATATTTTCTAATGACACTGTCACATTGAGCAAATCATCAATGCCTATTCGGACTACAGAAGATCTGTAAAGTCAAAATGGTGATTAAGTAGCTTAAAGAGTAACATTCTGTGAAAAACTATTACATAAAAACTGTATACCTGGTGAAGTTAAAGTCCACTATGAGTCTGTCAATACACGTGTCATCCACCCCACAGTTGATCTCAAACCCCAACTAAAATGAAAATATTTGGATTAAATATATGTTTATTTATTATTTATTATTTATTAATATATCATCTCCCTATCCACCTACATCTTTGTTGACTTTTGTGGGGGACTGTTCAGAGAGACTTGGTTTGAGGTTTTGGGGGGAAGCCAAGCTTTCAAATGTGAACTGCAACTCATTGTAAAGAGGACTGAGAGCATCTTCAGGACATGACTGTAAGTAAAGTGTACTGGACATTAATAAAAACAATACACATTAAAATTTAAGCATATAAATCAACATTTGTAACCTGTATAAAGAATCTGATAATAACACATTCAGGACGGTTCAGTGTAATGGTGAGACTTCCGGTTGCGTCTGGTTGTTTCTCCTTGACGAATGCCCGGTTATTTGGGACAATGCGTGTGGCATCCAAAGTAAAAGTATAATTGATTCTTGCCTGAGCTGAAAAACCACGTATATTCAGTAAATATTCAGTAAATACTGAAAAGAGAATGACTGAAACTTTAACAAGGACCTTGATCTAGTGAAGTGATTTTGGACATAGTGAAGCAGACAGTAGCAGAAGCATCTAGAGGTTTTGAGCAGTCGGGATTCTGAGTTGGGATCAGTTGTGGCATGAAGGAAATTGTAGCATCTACTTTTACAATTGGTTTGGACCTGGGACAGAGTAAATAAAGAAAAATGGTTAATACAACCAAATATGTAGATCAATATAAGGGAATGTCACATGGATGAAGCAAATTAATAGCAATGAGCATAAATGATAAAAGCCTAATATTAAAGCAAGAAAAATTACTACATGACAGAAATATACATTTTATTGTACATTCAGGTGACCTTTTGGATCCAAGGGGAATTTAAAAGACTGAAAACTATTTTGACAGATAATATAAAAGACTAAGTATTATTTTTTGGGAATTGTGACCTGACTAGATAACCTAGTTTAGGTCTAGATCCAGTTCTCAACCTCATATCTTCACCATTCACTCTTATTTGAACAGTATATTACACAGGAAGTGGTTGCACTTACCTGAGAAGGAGAACAGTCCCTTTGGAACCCACCATCAAGTCTGGCAGACCATCACCACTTTGGTCCAATGATGTTGGACTGATGGACATGCCGAAGAAAGTCAAACCAGACTTTACTTCAGACGCAGTAATTCTCTAGAAAAAAAGAAAATACTGTTGACATGGTTTTACTGTTCTACAATTTGTTTCTTTTTGACAATAGAGTTTTATACAAAATAAAACTCTAATTGTCAATGTATATATGTCATATATATATAAATACTTGTTTACAAATAAATCACAGACTTATAAAGAAACTATTACATTCTAACTACTATTATATTATGGTCAAACTATTACATTCAGATTGCCCTAGCAGTATATTCACTACATCCCAGTGAGTGGGATGGAGGTGGGAGTGGGAGGAAATGTGCAAACCAATAATAATAATAGATTGAAAGACTGGATGGAAAGCACCACATTTTAAAAGAGATGATATAATGGCACTAAAGGCTGTTTAGTCAAAGAAATCTTGGATTTCGCTTACCTGTGAATAGGTGGGATTAATCCTCCTAAACCCAGAGCCATGGTAAATATAAATAGTGCCTTGACCACCATTCTCCAAAGGGGCTCCCACAGCTAAATCAGCCAGTTTATCCGAGTTCAGATCTGGTAGTACAGCAAGAGATGACCCAAACCTTCCTTTTTCTGGCACCCCCCTCAGGATTAACGGAGAATCAAAGTGACAATCCACACGCTAATAGAAAAATATTTAATTAATTAATTAATTATACTCTACTTAAAAAAGAATAGATAAGATATTACCGAATCAGTAACGTCACAAACATAGACTCTTCCTTCCCTGTCTTTCTCTCTATACATTGGTGAAGATATCAGCAGCAGGTCAGTGAAGATGTCACCATTGACATCCATTGTACAAAGCTCTGCCCCAAAATATTCACCACTCTGCTGAAGCTATATCAATCACAGTGCCAGCAGCAGGTTAGCAGGTGATCATTGGCCTTTTTTCAGTCTCAACAGTGACTACACACCTGTCTATCCACTGGATCAATCCTCTGCTGAGTGTAAATGCTATGAATATACATTACAATGCCTCTGTGTTGATACCGTGGTGCACCAACAGCTGTAAATGTCCCAGCCACAGTATTTGCAATAGCTATGGAATAACCTGCAACACAATGTGTCAAAACATAGCAGAAATGAAACACATTTGCTCTTTCAACATTTTAGAAAGACTTGCCAAGGTAACTGTCGTTGTCAATGTTTTTAGGCTCATAGAAACTCGTCATGGCACCAGACTGGGTGTACTTCTGTAATCCTCCTTTCCACTCATTAGCACCAACAGCTGTCATTTGAAATCCCTAAGCAAGATAAAACACTCATATTTAAATATATGTTAAAGTTTTGTATACTCACTAAAAGTGGACTGTTACCCCACTAAAAAAGGCTGCAGCAAAGCCCAACTGGGACATTTCCATTTTCAAAGTCTCCCCACCTGTTTGAGTTCCTAAATAAAATGTATTTATAGTTCAAATCTAACACTAAAAATCAAATGAACAAAGTTTTGACCATGAAAAGCATTTAATATACAGTTACCTTCAATAGAGAAGATTTTTTCCTGCAGAGTCTGTCTTATTTTATCAAGAGCATCAAATCCTTCAACTTGAAAGACATGGTCTTTAGATGATGCAATAGTTATAAGCTCATCCTTTGCTGAAGGTTTATTAAATGAATTCCCAACCTACAAGTTTTGACAAAGTGAGATGATGAATAAAACAAAATGTATTTGATTTGAATTCAAGCTTCATATCTTACCCCAATGGCAAATCGAATAATATTTTTTCTGTTTGCTGCCGCACTAGCTCCTGATAAGTCACCTCCATCATTGGACTCTCCATCAGTAATGACAATCAGTACATTATTTGCATTTGGTCGATTACCACTTGATAATGTGAAGACTTCATCTCTGAAATAATTTTATTAAATTTCATATTTGTACAATCATTATAATTTATAATGCAGCAGAAACTGGCATCAGCCACAGTTACTTACACAACTTTCTGTATTGCTGTAGCTGTATAAGTGCCTCCTCTCAGTTGTCGTATATTATTTATTTGTGACTGCCACGACCCTCTGACTTGAAAATTGTTGAAATAATAACTGATATGAAACAAATGTGAAAACTGTATGATGGCAAACTGAAAAAAACAAACAAAAACGTAATCTATATCAATAACCTAATCTATATAATAATAATAACAATACATATATATATATATATATATATATATATATATATATATATATATATATATATATATAATTATTGATGATTAATGATTTATCCCACCCTTGAATCTCTTCCGAGAAATGAGGTGATCACGTTAATGAGAAAGGTCTTCATTTTTGAGAAATCCGCTGGATCTACACTGCCTGAACCATCTAAAAGAAATGCGATGTCGGCTGGTTGGCTCGGGCAATCTGTTAAAAAAAAAAGCTTATTAACAAGTCATATCCTCTACAATCTATAGACATAAGTGAATAATGTGCATGGAGCTCAACAGTTCTTTTGGAAAAATTCAAATATTAAGAAATCAAAGACACTGCGGAGGCTGTTCAGGTATATGGTAACTACAATCTATCACACGGTTGTTTTAAGTCCAAAACGTAAGTTTACAAAAGCAAAATTCTGTGAAATGTTTTAATAACTTAGCGGTTTATAAAGTTTCAAAGACAGATTTTTTGATTATACATCTTGTAGTTATTAGTTATTAGCATATAGCTGATTAGGTTTCAAACTTTTAACATTCATTTCTTTCAAAAGTCTATGGGAAAAATGAATGGGAAATTTACTTGCAGAATCAGGGGCAGTTGGTCACTGTTGATCTCCATAGGGCTATATAATATAAGTCTATGTACCTGCAGTAGACGTAGGCGTGGTTCTTCTGAGATTGTTATTTTGATTAATCTCTAAGCACAGACCGTTGTACATGGTGATGCTCCTGCAATCTTTTGGAATGGTTGGCCCACAAACCTGATAAGAGACATCTTCATCATTAGCGTTCATAATACAATATTTAAATCATTATATAGTTCCCAAAACAGTATTAGTTTAACAATATTACTCAATTACATAATAAATCCAAAAGAGCATGGCTTTAATAATTTACCAGAGAGTTTTCATTGCTGGGGTTAAATGCCATTGCCAATCCAAGAGAGGAGTTATCTGCATAAGGTGGCACTGTGTAAAATGTGGAGATAGTATTAAAGAACAGCTTAGATCATTGTGAAGAGTAAAATGTGATCAAATAATTGGTTCACATACATTCAAGCTGGATTTTGCTGCAGCTCATGCTTGTAGGTGAACACTTATAAATCTGTCCTCTTCTTTGTTGTGAATACTGCTCAAGAGGAGCACTGACCAGCAAGCTGTGAAGACACATGTATAAAACAGACACATTCTCGAGTATTTCTTTTAACACACGTGCATTACTCTCACTTACCCATTTTTTTTTTGAATCACCTTGTGTCCAAATCCTGCCGCAGGGTTACTGAATGATTTCCAAGATACAGGTTCAATGTTAAAACCACTTATACTCTGTAACACTAAAGACAAGTAAAAGTGAATAAAAATATTAGTCAAATGAATAAATATTTACTGTCTGGTTATCTATTGGTCCAAATTTTAAATAACAGGGATAAAGAGAAGCACCCACAGACGGTCTGTCTTAGGTAAATAGATTTACAGGAATTATAATAACAGTGGTGTAAAACTAATATGTAGATGAGCTCATAGAAACAAACTGATCTTTTGAACATAACCCCCCCTCCTTCTGGTTATTGCTTTCCTTTACATTATGAAATTAAACTTAAGTTTGTACCATAGACTGTACATATCTTGCTTTCAAAAATGTCTTACCTGAAAAAATGATTATCAAATACATTGTGCTGATCTCTTTTAAAGTAGTTGATAAAAGTAACAGTTTCACATTACATTTCTGCAGCTCAGACAGTGAAAATGGAAGCAAGATTTCTGGGTTCCACTGCTGAAGGGGCCAGTTTGAGGAACTCTTTTGTAGGTGGAGTTACCAGAACTGCATGGCTGACGTTTGTAGTTTCAAATATACAGGTCAATTTCACCATATAAAGGCACGTTCTACTGAACACATTCTGATCACAATTAATTATATTTAATGCATATTTGACTGCGTATGCTGAATATAGAAATTTTTACAATTAATTAGCATCTTAACGCTTAACTTACTTTACCATTTTTTGTATATATTTTGCATCTTGTTAAAAATAAAGTTTCTGAATCGTCACTCTGGAAATGACAAATGACAAATAAATGTAAAAATAAAAGAAATCATTGTGTTCCCCTTTATATTACTTCCCTTTTTGGAAACCTTGGAAAATGTAGCTATATAAAACCATTTCAAAATGTTTTTAAAAGTTAAAGCTAACGAGACTGTGGGCTAGCCCACAGCATCACACAGGAAGTGGGCCTTTCTGCTGCACTGCTGATAATAGTACATTGGGTCCCATGTATGCGTGATGTTGTTATCAAGTGCTGTTTGAATCTCAAGTTTGCCCTTTTGTAATGAGGAAAGATGGCATGAAAAGGTCACTTAAAGGTCAAAGGTCCATGTTGTGTGGGTCTGGTTCTGGGTTAGATTTCTCAGAGCAAGTTAGTTATTTTGCTCTTTCCTTCTGTGAAAAAAGACATTGCACTCTATAACTTGTATTCTACAGATACTTAGAATGCTTTAAGATGCAACACTCATAGAGAGCCAAACAGGGCTAATAAATCAACTTTGTATAATCTTTCCTACTATTATACTTAACACTTATTCTATTATATTTGTCATTTCCCCTACCACTCTTTGCCCTTTCCTTGGCCGCGGCACTATGCTACTCCAGCCACAGTCTCCCTGAATGTCACAGGCTATCTCTGGTTGCGTCCTGTTCTTTTTATAGCCCGGCAGCTGAAATGTGAGGGGTCACAATGGCAGGATAAATACAAGAGCCAGCAGACTGAAGGGGTGTCGCAGACGAAGGCCTGATCTCCTCTCTATCCTCCCAGCACTGCTTCTATAGCCAAAGGTAAAGCCAATGCATTTCAATAAATAAAATTATTATGTTTGTATGTTTAAAATAGGCATGTTGTGGAGGTAGTAAAATACAAACTGATAAAATTAGCTTGCTTGCTATTTTGACACAAATTGTGGTTGTTATGACAAGACATATGTCTAGAAATGGTTTTGTCTTCATGCTGTTGCTTTATTGCTTTGTTAGTCATGCACAGTTTCCGCTATAGTGTCTATTATTATTGCTGACCATTTTGCAACTGAAAATACTGCCAGTCCAAATTTATGACAACTAATCTGAAGTCTATGACGGTAAAGCTAGGAATGTTATTTTGAATAATTGTTCTTCAATCATGTACTTGAATATGGCCAACTTGTGAAAGTGACAACTTCCAATACCACAATGTTTTCACTTCACACACAGCATCCTACACTAGAGAAAGAGAAATACAGAGTTGCAAAAAACAATGTTGCATGCATTTTACTTAATACATTAGTTAAACAAGAAAATATTGCAGAATGAATTCCAATTTTATTTACTGATAGCCCTACATGTAACTTTAAGTGTTGTAGTTTCAGTTGTCTTATATAAGACATTTTAGCTAAGCCACTGTGCCATTTATATTTAGTCCATGCATCTGCTCATAGTAAAGAGTAGGGGCAGCAGATGGGAGTGAACTGTAGATTTTTAGGCAGTGGGGGGCAGGGGGGCCATGAAGTGACTCTGCAAAAGGTCACGGACAAGGCGTTGGAAATGCAATAGGTCGCTTACATGCCAGTCATGATTTAGGGGGAGGGGCTGAGAACAGACCCCTGTGATGCTCCACATTGTGCCCTAAATTAGCTTGCATGTGGAAGTCTGTCTGCACCAGTTGTCAAGTTACAAAGTAACAGCTGACTTTATGCCGAAACAGGAACATGTCTAATCTTCATGCATATCTTTCATCACTTCCTGTGCAGAGTAACCCACATTGTTTACCACAGCCTCAGAAATCCACATTTTGAACTTTTATTATGTTTTAGTAACCCTGACTTGAACCCTTTTTTGTCAGTGTCTTGGGAAGCTAAACCTTTTTATGCACTCTATTCCATGCAGAGTCAGGATGCCTCACGCATACCCCTTCCTCACTCCTGAGCAGAAGAAGGAGCTTAACGATATCGCTCAAAGGATCGTTGCATCTGGCAAAGGGATCCTTGCTGCGGATGAATCTACTGGTAAATATATTAGTGACATTGTTTATAGCCATCACTAGTAAGTCTAGTCTAGTTAATCGATAAATATCTGTGCTCTTTGGTCTATTGCCATGATGTGTAGTGTACAGTACATTTAGAGGATTTTGCCTGTTGTAATTTATAGGCAGCGTGGCCAAGCGCTTCCAGAGCATCAATGCTGAGAACACAGAGGAGAACAGGAGGCTGTACCGTCAGCTGCTCTTCACTGCCGACGACCGTGTCGACCCCTGCATTGGCGGCGTCATCCTCTTCCATGAGACCATGTACCAGAAAACTGATGATGGCAAGCCCTTCCCCCAGCATCTGAAGGAGAGAGGTTGGGTGGTGGGCATCAAAGTGGACAAAGGTGTTGTCCCTCTGGCAGGAACCAACGGAGAGACAACCACCCAAGGTAAGACATGATTCTGTGACAACACAGAACATATGGGATCAATTTCATCTCACCACCACCAGTTTTATTGACATGAGTACATCCATTATGTGTCACAATGTTTATATTGTTTCATGTTCTTTCTCACAGGTCTCGATGGTCTGTATGAGCGCTGTGCCCAGTACAAGAAGGATGGTGCTGACTTTGCCAAGTGGCGTTGTGTTCTAAAGATTACACCAACTACTCCTTCAAGACTGGCCATCATTGAGAACGCCAATGTCCTGGCCCGCTATGCCAGCATCTGCCAGATGGTAATATAAGGAAATGATAAGACCTTTAATTACTTATCATTATCGATACCTTAAGGCTAATCTGTAATCTTTCTGTTTGACCCTAGCATGGCATTGTTCCCATTGTGGAGCCTGAGATCCTGCCTGACGGTGATCACGACCTGAAGCGTTGCCAGTATGTCACTGAGAAGGTGCTGGCCGCTGTGTACAAGGCCCTGTCTGACCACCACGTCTACCTGGAGGGCACACTCCTCAAGCCCAACATGGTGACAGCTGGACACTCCTGCTCACACAAATACAGCAACCAAGAGATCGCCATGGCAACAGTCACTGCACTGCGCCGCACAGTGCCCCCTGCAGTCCCTGGTGAGAACATCATAAACTTCTACATTTGAGTTCTTTCATTATTTTGTCCCTTTGTTTGAGTACATGTGTTATTATACTTTTTGAGACACATACTAACACCCGACAAATAAAAGTAGAAAATTTTTAGCCAACGTAATAAAATATTATACTATTATAATATTATAGTACATTGCTACAACTTTAGCCACAGCTGTGGGGTAGACAGATGGCTGCCAATCCACACCATCATCCCCTATGACTATCTAGTCACTTAATCACACACCACGCTCATACAAAAAATACTATGCACAAGAATAGACCAAATACCAACTTTATTCTGGGAAGTCTCTCATCCCAGTACTAATCAGGCCCAAGACCAGACAAGTCCTTGAGGTTATATGGCACGCAAGAAATTTATTTTTGTTTTTCTTTAGGCATCACTTTCCTGTCCGGGGGTCAGTCTGAGGAGGAGGCCTCAGTGAACCTCAATGCCATCAACACATGTCCCCTGCACAAGCCCTGGGCCCTGACCTTCTCCTATGGCCGCGCCCTGCAGGCTTCTGCGCTCAAAGCCTGGGGAGGCAAGAAGGAGAACGGAAAGGCCTGTCAGGAGGAGTTTGTGAAGAGAGCTCTGGTGTGTATATTAGCCAATATTTCTGAATCATTTGTTATTTTCCACAATACATTTTTGTTATGTAATATCTCTCCTTTGTCACAGGCTAACAGCCAGGCCTGCCAGGGCAAATATGTTTCCTCTGGATCCAGTGCTGCTGGTGGAGAATCACTCTATGTGGCCAACCACGCTTATTAAACATGGACACTACAGCTTGAATCTCACTCTCACCGTGTAGTCAATATCTCCACAAACATTGCATCAGGCAACATCCACATAACTGTCTAACAACCAAAAAACTGTACTTTTATAACAGAAAGTGAAACTTCCTACAGAAAAAAAGTTCTTCCTCCATTCCCTTTTATTTGTTTGCAGGTGATGTATTTACACATGTTGCACCAGCTATTCCTTGGTACTTTTCCATCAAATATAAAATTTATATTTTCACCAAAGAATAAAGTATTACCTTAACCTGCTTTGTGTTTTATTGTGTTTACTGAAATTAAATCTTGTTCTTAACATAAACTTCATCTTGACTGAAATTCTGTAAAATGTAAACCAATGTGAGAACTATGAGGATCAAATACAGCTCTAAAGACATCAGAGTATGCAATAAATGAATAAATAAATAAATAACTAAGATTGCAGTTGGATATCGTTATCAGGTCAGATTAAGTTAAGACAATTCTACATGTTTGGAATTTGAATATGTGCCCATCCATTGAGCAGTCTTCATTCTGCAGCATTCATTTCTATGTCTATATCTTCTATATCTGTATCTGTATCTATTGTTTTCATTGCAAAAATATGTGTTAAATTTGTGTGGAATTTCATATTGAAAATAGTTTGAATATAGCTTTATACTCAAATAAAAACTGTTCACATTCCCCAAGTAAATGATAACAATGGTCAATTTGGCGATCAGTGTTTCTCCAGAAACTGACATTTCTTGGTTTAATGCACTTTAACACAACCAGAACAACCTTATAGGGTGTGCTCTTGAATGTGTGCTCTTGAGTGAAACTCAATTGTACTTGTACTATGTGCACTTTCACTTCCTTTTCAGAGTGCCAGACTGAGGAAAATTACAAAGAGTATTATTTTAAATAGGGTTCATTCTGGCTTAAAAAGATTTTAGACAAACATTTTTCTAATCAGTTTGAACCATTGTTAATGCCACAGGCCAGGGAGAGCGGTACTTAAATTTATTTTTATGGCAGATCAGTTTTAGTAATTCTCTGTAAGGGTTTCCTCCTGCTGCTCCTACCTTATTCATTTGTGTCACTATTCGAGTGCAGTAAAAAAAAAGTAGTGCACATTTTAGCTGGCTTACTTCATCATGAACATTTTGTATGATCACATTTCTTCTATATTGCTTTTTACTGTAGTACCTTATTAGTTTTCTTTACATTGTAGCCTTTGTATTACCTCTCCTATTTATTTTCACCTTTATTCATTGACACAATTTGTTCATTGTGCATTAATTTATGTATACATCATCATCATCATCATCATCTTTATTCCGGACTCATGGTCCATTTAAAAAAACAGACAAGGACAGTGACAATACAAAACAATAAACACTCATGTTTTTAAAAGACAACCATACCAGTGTCTCCACATGTTGGACTGATACCTTATTGCACTGAATCTCAAATTTGTGAGTGACATTATTATTTCATTGTCTGATTTGTTCAGTCTGCAAATAAAACTGTACATTAAAATTCTTAGTGCAGCTTGCAAAGTGTTCACTCGAGCAGTAACAAACATTTCAGTCGCACTCGTCCATTGTGGCCTCCTCAAAAGCACCCGTAAAGCGTCATTGTAGGCCACCTGCAGTCTTTGCAAACTGGCTTTTTTATAATTAGTCCAGAGGTGAGCTGTGTACAACGGTGTACAATTAGAATTAAAAAATAACAACTTTACATCATTTGTACAAGAACCAAACTTACGCATAAGGGTATTTGCCTGAGCATAGAGCGTCCTACACTGTCTGTACATATCATCATCATCTGTCATGTCCGCAGTGATGATATGCCCGAGATATTTAATTTTTGTTGTAACAGACAACACAACATTTGGCAGGCAAAAGTCAGGAAATCTCATGTGCTTATCTTCTTTGGTCCTACAGACCATGACCATACTCTTGGTTGCATTATACTTTAGATCATGCTCCACACCGTAAGCTGAACAGATGTTAAGTAGCTGCTGGAGACCAGAGGTGCTCGGACTGAAAATAACCAAATCATCTGCGTACATTAAATGATTCACAAAAAGATTTCCAGCCACACAACCTGTTTTAGATGTTCTAAGCTTTGTTGACAATTCATCTAGATACAAATTAAATAAAACTGGGGACAGAATCCCCCCCGTCTGACCCCCTTGCTGACCCTAAATGGGGCAGACACGCTGTTTCCCCATTTAATCTGCATTGTCTGCTCTTCATACCAGTACATCACAAAACGCACAATGTATTTGGGCACACCCTTTTGAATCATCTTCATAAATAGTTTCCGGTGATTCACCCTATCAAATGCTTTGGATGCATCTAAAAAACACATAAAAACTGATGAATTCTGTCTCTTGTATTTAGCAATAATCTCTTTTAGAGCATATACACACATATCTGTGCCCAGCATAGCCTTAAACCCAAACTGGTTGTCTGTAGATTTAATAAATTGTGAAATCCTGTCCAGCAGGATTACTTCAATAATTTTTGACACTATGTTGGCCAAAGCTATAGGTCTGTAATTGTCAGAACTGCCAACATTCCCAATTTTATCTTTAATGACAGGGACTAGCAACACAGTTAACAAAGAGTCAGGTAAAAATCCATGAACAAGAAAAGCTGTAAAACAGATGGAAAGCAGTTTCAATGGGATTTTATGTGTTGATGACATATATTGGGGCCGGAGGACACTGGACAAACTCCTGCTGCTTTTGCCATCTTTGATATTGTAATTATTTTTGAATTTACCATTTATTCTTTGCTCTGTATAAATCCAGTCCCTGGGCACAGTTGCAAAGTAGGAAAAAACTAAGGCACTCAAAAAGTATAAAATAATTAAAAGCCTTTAAAACCACATGGCAGATAAAGTTACAATCATGCTAACACATTTCAGCCCTTCGGCCTTCATCAGGGGAAACTCGAGATGGTTGTCAGAGTGCAGATTTAAAGTAATAGTTGTAGGTCACAGGTTCACAGTGGGCTGGCCTACAGTCCCCTGGTGCATTATGGGACATGTAGGCTGAACAGATTTTAGTTACAAGCTATTCAAGTTCAAATATAATACAAGGTATAAATAGTACAAATTCAAACAACCAATACATAGAAAGATACATAGTATAAATACATAGTATAAGAATATATATATAGTGCAAAAAATTCAAAAGTCCTACAGATATAACTATAATTTCAACAATATATTAGAGGTATTAGATGTAAAACAGGAAGTGATTATTTATTTAAACCTTGTGGTTAAAGGAAGGGGGAGAAATCTAGCTCTCCATTGGGCACAGTTGGTTTTCCTGATCTTTTATCTAATAAAACACTCTTTAATCATCATGATATTGAAGGAAATTTCAAGAAATGTCAGTCTAAAAACAACAGCTTAAACACAATGCTTTCTCTAAATAGCCAGCAGAAGACTCTATAACGCCAGTATGATGTGTGTTGAAACTGGAAATACAATGTGATGATAAACAATACTCATAATAAATGTTTGTTTTTAGGTATTTTAATATGGTTTTAAAGCAGGTGATGGCACATAAAAAGATGTGCAATGACTACAACAAGAATTCAGAGTTCTGTTGAAGTGGTCTGAATACTGCATGCTTCGTATCAGATGCTGAATTATTCCACAGCCGACACTACTATACTATAGTAGTCAGAAGTATAACATAATGCAAGTTAGGAAACAACACAACACTGAATCCAAAAATGCAGGGTTTTTAATCAGGTGAGTATGTTTTGTTATGTCAGCATCAATAATTTATTGGCATTATTATTAATAATAAATAAAACATTAATCATGTATAATCAGCATAAACATTTCTAATTGAAAGCTTAAAGTAACTTTAGAGACAGCAGTAAAATCACTGAGACAAGGGCAGTGAATGACAGCTCTGATGATGGGGCTGTGGTTGTGTTCAAATTTAATACAGGACACACAATGCTGCTGTCTGGGTCAGTGCCATTGGAGGTGAATTTAACAAATGAAACCTTTGTCCCAGCTAATTGACCTGTGATCCAGGATTGAAATTCAGAGATTCTGGTAAAAACTTCTGGGATACCAAGTGCACAGGGGATCCCAAAACTGGCGAGCCCAGCCTGGATAAACTGTGAGCCTTGTTTACACTGCAAAGGCCCACCCGAGTCACCCTGGAGAAATAGAATAAAATAAAAGAATAAACGAAGAATTTTCATAAAACACTGGCAGCTGCAATAAAACACGTTTTGGCGTCAGACCTGGCAGACTCCTTTTCCTAATTCTCCGGCACATAACATGTTGGATGTGATGTTAGAATCTTGAACATAGCTGTAGTAACAAGAACACAGATTGTTTCTAATCACGGGAATTTGCACCTCCTGCAATCTGTCATATCCAACCAAAGGTTCTGCAAAACAAAAAAGAATGTGTGAAGTATGTGTATTCACTTCCAGACACTATTGTCCTACAGTGGAACAAGGACCATCTTTGGAGAGGCGGCCCCAGCCAGTGGCCCAGCATTTGGTGTTGTTGTAGAAGAGGCTGGAGTTGGCTGCGAGGCACACAGGTCTGATGTAGTCAGTGTAAGTGATGGGGTTGCTGAGCTTCATTAGGGCGATGTCATTCTGGAATGTTGTGCTGTTGTAGTCAGGGTGCACAATGATCTGAGACACACTCCGGTTCACTTCATGTGGATTAGAGCCACTTTGGGTTTCCTTCCCAAAATACAGACGATAGTCACTACCTGATGTTCTAGAAACAGGAAAAAAAAATGTGGTTATTAGAAATGTTAATGTCATTTTTATAATAGATCATGATTTTTTTGTAGAAAGGATGTTAGAATTAAATTGTGTAATATTTATACAATATCACTAATGTATTCTCTCAAAGAAATGCATCAACTTAAATTAAATGTACAAATGATTTAACAAAGATGGTCTCTATATATGGCATTTAAAAGGAATTATTTTTTATCATGGTGTCAATTGTAAAATTAAAACTTTTCTCCATAACCTAACTTTAAAATTGCACACTGATAACAATAGTATATTAAAATCAAAAACTTACGAAAGTATACAGTGAGCTGCTGTCAACACCCACTGTGTACTGATGACAGTTCCTCCACAGATGTGAGTCTCTTTATAGTGCATACTGACCTGCCAAGGCCAATGTCCTGCTGTAGCATTCTCACCTCCTACTATCCTCGTGTTCAGAGGAGCCACTCCACAATCTGATCACAGCAAGATAGCCATTCTTGGTCTGTTACTTCATCCAGTTAAATAATTTAAGTAATAAATCATTTATATTTAAAACTTACCCTGGGCTTTTAACTCTGCTGAACATAAGTAAACAAATGAGTTTCGGGTAATGTTAAATATATTTTAGTAAATCTTTTAAATATATGATATTGATAGAAGCAAACAGAGAATCCAAATTTTACCTGTAAGGAAAAGAAGGAACAGCCACAATGTCCATACCGCCATAGTTTATCACTGACAGAAAAGGTTGTGTCATGTCACCTAACTGTGTTATCACATTTGTAGAATACATCCTACTACCACGCCTCCACAAACCAGTTTTTTACAATACTTGGAATAGCGCAAACCAAACCCAAAATAATAAGTATGCTTGTTCAAAACACTCAAACTAAATAAAAACGAAGAAGACAGAAAAAAACATGTTTTATGGTTGAATAAATATAGAATGTATAAACAAGTATTGGGTTTAACATTTGGATTTTTCTTACAGATGATTCCATTAAATATTAAAAGGCACTGAAAATACTTAATAACAATGACTATCCTGCTCCTGTGCCACCCAGGGATCTTCAATAAGCTGGACATCAGATGTGGTGGAAGATACGGAAAAAAATGTTATGTCGATAGCTTTTAAAGATGGAGAATGCAGTATGTATAATTATGCACTGAGCTATGGCTATCTGGGGCCTACAGACACAACACAACAGGAGCATTTTTAAAAGTTTTTTAAGACATTACCCTGATACAATGACTTCCTAAAATTGCCCAAAAAAATTAACTTTACATCTTCAGCGCAGGCCAATATTTAGTTTTGGTCGACCTGCTGCCTAAAAAAACACACAAAGCTTTACATTAACACTTTACTATGAAGAGATAATTGCACAGAAAGCGACTACACTGCTGTTTTATAGGTTTGTGGTAAAAAGGGGTTGTGAGCGAGTTTGTCGTGAATTTAAATTACATAATTTGGGGAAAATAACCTCACATATCAGCCCAAAAATACTAACAGAGCTTATCGGCCATTTGTTTCTCTTAATTCTAAACAATCGGTTTCAGCATCAGCCATGAAAAGACCCATATTGGTTGATCTCTAGAAAAAACTAACAACTCAAACAGAAAAAAACTGTAGATTTTACATGTCAACGTTACGACACAAGTTTGTCAGGTTTTCTGGAATGGAACTATTGAACTTGAGCAACTCTTAACACCCTGCTGTCGTCATAACTTCCTCAAATAAAAAAAAAAAAAAGTTTCGTAATGGCTATTGCTAGGAAATACTATATAATAATAATTCTTTAGGTCACACCTCCAAAGACATTTCCTTACAAAGCTAATGACTGCTGTGGGCATGTGCCTAGAATGTTGTGACTATATATCAACATGGCAACACAGCATCAAGCTTTACCCTAACAGCAAGATTTGTATCATAGAGAACTTATGTTGAGTCTGGAATGTTCTGTTTATACCATCAAGAGCAACACTCTTTTTAGAACAATTGTGTTTGATTGACAGCGATACACATGTTTTTGGACCTATATTTGTCATTCAGCAAATCATGTTTCGCTACACTGCACCGAAGTCTTAAAGTGCAGTAAGTCTTTGAACAGGATCAAAGCAATCATGTGTCAATAATGAAATAAAACAAAACCATTGAAACTGAAGAACAAAGACAAAGCATCAAAAGCAAATTTATCACTAAAATGAATTACTCAATCTATAGGTTAAGTGTGGCTATTAAGGTAAACCTCGAGGCAAGAGAACAAGCCAGACAAAAGCCAATGTTTGATAAATGACTGCCAACAACACAGATAATTGTGCAATCTTCTATGAGAATTTACCTCTTGATCTTGTCATTCAAACCTTTGTCAAAGAACTTAAACAACTAATAGGGTTAATGACCACTCATATTATGACCCTCAAATAAGTCTTAACAAGGCAAATAAGTCTTAACAAGACTTATTTGTTCTGGCTAAAAATTAACTGCAAGCAAAGTAGCCAATCATGGCACTGGATAGATAGAAGGCATTCACATAAACAAAATCCAAACATCTATAGCATTGCTTCACATTTTTTTCAACTAAATGGCAGAGTGCTCTTATAGAAAGAGCTGTAGTCACCCTCACTGTTTGCCCACACTAGCCCAGTGGGATCACTCTGTCCGTTTGTTCATGACAACACTGCACCAATATAAAGTAGTTCCCCCAAACCTTGGACAGAGGCCTGTTTGAATTTTAAGTGACCACTTTTTCACCATTTGGGCATCCAGGCACATCTCCTTCTTCTGTTTCCTCTCTCACTAGATGTTTTATTTTATGTTATCGGGGCCTCCTCCTAAGTACAGGGTCAATATATCTTATTTACAATCGGGTGAGAGAAACCCGCCCACCATCACTTCATAGCTCTATATAAGAAGGGGAAAAGAGCGGGTGATAAGGATTATACACAAGCATGGACTTGGGGTGTAAAGTCCTCATTTGTGTCTCCTTGGCCGTCATTAACTATGGTGAGTACTGGCTTGACTTCAAAACTTTTTGATTGTTTTGCTACTGGTGTAATAGATAAGTGAGATATGGGCCTTACATATTTCTTATTGTTATTGAAAGTAGTTTCTGAGAATATCATGGTTGAATTGTATTGTTCTTAACAATGTCAGCATGTTGACATTGGTAGATTGAAGATACAATGGGAGGGAAATAAGTAAGTCTTGGAAATATGATCAGTGCCACAGGTGCCAGTAGATTATATACTGTTACTATGCACTTGTGAAAATGAATTAATCAAAATATAGATTAAATATATATTGTGCTTTCAGTGAATCGTAATGTGTGTGTTTTATAAACCTATTCTTCAATTATGTGAAAAAAACGGTTGAACTTAATGCAAGTCATTCCTTTTAGATAATTTTCCAACCATAAATAAATCCTTTGGTATTTTTGATGGGAAATGTCTGCTGGTAGAACCAGTTATTGGTGGTAGTTAACTCCTCTTTGCTTTTGTCATCCTGGCTATTGTGTGCCAATCAGAAAGTAAAACATATGCAATGAAAACTTTCCACAGGCTTAGCTCTTTACCTGGCCTCAAGTGTTTATAGAGCTGGTTACTAATTAAGCTCATTGTGTGAACAGAACTGATTGAAAGAAAGGCCTTTTATTTGGACTGTCTCAAGGTGCTTTAGTTAAGACTCCTATTTGAAAAGGACAACATGAAAAATTATATAACCTTTAGCCTATGTCAGTGAAAATGTTGATATGAGGTAACTTCAGCAAATTTATCTGTAGCTTACGTAAGATTACTAGAATCTTATTTTGTGATAGTTTATAATGGGCAGATAGTACACCTTCATAATTATATATTTTTCCCATTGCAGGAACTGCAGTTGAAATCCAAGCCAGCCCAAACACAGTCACAATTCTTCCATGCAATGTGACATTTCCTGATCTTATAAAGGGCACGATAAAAGAGTCGCTTATTCAAGCAAGCTGGGTGAAAAATAACTCTGAAATTGCCTCATTTGGAGATTCTGTGTCCCAAATAAATGAAGATTTCAGTTGGGATGTGGCCAACTTTGTCAAAGGAGACTTTTCACTGACCATTATAAAAGACAGTCTCGGCCTGCAGGGAGTGTATGAATGCACAGTCATCTACAACTCCACACAGCTGCACTTTGATAATGTTACTTTCAGTATTGTGGGTGAGTATACTCAAAATTGGATGGATGGAACAAAGGAAAATGTTAATACAAATAACAATTCAATACAAACCAAACAAATAACAATGCAATCATAGTCATAAACAATAGCTTACTTTAAATGCTACATTCTTATTTTACAACAATTATGAAATAGACACATGCAGTTATTTGTATATCTTCTATGACTTGTAGACATCCATTTGTATTTTTTATTAGAGTGATAAAATTTGCTTGTAACTCCTCTTTTCCTAGCATCTCCCACTTTGAACATTCCTCAGCAATGGGTAGCACTGGAGAGAGAAAGCCAACTAAAATGCAGTGTGTTTGGTTACTACCCGCCTCCCATATATTTGTCTTGGACAAAAAACGGGCAAGACTTGCAGCCACTGCACCAAATTGAAGGTGAACAGACTGCTGATGGCTACTTCAGAGCTGATAGGAATCTGACTATTTGGCCTTCCAGCGATGACCAAAATGCTACCTTTGGATGTAAAGTGTTGCATAGCGGTGTGGAACAACAACTTGAATTTCAACTTAATGTCACTTGTAAGTTTAAAGAACACAGGGCATTTGAAATGTTTAAAACATTAACACTGTATGACTGTATGTATGTTTTGTTAAGTCATACCCAAGGTAAAGCTGTCAGCCGTGCCCTCAGCCTCCAGCAAATACCCTCTGACTATTTACTGTGACATTGAAAGTTTCTACCCTGAAGACGTGTCTGTATCCTGGCTTCAAAATGGCACTGCTTTGCCTGAGCACCCTACAACAGACCAAAATCCAGATGGGACCTACACCACGAGACGATTCTATACATTAAGCCCAGCACAGAGGCAGCAGGGTGGGGAGGTAGGGTGTGCCGTGGACCAGCCCGGAGTGTTACAGGCGACCAGGGCCTCAGAGAATCTTGAAAAACTGGATCCCCGAGGTAAATTGCAAAATGTAAATAAAGACTAATTTTTGAACTTGATTGATTTTATGCATTAAAAACAAATAATGTCTGCTATGTTTCATGTGCAGATGACACTCCTGTTCTAACTAAGTCCGCTAAAGCGTCTGTGGCATTGATGGTTATATCACTTGTTCTGGTTTTTCTACTTTGTTTTGGATTTTCTTGGAGAAGAAGAGATGGTTAGTTTTAAATTTAGATATATAATACTGAACAAATAGCATGTGTTTTTGAATTTATTTATTTTTTAAATATTAAAATATTGTATATATAATGTATTGATCTTTATTTGTCTTAACTGAAACTCTACATTAGTAACTGGAGTTAATAAAGTGAGATTTTACTTTTTAATTAATTCTTAAATAATATTCTTGATTATATTATTTGCTACTCTTTTAATTTTCTGTCTTCTTTTGGCATGTCCAGAAAAAAAGAAATCTTTAAGCATCTCTGGGATTATTTTGCCTCCTCGTGTAATTGTGGGCCAAAAGGGAAGAGTCACCATTAGCATTGAAGGAAGGAGGGTCGACCGAGTCCTAACCGCGTGGTTTCTCAATGACACCCCCATCTTTGACACCACCATTGCAGGTATTGACAGCTTCATTGATAGATTGAAATATGAGCCTTAATCAAGCATAAACAAATAAAAAAATTAATCGATTAATAATTAGAAATGTTCATTAAGAATGATTCAAGCCCCTGTAATTAGGGGATTAAAGTTAAGAGTTGTGGTAGCACAGTGGCTGAGTGGCTAGCATTCACACTTCACAGTAAAAAGATTCGGGTTTGATTCCAGGGTTGCTTTTGATTCTGCGTGTTATGAGTTTACATGTTTCTCCCTGTGCACTCTGGTTTCACCCATCAATCCAAATATGCACACAGAATGCAAAAAGGTCAAATCCTCCACCTAGGTAGTCTTGACCAAGCCTATCCTAAGACCATGGGGATGGGTCCAGGGGGACTGCACTACTCCTGAAGAGACATTGAAGGATGGTTCAAATGCAGAGAATTTCCCTACAGGAACAAGTGGACTTTACCTTATCTTAGTTAAGTAGTAACTAAATCTGAATCATTCTTAATACACCAATTGTTAATTATGACTTAAATCTTTGTTAATGCTTTATTAATGCTAAAGTGTAATAATTATAAAGTGTTATCAATGATTGTATGGTTTAAATCTCTTAACAAATATATTTTTGTCTGACATGTTAACTCCTTAACACGTAAAGCTCCACAGAAAACTTACTTTAACTGCCTCTTTAACCCACTAACAACCATCCATCTTCCCTATGGGCTAACGCTCACCTCCCCAGCATCAGAAAAAGGCCCATTGCTGCCCTCTAGAGTCGAGATGGGTTACTACAAGCTGCACACCCAGGGCCCACTGCACTCGACCAAAAGTGGCACCCAGCAGCTCATCTCTGCACTCACCTTCATCCCGCAGATCTCCATCCACAAGGGGGCGGTCTTCAAGTGCCAGGTGTCCTATGTTGGAAAAGACAAGATAGTGGAAGAAAGGGTGTCAGAGAAATTCACCATTCTCTGTAAGAAACATAGTTTAACCAAGTAAGGTACATTGTATTTTTACTAACTGTATTTTGTTCCTCTAGCTACTCCTGACGTTTCAGAAATACAACTGGCAGAGACACCAAATGATCCAGGTAAGGCTTTACACCCTTCAAAATGTGAGGTAAAGTAAAAAGATCGTTCATGGTAAAAAAAAAAATTGTTATGTTTTAGTTGTTTTATGTTTTAATTAAATAGTTATGTTTGATAAAAAATAAAAATAAATGACAACTCCACTATAAAAATGCCTTTCTTGCATGTAAACTACCCCTGTATGTTAGACTGAATTTACTGCGTTGATGACAGATAAACGTATTCCATTATTAGAAGTAAGCAATACTTTTCAACTATTTTTCCAAAAATGGCTACTTGACTGATCTATAATATATAATACAATAAATTCCTAAATGTACTATCCCACCAAACCAATTATTATGAAAATACATGAAAGCTGCTTAAACACAGTTGACTTTGTGCTTTTCAGACGTGATCAGCTTGACAGTGCGTGCCTCACATTTCCATCCAGACGTCATCACTTTCCGCTGGTTTTGTCAAGGTGGTGAGCTGAGCCCCGTGGCCTCCCAGGCGTCGTCCTCCCCTCGGCCCAACTCAGAAGGCTTCTTTTCAGCTTACAGTCAGTGCAAGCTCCCCCGCTCCGAGCTGGAAAAGGGCAGTACCAAAGTGTGGGTCAGTGTCCATCACATTGCACTGAAGCAGCCTGTAACGCGCGAAACAAGAGGTGAGAAACAAGACAATGAATATGCACACAATAAAATACTTTTCTGATGGAGGAATTTGCCACCTACTTGTTTATGGAGATGTTAATGGCAATATGGCATTTTATTGCCAAGAAAAATTCTGATCTGACTTATTTGATATACACGTGTTTCATGCCATACTGTGAATATTAATCCTGGATGGCAGTTGAAACTTTTCAAAAACAGTGTCCAGATGAATACCTTTGAAACTTTTTCCCACCTCATTCCAGGAAAAGCAACTGTGTCTCCACAGAGATAAGCAGTACTGTCAGAAAGGTGCTTATAAACTCATAACAGTATATTTATGTGTTTTGACCACATATCTGCACATATTTTTCTCAAAAGGCTTCATAAAGAGACCATGTGTGTCCGAAATCATCACTACCATGAACACAGACCAGAGCGTAACCCTGGGATGTGAAATCACTGACTTCTACCCTCCAAATGTTTCTGTGGTGTGGCTGAAAATGAGAGAAGGCCTGCAGGATGACCGGGAGGAGGAGCTGGTCACAGGAGGAGAGCTATTTGGTCCTTTACAAACTCAGCCTCACCTTTATAAAGCCACAGCCACTCTGAGAAGACCCCCCAGTCTGGACAAACAGCAGAGAGAAGCAGGCATCATCTGCAGAGTAGAGCACTGTTCCCTGCCAGAGCCCATCGAGAGACTGTGCAGAAATGTGGAGCCTGGTATGAATAATTTTACAATAACATTTTATAAAGAAAATCTATTTGCTCATGTTTGACTATTCAACTTTCCACAGCAGGCCCGTATATACCTCCATCAATTTCTGTGTGCTGGAGCAGTGAAGGTGTGGGGGTTTTCTCTCTCCTCCTGAAAGGTGGACATCCCAAAGCCAAGTTGGTCTGGGCAGCAGGGGGCGCTACACTCTTGCCCCTGGTGTCTAGTGAGACAGAGGACATTGGAGATAATGGGCAGAGGGAGCTGAAAAGTGTGTGCGCGCTGGAAAGGTCCACAGGTCCTCTGAGGCTGCCTGAAAAGGAGAGGCGTAGAAACGGACATGCAATAAGTAATTGTCTTTTAAATAGAGCAAACAAATGTTGTCATAAAATATATATTATTCAGTTTTACTTCAATTATATTTTGATACTACGGAACAGACTCAATACTAGGGTTGTAGTATCCAAAATCAGATGCTAATTGATACTAAAATGAGAACTGAAACTATTTTCATTATTTTCAAAACAATATAATAATAGTCTCTTTATTATTACCATGTGGAGCTCATATTCCAATATAAAATGAAAAATATTCTAAAATTCTCAGAAAACATCAAATTCTATCTTCTTCACATCATAAACATCATATCAACATAGTTTTGATACTAGCTTACTATTACTATTAGTATCTGGGTTTTGATTATTTTGACAACCCAGCAGCAAAAATACAAACTTTGTTTCATAAACATAAAATTAAAAGGAACTGGATGTAGCCTGGTTAGAAGTAGAAATTTGTGGGAACACGAATTAGTAAAAGTTGGGGTGAAAGTAAAATATTATTGTGTAAAAAATATGTATATTTTTGACCTTACAGAGACTAAAGCAGCTGTCACAGACCCCCACACTGAGGGCATACAGTACATTGATGAAAAAGTTGATGGTGAAAACAACAACATAACTCAAGAAGAAGACACAAAGTCTGATTTGGATGAGGACAGTGACAATGATGAGCAGGACCCAGGTGCTTTGCACATCAACAAAGTGAGCCTGAGCTACAGCAACCCCCGAGAGAGTGAGAGAGCACGTTTGCGTGTCTGTGTGGAGGTCTCTCACCCTGCCCTCAAGCTTCCTGTGTACCGAAGCTGGACAGGTGACACAACTAACTGCTTTGATGCAATAATAGCAACAGTACATCAACTTCCTCTTTATCTTATCATGTTTCTTCTTTTTCAGAGCCAAATGAGGAAATGTCTTCATCGATGTGACAGTCCTGATGTCAAAAGTGTCAGTTTATATCACAATGTTTGTATTTCTAACTGGTTAAGGTCTTTATAGATTTATCTTTTTATTTTAATATTCTTACATGTCTTATTTATTACCTTATATTGTCTAATCGTCATTTCAAGTATCATGATTTTACAAATGTTCAACTGTATTTTTTGTATAATGGTTATCCTGCTGTATTCTCATTTGCAAATAAAATGTAGCTTAAATCTTGGTGCATTTAATACTTGCAGTCAGATCACACCTAGGCTCTCAACAAAACACCCAGGCCTAGCATTAGATAGTGGTCAACCACAACCTAAAAGAACTTCTCACTTCGGACGTGACTTCTGTTTTTTCCATTCTGTGCTCAGCCCACATTACGCTTAGTCATATAGATGCTGCGTATGGTGTAAATTAAAAGTCTACAAAGCAAACATAAAAATACACTGCAATGTTGTGTAACTTCCTCAGAACAAATGGAGCCCTATATGGTAACAAGAGACATGACTAAATTACTTTGACCTTACATAGTGCACATGTAACTTTTCTATTGGTCACCTGGAATGTTCCACAGTATGGCATTAAACGAATTTATCTTGCTTGTATTCAATTCAGGGCTGAGTCTGCAGGGCCGTAAAACGATGCATTGCAATCTTATTTAAAAGTGTTTGCACGCTCATTTTAGGCAGGTAAAATAATGATACTTATTGAAAGAGTATTGCATTTGCAGCCTTTTGAAACTTGGATACACCCTCAATCAATCTGGTCTGGACAAGAGGCCTGATTCAATTACAGGTGTTTTTATTGATCAAATACACCTCGAAAAACATGCATTGGTGAGCATTTCCAGTGATCGGAACTGTAACTTGGTACCATCTGCTTGTCTCCATGGAGAACTTTAATGCCATACTAACAAACATTCCAAGCAAAGCAATAACATCTCTAAAGAGACTTTTCCCAAGAAAAGTTACAAGGAGCATCTTTGAAGACTTTAAACACATATAACAGCAATACCCACCAAAATAATGAATGCATTGTTAAGTAGTATAACAGTATAAATTAAAAATATTTGTGTTCCTCATAGGCCTATAATAAATCATGTCAGTGTGGTGCCATGCTTTTATTGAGCAGTACAGCTAATATATGCACACCACAACAGTGACAGCTCTTCTCTTCCTCATTAAATCACACTTACAGGCTGCATCCGGACATGGTATAATATGAAACAAACTCGGCTGTGGCTGTTCGTCTCTTGCATCTCCAAGCTAATCAACGTTTAGCATTTAACTCCAAAAGGTTACCTTATAAATAAAGTTAGTTGTTGTTACTTTCTATTGGCTGCGTAGAAGAAGAGGCATGGATCCAGGTGACCCCGGGTCCAGAGCTGGGAGGACTTTCTGGACTTTTTGGGTGAGCTGAGCAACAAAATAGTTTAAAGTTGTGAATATATGCTACCTATGGGATGGGGTATTTTCTCTTTTTTTGGCCAATTGATCAAAGACTGGAAACATGTGTCTTTATTCTTTAAAAAATGTCAGGACATGAGGCTCATGTTGTTATATTAAACGTAGTAATATTATACTAGTATACTAGTTATGAAAAAAATTGAAAATGACCTTTTTTGTAATTTATCAAAATTATTAGAATGACTTAGTCTCCTTATGTCCACTAGAGGGCAACATTCTCATTTTTTGTTTTTGATGTTGCTTAGGGTGACCAGATTTTCTAAATTAAAAGTTGGAACATTGGCACACTCGGGTTAGGATGGGAAACAGGGTAATTCTAAAATTGTCAAAAGTGTGAGTAATTAATTACGCCTACATTATAATGTACTCGACCCATACAAACCTCATTAATAATCACTTGTGAGTCAGTAGACTATATAGCAGGAATAATAAAAAAATCTGCACACTGTATTAAAACTCCCAACGTGAAACGTGCTGCTCATCTGATTTTGCTGGTCCTGCACCTGCACTTGGCTGATGTGTGCGCATCCTTTCTTCTTTTGGATCAGTAGACATCTGAGTGGATGTTTTTTTGTTTGTTTGTTTGTTTTTGTCTTTTGGTAATTTTCAAGCACAATTTTCTGTAATTTGTCTCAACAAATGTCAATATATCCCCCTTTTACTGTTGGTGAGAATCAAATGTATCAAAAAAATAGAGACACCTGGAACCTATCTTGTGTCAAACTGGGACAAATCAGTTGTTTTGGACAAATCTACAGAGACATGGGACAAACTGGGGCTGTTGTGGGTAAATAGAGATGTCTGGTCATCTATAAAGAGTGGAGCTGAGTGCCACCTGCAAACTAAGTAACCTAAATATGATAGTGGACCTATATAGTCAGTGAGCAATTATTGATAGATGACACAAAGAAATTCAAAATTTAAGCACCAAATCAGTTTTTCTGATGCCTATTTCTCCCTTAACGATGCACAGTGTAACTTTTCTGTGCCCACTATGTGTTTGAGATGTTATTGCTTTGCCTGCAATGTTCCTCAGTATAGTATTAAATTAAAATATAACTAAAAATATACCTTGACACACATGTATTCATACTGTGACCTTCTCCACAGTTCTCATCTGAAGCCTGGTGACGTAACTTGCCTGTCTCCAAAGAAATAGTCAAGCCATACTGTGGAACATTTCAAGCAAAGCAATAAAATGGAGACAAGCAGGCAGCATGCCCTCCACCTTAAAAGTTACACAATATGCCTTTAACTTACAGGAAATTATGTAAACAAGTATGTTGTCCAGTAAATGACAAACTTATGGCCTTTTTCTCCACAGAACTACATAACAGACCTTGTGGGCAGATTTCTCCGACCAGAACCTCATGGCACTGAAATAAATGACACAGACAAAACCAACTCAACACCAGTCAACGATGAGCCATTGGAAAGTTGTCATAAAAAACGCATGACCACTGAAGAGGGGGAAGATGTGCATGTTGTTCTCGCATCCTCTGCTGGCTCTACAAGGCCTGTTATTTTGTGGGACACCGGATCAGAACTTCAACCAGAAATGAGGCAGAATGTCCTACAAGAGCATGAGAAAATAAAGAGAGAGAATGATGATGGTAAAAGACAGGAAGAGATAGAAACTGGAATCGATGCTGCATCTGCCCTGCTCATTACTACAACAATTGATAACGCTGAACAAAGCAGTGATATAACAAAAAATGGTGAAGAATTGATGCCAAAGATGCTTGTTGATTGTAAGGATGAAATGATCGATAAGGTATGTTCAGAGGCTGACAAACCACAAAGTAAAGAGCAACTGAATGAAATTTTGAAAGGTTTTAATAAACAAAACACTTATTCAGAAATTACCAGCAAATTAGACACAATAACTGCTGAACAAAAGCATTATGAACAACATGATGAAAAACTACTACCAAGTGATAATATGGATTTGAAGGAGAGTGGGCAAATTATAGAGAAACAGGACAACGTAGGGGCTGATGGAAATATTAAATCAGAAAGTGGTGGCAACAAAAATGCAGTGAAGGTGTGCCTACAAACTACACATTTAGAGGTAACAAGACAAAACGACATGACTGCTAGAAGTGATGACATGAACAATGAAAATATAAAAAAAACACACACTTTGGTTTTGGGGGCAGAAAATTTGTGCAAACAGGATGACATTAGTGAAGTTTATGAAGGAAATAAAGATGATAATCTGGACATGGAAAACTTGGAAAGGCCGTTTGATGTGGAAACTTCAATGTCTGATAAAGACTATATCATTGTGTTTGAAGAGGATGAAAAACATGGAAAACAGGAGCTCACACTCATTAATATAATTGATGATTCTGCAAATGTTAAAACTGAAAATGAAGAGAAAGAAAGTGAAATCACAGAACATTACAATGAGAACATGACAAACCAAAATGCAATGTTTGATACTGAGGAAGAAGACGATGCAAAAGAATGTAAAGAATGTCCTGCCTTATTTACAACTGATGACTCTGCAAATGCTAAATCAGAAAATGATGAGAAAGAAAAAGAAATTCAGAAAGAAGAAATCAAAATGACAGAAAATGATGATGACCAAAACCGAGATCAAGATATGACTCCACAATATACTTTGGAGGTGGTCGATGATGAAAGCAGCACTGAAGAATCAAAGGATATGAAGGAAGATGATTTAAATAAACTACACACTTCTTTGGTTTTGGAAACAGAGCATGTGAGCAAACAAGACGACAAAAATGAAGTTCACGATGGGGATGAAGATGATATGGTTATGGCACAAAATAATCAAACCATGGGAAATCTGGAAAGACTGCCTGACGTGGGATCTTCGGTCTCTGATAAAGATCATGTCATTGCGCTGGAAGAGGATGAAAAACAAGAGCTCACAGTCGCTAATACAACTGATGACTCTGCAAATGTTAAATCAGAAAATGATGAGAAAGAAAAGGAAATTCAGAAGGAAGAAATTGAAATGAAAGAAAATTATGATGACTATGTAACAAATCAAAATGCAATATTTGGCACTGCGGATGGGGACAATGCTAAAGAAACATGTCCTGCCCTAATTTTAGATCAAGATATGACTCCACAATATACTTTGGAGGTGGTCGATGATGAAAGCAGCACTGAAGAATCAAAGGATATGAAGGAAGATTATTTAAATAAACTACACACTTCTTTGGTTTTGGAAACAGAGCATGTGAGCAAACAAGACGACAAAAATGAAGTTCACGATGGGGATGAAGATGATATGGTTATGGCGCAAAATAATCAAGACATGGGAAACCTGGAAAGACTGCCTGACGTGGGATCTTCAGTCTCTGATAAAGATCATGTCATTGCGCTGGAAGAGGATGAAAAACAAGAGCTCACAGTCGCTAATACAACTGATGACTCTGCAAATGTTAAATCAGAAAATGATGAGAAAGAAAAGGAAATTCAGAAAGAAGAAATCGAAATGAAAGAAAATGAAGATGACCAAGACGAAGATAAAGATATGACTCCACAGTATACTTTGGAGGTGGTCGATGATGGAAGCAGCACTGAAGAATCAAAGGATATGAATGAAGATGATTTAAATAAACTACACACTTCTTTGGGTTTGGAAACAGAGAATATGAGTAAACAAGATGGCAAAAATGAGGATGAAAAACTTGAAAAACAAGAGCTCACAGCGGCTAATACAACTGATGACTCTGCAAATATTAAATCAGAAAATGATGAGAAAGAAAAGGAAATTCAGAAGGAAGAAATTGAAATGAAAGAAAATTATGATGACTATGTAACAAATCAAAATGCAATATTTGGCACTGTGGATGGGGACAATGCTAAAGAAACATGTCCTGCCCTAATTTTAGATCAAGATATGACTCCACAGTATACTTTGGAGGTGATCGATGATGAAAGCAGCACTGAAGAATCAAAGGATATGAATGAAGATTATTTAAATAAACTACACACTTCTTTGGTTTTGGAAACAGAGCATGTGAGCAAACAAGACAACAAAAATGAAGTTCACGATTGGGATGAAGATGATATGGTTATGGCGCAAAATAATCAAGACATGGGAAACCTGGAAAGACTGCCTGACGTGGGATCTTCAGTCTCTGATAAAGATCATGTCATTGAACTGGAAGAGGATGAAAAACAAGAGCTCACAGTCGCTAATACAACTGATGACTCTGCAAATGTTAAATCAGAAAATGATGAGAAAGAAAAGGAAATTCAGAAAGAAGAAATCGAAATGAAAGAAAATAAAGATGACCAAGACGAAGATAAAGATATGACTCCACAGTATACTTTGGAGGTGGTCGATGATGGAAGCAGCACTGAAGAATCAAAGGATATGAATGAAGATGATTTAAATAAACTACACACTTCTTTGGGTTTGGAAACAGAGAATATGAGCAAACAAGACGACAAAAATGAGGATGAAAAACTTGAAAAACAAGAGCTCACAGCGGCTAATACAACTGATGACTCTGCAAATATTAAATCAGAAAATGATGAGAAAGAAAGTGAAATTCAGAAAGAAGACAATGAAATTACAGAGCATTACAATGATAAAATGACAATGGTTGATGCTGAGTATGGAGACAATGCTATAGAAACATGTCCTGCCCTGAATATAGATCAAGATATGAGTCAACCATATGGTAAAAGCAGCACTGAAGAATCAAAGGATATGAATGATGATGATTTAAATAAACTACACATTTTTGGGGGTTTGGAAACAGAAACTTTGAACATATTAGGCAATCAAGATGAGTATAGTAAAGAACAGGTCACAGATGGATGTGTCATTTTACAAGAGGTTGAGCCATCTACAAGCAAACAGGAGTACACAGCTGCCAATGGAAGTGAGGAATCATATGATAACAGAGAAAATAAGAAGTCTGGCAAAATGGAACAAGACATTTTTGAAAAAGAATGTAACAACAGTGATCTCAATTCAAAAGTTATAACATCAAATATGGAAGATGCAGCAAATGTGGGTCTAGAAACAGTTTCTAGATATGACTTAGATTTGGAAGGAATTTTGTCTATAGCTGATCTTGCCCCCAGTGAAATGGACCGCTCCATGGGAAAGTTTTGTGTTACAATCAAAAATGAAGGAGGGCCTACACAGGAACAGGCTATTGCATTTAAAAATATTCCCCCGGGTGAGGGCGAAGGGCAAGAGCGTCCATATTCATATAAGGAAAGCAGAGAGGAAGTTCCTGACTACAACAATGAGTCTGACAATGGAAGTGCTACACAAAGGTTCCTGGAAGTAGGAAATTGCAGGGAAAATCACACCACCCTATTACAAGAAGAGGTGGTGAGTGGAGCTGTAATACGCCTTCAAAACAGTGGCACTAACGAAGGAGAGGAGACTTTAGAAGATCTTATGGCAACAGAGCTCATCAAGAACAGTTTGGAGGAGCATATCGCAGAGAACACCCAACTACCAGATAACCTTATGAAGACTGCAAGTGAATACACAAACTTTGAGACCAATTTTATCTCAGAAGATGTGGAGGAGAAAGAAGATCTAAAAGAAGCTGAAAGGGAGATTGGATTTGAAATGGGGAAAGGTTTATGTGATACTGACACAGCTGATGACGGCCTGGAAATCCAAACTCAATTTCAGACTTGTATTTTTTTGGATCAAAATAAATGCAACATACAGACAATGGAAAGATCATTTGTAGAGAATCAAACTACAAGGGTGGACCTTTCGGCTGTAGAAGACTTGTTTACATTTGAGGAACAAGACACAACGGTGAAAACAATAACTAATGGCTCCAGTGAATCTGTGAAATCAGGATCTGCAGATGAAGATGTACATGAACACTGTACAACTGTGTCAAATGACAATGTAATACCTGATGTTGTCCACCATGAAATCTCACCAAACGCATTATCAGTCGAAGATGAACACCCAAAATGTGTGGTAGAGCAGCAGATATTTGATGATGTGATTGAGAATGAAATTCTTGATTTGCGGATACAGCACACTTCAATTGAAAGCTCCAAAGTGCGTGAAGGGGACCAAGGCCATGAGGACAGTAAATGCGACGTTCCAGAAGAAGAGAAAGTAGAGTCAATTCCTGAATTAAGCATAACGTGTGACGTCAATGTTTCTTTATCTACAACGGAGTCAGATTTTTTTGACCTGTCTATGGACATGGGGGCAATGCAACACGACTGCAGTAAAGAGGAACAGGAATTACTAAAAGAAGAGCAAATTATTAATGTAACTTGTGCATTAAATAAATCTGAGGACTTAAAAGAAAGTTCTATAGCACAGCTTGAGTTAGAAACACCATGGAGAGAAGATATGGGCACAACACCAAAAAGCAGAAATGTTGAAGAAGAGGAAGCTATAACATCACAAAATACTGACAGTATAATGTCTGTGTCAACTACTGTAATGCAAGATAATAGTCCATTTTCAATTCCGACAGATGTTAAGCCATTTACAACATCAGGAATGCTTTCTGAACCAGACACATTGTCAAAGGATCAATCTGACTCTTTAAGTGAAGTAAAAAATACAATTGACACTACTGATACATCCGAAATCGAAGTATATCCATTTCTTTTACAAGACAAGTCAGAAGTGGAAGCATTGCAAGACTTTGAAGAGAGTGGATTGGAACATATCAATAAGGTATTCACTTCAGACCTGAATCTATTTAAATTGTAATCATGTGTATATGTGAAATTAATGTCTTGGTGTTTTCAGGTAAATGTAAGTGAGTTTGACTTTACTCCACAAAAATCAAGAATTGCTGTAAAAAATCCAAGAGTGAGACCACCTAAAGATTTCCGTTCACTGTTGCATAAACCGTCACTTGAGCCTTCACCATCTAAACCTCTGGCATCATGTGTTCCTGCTGGTGTTCCTATTGGCAGCTTGGGTATCGGGATTAAATTACCAGGTTCAACAGTTCACTGTTAAGATATGTAAAATAAGCATGTAGCATATAATGTATATAGTATAATTTGTTTTATTTTTTACTAGGCATTGGAACTGGCTTCCCTGTTTTAAAAAAGACAAAGAAAACAATAGAAGAGGAAACCAAAACAACTATTCAGGTATGTATGTGAATGTATGTGAATGTAATTACAATGTAATTATAATTACACATATTATGGTGTTTATAGGAAACAAAACCAATGTTGGAGGATGGAGATAACCTCAAGCCCGAGGACTCACAACAAAGACCTAAATGGATGCCTCCAAGTCGCCCAGGGTAAATTAAATTATATTTTTTAATTATATTTTAGTCGAATATATTTAAATTATTTACCTGTTTATTTATATATGATTTTTTTTCTACAGTTTTGGAAATCCATTGATGTCTGAACTCAAAAGCAAGCTGAAGAAAACAATGAAAGAGTAAATGTATATAGACCTACATTTTAAAATCTGTATGTTATGTACAATTTAAAATGTGAAAAATATGTATTTTGTAAATTGTATAATTAATAATTGTAGCTGTTTAATTTGTTATGTTGTTGAAAAGATAAATACTACATTTGTAGGTGACTTCGCGTCTATTATTGAATCTAAGGGGGAAAAAAATTACAATGTATCATACTTGCAAACCATTTTGCAACTTATTTTGTGTGGCACGTCTATATAAAGCCTAATAAAGCACCATTTATTTTATTTGAATATTACATTGGATGTATGACGTATGTGTATTACATGAAATGTATTGTGCAGTTCTTTGGAGAACAGCTAAGCGGCAGTGTGAGTATCCTGTCTTGACTTGACTGAACGTAGAGTAAGCCTGTACCGTGTTGTGATTGGCTAAGCCAAGTTGACGGCACAGATTCAAAACTTTTGTCATCGCAGTCATACGTGCTTTGAAGCTTTGGCTACATTTTTATGGATATTTTTATGTTTTGTTGGCAATTAAACAACGGTCGAGCGCTATGTTTTAAGCTCTGACAAACGTGATTCAGGCGACAAAGTCTGTGTGGAATGGTAAGTAGCTAGTTATTTGCTAGTCCCCATGTTAGACACGTTAATGATTTGATAGATCTATCAGAGAAAATAATAACAAAGTTTACAGCTATAGCTTACTTTCTACATACATAATACAATTCAACAACTGACATGCCATAAATCAGCGATTTTTTACGTCGATCTCTTTACTGACAGTTACTCCTGGTTGGCAACAGTTGTAGTGGTCAGTTTAGCAGTTATATTTATGGACAGCTCTTTACAGCTTTCCCAAATATTAACAAAAATGGTGTATAATAATTTAGGTCGTTTTCTGAAGTAGCAAACTAAAATGCCAGTAAAATGTATATAAGAGTTAGGATTGAACTAAATTTGTACACTAATATTCTCGATAAAATGTTTTCATTTATAGGCAGAAATCTCAGGAAGATTCTAATTGGAAGACGTGCCTGAATAAACTAAAAAATATATTTTAGGTGGGACACTATTACTACAGCATGGCCAATCAGAACATAGAGACATCATCTTTTGGCAATCAGAAACAGGAGAATGAAGAATGTTGTGAGAATGTTCCCCCTGTATCATTTTTGAGTGAAACCGGCCCTGCAACTCCAACAGCAACTCTTAATGACAAGGGGAAACCACGTTTGTCTGGTCTGCAGTCTGCTCTGACTCCGATTTTGAAATATCTCAATATTGGAAATAAAAGTCCCTCTCCACTTCCAAATTTATCTTTTAATAATGGCCCGGCTAAGCCAAGTATTGCTTCAATATTATCTTTTGCTGACAAAAAAAACTATGCCTCCTCTGTGCTAAATGAAAACCTCCCAGACATCACCCTGCTTGACGTAACATGTGACTCAACCATGAATGTTACAAGAAATACTCAGTGCAACAGTGCACCTAGTTCTCCAGTTAGTGTTAAAGAGTTTAAGAAACCCCTGCAAGTTTTGGATGTAAACCTCAGCTCAAAGCTATGTCCTACTCTGACCCCTATTCACTGGCTTCATGATGAAATCCTCCCTGAAATGACACTCTTGGATGATACCTGTGATTCCCCTATGCCCCTGACAAGACAGGGCTTTGCACATTCAGACAGTGTACCTGGTACTCCAATCTGTGAAACAGAGACACCTAAAACGCCTACTGAAAATGATGTAGAAATAACTTCAAAAGGGAGCCTCATTCTAACCTCCAAGCCTTATTCAAGTTATGTTATGTCAGAAAAGGAAACCCAAATCTTGGAGACCTCTGATGATTGGTCACCAAAAAAGAGACCTTTGGAAACATGTGAAATTATGTTATCAAAAACTGCAAAACTAGAAGTAAGCCAATGTTCTCTAGAAAAAATTTCATCAACTTTCACTGGAAATTTTACCCATTCAATAAGTTCAGGAAGTGGAGTATCTGATAGCATTGTGGAAGATGTTAAAAAGGTCCAGCTTCAAGTCACCCAGGATATTTCTATGAACAGTACTTTAGAAAGCAGTAAATCATCATCAGAAAATAGTACACAAAAGCTGGAAAAGAGTCAACGAGCTGTTGAAGCTCCAGTAAACATTACATGTGATTTAATTACATCTAATACAGGTTGTAACTCTATAAATGTCACTTCTGAACCTCGAATTGAACCTGTCAATACCTCACCTGGAGAGGAGCCAAGCCATATTTCTGACGACGAGGGAAAAAATCTAAACAAAACTGAATACATAAACAACACATTTACTACTGTTCGGGGCCCAACTGCAACGCAAGACCTACAGAACAGGACACTGGATCTTCCAACGACGACAAATATTTGCAGTTCACCCACAGCAGAAAACAACAACACTAATATGAGCACCAAACAGGTGACCCCAGAATCTAACCTTGTTTTAAATGACCACTGCTCAGGTCCGAAATTTAGCCAAAATTGTGCTATGCAAAATCAGACATTTGAAAAGGACTCTCTTCACATATCTGGTGGAAGTACAATTTCAGAACAAGCAGGTACCTCAATTGCAAGTCTTCAGAGCACATTTGCAAACAAACCAAATGGGACAATAACTTATACAGAAACAACAGCAATGGGTGACAAGCAGCATGTCACACCAGAAAAGTCCTCTCCTTATCGAATGAAAAGTATGAGCACTACTGACCCCAATCCTCCAAAGATATTGTGTGAAAATATACAAGCAACCACAGATTCTAATATTAAACCAACTGAGCCTCAACAGAGCATTTTTAATGTGAACACACCAATAGAAGATGACTCTGGCTCTCCGGGGTGCAGTGCTGGCAGTGTGAAAGCTAAGGAACAGCCTCTTTGTGATTCAATCATTCATCATGACACATTTACTGAGAGCCACAAAGCTAACACTTTCAGCTTGGATAACACATTTGATTTTAAAACTGACCCACTGGTTACGTCAACACCAATGCCCAACAGTAAGGCATTCATTTTTACTGTAGAAAGAGAAGAGGGCAAAACTGCAGTGGCACAGAAGAAGCTGTATGGAGAAGAACCCAATAAGCCAGTTGTTCAAGTTAAATCAGACGTACCTCCAAATATTGTGTGTGACCGGAAGACTTTTTTGCCCCAGCCTACCACAAAACAAAATATGCTTCCCATGAAACCGCCATCACTGCTGTCAAAGTTCAAGCCGGGATCCCTTCTTCCAAAACGTCATGATTTACCAACTTATGGCCAGCCAATGAAAACAAACACTGCTCAAATCCTTCACCAGGTATAGTGTTGTTATTATGTTGACCATAATGAATCTCCTACATTGTTGTTCTGATAATCATTTTTTTATTTTTTCTAAGACCACAGAAATTACATGCTCCTATAATTTGAGATCCACAAGAGCTGGTAATATTTTTTTTCTTGTTCGTATATTTGAGATCATCCAATTGAATGGTTATTTTGTTTTTGCTTGATAGTATTATATTGATTCCTTTGGGTTTGTCTGGAAAGAACAAAATTGCTGAGTGTCTATTATTATGTTTTTCAGAGTTGTAATGTGATACTTTTTTATATTTCAGCTACTTCAGCACTAAAGCAGCCTATGTCTGGTCTACAAAAACCATCAGCAAGCAGCATACCTTCAGGCATTCACAGAGCAGGACATGGCCTCAAACCACCTCAGGCAAAAAGCATGTCTTCAGTCCCTTCAGGCTCTGATAAACCTGTTGGAGGTACATGCAAATGTGTCTTTGTTGGTTGGTTCCAGCCAGATGTATAAACAACATATTCTTTTACATAGGCACTAACCCTGTGGCCAAGACCACTATACCAGCCAGGAAACATCCTTTACCCAAAACTGATGCGTTACCAGCAGCAAAGAAGAAAAAGATGGGTAATTTGTTGATAGATCCAAATCACCTATTCACTCACCTATGTCTGTTTATGTAGTTATTATTGCCAAGCCATACTATTTTTCAGATACTCTTTTGCCATCCAGTAATGTTGATGCATCTGCAGCTTCTTTAGACACAGCCAAAGCCAAAAGCCTCAAGCCTCCTTCACACACCCAGAGAACCTTACCTGTCAAACCCCCAAAACATGGTAGACTATGCTCTTCCACATAACTAATCGCATTTACTTTCTTTAGGTTTAATCTGTCTGTTGTAGATTTTGCAGTTCCTCCATCTGATGCTACAGAACTAACCAGCAGGTTTAGAACTTTGAGACCACCAACCACCAGTCTCAAGGCCCACATTGCAAAACCCCTGTGCCATAGTAGGTTAACATGGTTTTAAAATAAGTATAAATATAAAAAAATGATCTATAAAAATCTATCTATATATTAATTATATATATATTATATATTGTGTATATATATATATATATATATATATATGTATGTGTGTGTGTGTGTGTGTATGTATATGTATGTATACACACACACATATATATAAATAAATAAACAATATAAAAATAAATGATAATAAATAATTTTATACATATATATAAAATCATTTATTATCATTTATTTATCACCAACAGGTTGTGCCACCTGCAGTTTACTTCAGGAACAACTCAAATTGAAAGATGAAGAAATTAAGCAATTAAAAGAAGGTATTTCTACTGATTAATGTAATTTATTATTGAAGGTGATGCATTCTTGACTAATAATTATATTTTCTCAGAACTTCTGAAATGGAGCAAAAAAGAAGATCCAGCAACCTAAAGATTTACAGTGTGAATAGAATCTATTGACTTTTATTAATATAATGAGACAACAATTTTAACAAATTATATGTATAACAAAGCATTGTTACTTGTAATATGTATATTATTGGTTAATAAAAATCTTTTCATTATTGCTATACCAGTATTACCTCAATTTTGCCATTAAATCATTTTTTGTTTCCAAACAAGTTGACAAATGATGCACACATGCATTTATACATACATAATATAACAACAAACATATATTTGTTTTGTTTTTTTAATTCAATAAATATGACATTTCAAAGTATTATTTTTATTATTTATCTGTAACTTTAGTTCAATTTAACACTTTAGCACTAGTGGGCGCTCCCACGAACAGCACGATCAGCCTGGCCCGTTTGTTACGTACTTCCTTTACCTGACGCAAGCGCCCGGCGAGGCTGTTGCACGCTTTTTAGTTGCAAAACTGGATTTATATACCATCGAAAAGCACCAGAAACTCAATAGGAGTCATTTCAGTAAAACCTAGGTAAGTTTATTACGCGAGGTTCATCCTTCATTTGGACAGAGGACTGATTTATGTGCTGCTATTTTTGCGGATGAAACATGCGGACTGGTGGATTAGCTTGTGGCTACAGTTAGCTTCTCCATAGCGCCATATTGATGTTATTTGCTTTTAAGTCAATTTAGTAAAAGTCTCTTCGAATATACGTTCGAAGTGGTTTGGCTGTATTCCAGTCACAGTCTAGTCTACTTCACTTACTGTTTTATAACATGCCCATCGTAACCATCTGTTATCCTCGGTTAGAAGTGGATAAGGTGTCTGGTTGGATAAACCGGGTACAACTCACCATCATCTGTATTTAAGTCTCTTCTTAAACCTTATCAATTACAATTTGGCCTGTTTTGTCAGAGTTAAATGTTGTTATATTGCTTGAGCGCAGGATTTGGGTTGAATATATAACACTTACCAGGAGATGTTTTTTTAAATGTCACTAGTTCTTAGTAAACAGTTTGCATCTTTACATATGTACAGGAACTCTGTTTAGATGCATTCAAACTGCAGCATTATAACCTGCTATGGTTTTCTGCTGCTATACTTAATGCTGAAATCTAGCTATTGTCTATTATCTAGCTCAGTGGAGTTTATGTAAATTAAAATAAAGTTCATAATAACTTGACATCTTCTGATTTTCTGTTTTTACAGAGTAAGGCCCCTCTTCAGAAATGTCACGTTTCTTTGCCACCGGCTCTGACAGTGAGTCAGAGGAATCCTCGTCTGGGGAAGAGATCGCACCCAAGGCGCCCGGAACCACCTTCAAGCCGTCGGTTCATTATATTTACGTCATATATCCACCCGTTATTAATTTTTTATAAACCCTTTCATTTTGTTTGTTGACAGGGCTTTGCTGCTTAGTGATGATGAGGAGGACACCAAAAGGGTTGTGCGCAGTGCAAAGGATAAAAGGTTTGTTATATTAAAATGTCTATATTCAAATTTAAACTAATTGAAGTTATTTCCACTACTCAATCATTATCATTTATTCAATCCTAGGTTTGAGGAGTTGACAAATCTTATCAAGACAATTCGCAATGCCATGAAAATCCGTGACATGTCCAAATGTCTGGAGGAGTTTGAGCAGTTATGTCGAGCATTCACAAAAAGCAAGAATATAGTGGACAAAGAGGGAGTACCCTCTTTCTACATCCGCCTCCTGGCCGACCTAGAGGACTACCTTAATCAGGTTCACATTTCCCTAGATTTTAATTAGCACTGTGTTTATACATAATAATAAGCAATAAAATAATGAACATCTTTACAGCTTTGGGAAGACAAAGAGGGCAAAAAGAAAATGAACAAAAATAATGCAAAAGCCTTAAGTACACTGCGTCAAAAGATTCGCAAATATAACAGGGATTATGAAACTGAAATAGCTGCTTACAAGGAGGTAGGTTATATTTCCTTCATATGTATTTATTCTTTATACTATATACAAAAAACATTGCACCTATGTTTTCAGAACCCCCAAGAATCTGCTGATGAAGAGGAGGAAAAGGAAGCTGCAGATTCTGGTAAAAAAAAGTACTGTGCATAGTAATAAATTCAAAGCAGCAAAAAAAAAAACAACTCCACATGTAAAATCTTGCAGGTGACTCTTCTGGAAGCGAATCGGATGAACCCAAGGAAAGACTGACCGCCCAGAGCTTCCTAAAGAAAAAACCTGATGGAATTCCAGATGCCAGCAAGTTCCTCAAAGGGGCCAAAGGATCAGGGGTAATGGCTGCTATACAGTTGGACAGGTTTTTTTTTTTGTTTTTTTGCTTTTTCTGGAGGTCAATTTTTTTTAAAATTTAAATAGGATGATGAGTCGTCAAGCGATGAAGATGACGAAGATGATGAAGACTGGAGTTCAGACTCTGTCGGCAGTGGCAGTGAGAGCTCAGATGAAGGGGAGGGAAAGAGCTCTTCATTAGCTGTTGCCTTCCTCAAGAAGTAAGTATTATTTATTGTATTTGTATCACTGTATTTTTAGTTTTGAAAGATAAGTTTGATAAAGAACTTAACCAAAACCATTTTAATATGTTAAATTGTTGGCCTATAGGACTCAGGAGATTGACAAGGGTGCAGAAAAGAAAGTTGGAAAAAAGAAGAAGATTAAGAAGAAAGAGCGTATTGAGGAGGAGCCAGAGGAGGGGGAAGGAGAAGAGGTGGAGGGAGGCTGGGAGAAAGTAAAGGGTGGTGTCCCTCTCGTCAAGGTTAGACTCAATTCTCGTCCTTTTGATGTAGGCTTATGAAGAAATACATAATAAATAAAACACCCTGTCATTTATTCATTTATATCACATGAAATGAACACAGTGGCGCTAAATGTTAAAACGTGACAATGAAATATGTATAAATTAACATTGTGAAAGATCGCTCACCGTTGCATTCTACTTTGATAACCGTATTGATGATTTGGGATGCCTTTTTTATTTCAGGAAAAACCTAAAATGTTTGCCAAGGGAACTGAAATCAACACAGCTGTTGTGGTTAAGAAATTGAATGAGATTTTGCAGGCACGAGGCAAAAAGGGTACAGACAGGTAACAATGTTATATTCAGTTGTATTTAAATTAGTATATGAAATACTACAAAATAAATTATTAATAAAACTCTTTTTAACAGGGCTGCTCAAATTGAATTACTACATGCTCTGGCAGGCATTGCAGCAGAGAATAACTTGGGTCAGGGAATTCTGGTTAAAATCAAGTTCAACATCATTGCTTCTCTGTATGATTACAATCCCAACTTGGCAGCCTTCATGAAGGTCAGTATTACAGAAATATGTACTTTTTCAAAAACTATATGGTAAAATTAAAAGACTGCAATTATCGAAACATTATTTGGAAACACTTTTTGCCTTTTAGCCTGACATGTGGAAGAAATGCTTGGAGTGTATTGATGAGCTCCTGGACATTCTGTTTGAAAACAACAACATCTTTATTGGAGAGAATATAGCCGAAGACAGTGAGAACCTGGCTATCTCAGACCAGGTAATGCATTTATCAGTGAGTCAGTTTTAATTTAAGAACCACCAACATTTAAAACATGATAATAATTGAACCTAACAGCCTTTTAGGGTGAGAGGCTGCATCTTGACTCTTGTGGAAAGGATGGATGAAGAGTTTACTAAAATCATGCAAAACACAGACCCACACTCCCAAGGTTTGGAATTATGTTCTTGCTGCATGTTGTAAAGACTCTGCTGTCTTTTATCACTAGTGACTAAAGTAAATATTTTTTATATATTATTCCAACAGAGTATGTGGATAATCTGAAGGATGAGGGTCGGGTTTGTGGCATCATTGACCGCCTCCTCACGTACTTGGAAAACAAGGGGAGCACTGAGGAGATTTGCCGTGTGTACCTGCGGAGGATCATGCACACATACTACAAGTTTGACTACAAGGCTCACAGACGCAGCCTTGGCCTCCAGGGAGAGACCAAGGTCAGAAAGTGATTATAATAATTGTATTACCTGTGATTAGTGATGTTTCTGACTGTGTTTTGTGTGAATTCTAGTCTGAACAGGATCAGGAGGAGAGTGAAGGCGAGGATAGCGCTGTGATCATGGACCGTCTCTGCAAATTCATTTACGCAAAGGATCGCACTGACCGTATTCGTACGTGTGCTATTTTGTGTCACATCTACCACCATGCGCTGCATTCCCGCTGGTACCAGGCTCGAGACCTGATGCTCATGAGCCACCTGCAGGACAACATCCAACATGCAGACCCCCCTGTGCAGGTATGGAGCTATAAACTCACTCAGAAACGTATTAATAAACGTATAAATTACAATTTAATATACAAGTGACATAATGGCCCTTGCTCTAGATCCTCTACAACAGAACTATGGTCCAACTGGGAATATGCGCTTTCCGTCAAGGCATGATTAAAGATGCCCACAATGCTTTGCTGGACATCCAGTCATCGGGCCGTGCCAAAGAACTCCTAGGTCAGGGACTGCTCATGAGAAACATGCAGGAGAGGAACGCCGAGCAGGAGAAAATCGAAAAGAGAAGACAAGTAAGAACTTTATTTCTCTGTGAACTAATATAAAAATGAATATGTACATTAATTTAAAGGGTTTGAATTCAAAATATTAATCTGGTTTCTTAGTATTGATGACTTCTTTCCATACTTGTTTTTTTTTTTTTTTTTTTTTTTACAAAGGGAAATCTCAGTAGTGAACTGCATTTTCACTTACTGTCAACTAATTAAATGAAAAATGCTTCCGCCAGTGCTTGTATCATAACTGCTAACTTGTTCTTTTGTCCTCAGGTTCCTTTCCACATGCACATTAACCTGGAGCTGCTGGAGTGTGTGTACCTGGTGTCTGCTATGCTCCTGGAGATCCCGTACATGGCCGCACATGAATTTGATGCCCGCAGAAGAATGATCAGCAAGCAGTTCCACCATCAGCTCAGAGTGGGAGAGAGACAGCCCTTGCTCGGTACGCCTCTCTGCTACAGTCTACCATGTTTCCTAAAGGAATATGTATGAAACTGACAAGCTTTCTGTTTGTATGTTTAGGACCCCCTGAGAGCATGAGGGAGCATGTGGTGGCTGCCAGTAAAGCCATGAAGATGGGAGACTGGAGGACCTGTCACTCTTTCATTATCAATGAGAAGATGAACAGCAAGGTGTGGGACCTGTTTCCTGAGACGCAGAGAGTCAGAGAAATGCTTGTCAGGTCATTATCTAGTTTGCTTTTGTAATTTGTATTATGGTGTACATTTTTGTTAATCATTTGTGTATTGGTGTAGGAAAATCCAGGAGGAGTCACTGAGGACCTACTTGTTCACATACAGCAGCGTGTATGACTCCATTAGGTAGGATGTTATTAAATTTATTTATTTAGAGATGATTTGATTATTTAGAGAGAATGATAATATTTGTAATTGTGATTGTGCTGCAGCATGGAGACACTGTCAGACATGTTTGAGCTAGAGATCTCCACAGTGCACAGCATCATCAGTAAAATGATCATCAATGAGGAGTTGATGGTGAGTCAGAGTTTCTAATTTGATCCCATTTAAAGTACAGTGTATTTGTAACTAAAAGCACACTTATGTACTCTCAGGCATCTTTGGACCAGCCCACTCAGACCGTGGTGATGCACCGCACAGAGCCCACGTCTCTGCAGAACATGGCGCTGCAGCTCGCCGAAAAATTGGGCAGTCTTGTGGAAAACAACGAGCGCGTCTTTGACCTGAAACAAGGCGTTTACGGCGGCTACTTCAACAGAGGTATTTTCAGTTTGTACTTTTTTGTAAATTCTTTTTGGAATGTCTTGTTAAAGAAATGATTTTTATTACAGATCAGAAAGGAGGCTACCAACAAAAACAAGGCTATCAGAGAGGTAATAAGGCATTCATTTATTTGTTTATGTTGACAATTTATATTACATTTCTTTTTAAATTTGGATGATGTTTTTACAGATCAAAAAGGATCTTACCAGCAGAAACAGGGCGGCTATCAAAGAGGAGGGTACAGAAATCAAAACCAGAGCAATTACTGAGCTTTGACTGGATTTCATTGCTGTTCATTCCAACAACATTTGACCTTCTGATTTGCACACTTCATTTTAGTCAACCACAAAATACTATGAAGTGTATTTTAGGTGAAGTGCTTTAAAGTTGAAAAAGGATCCTTGCCAAGTGTGTTACTTCGAACCGTCAGTTAATAAGAATAATTTCATTAAAACTAATAAACAATTTACAACTTTTGGAGTTTTTTTGGAGTCACTACATCAGCAAAAGTGGATTCAAGAGCAACATATTTAGTAGAGTATCTCATTTGAGCTTCTGCAGCCTTACAATAAAGGTACAACTACAGGCAGGAGAAAATACTGAAAATACTTTGGAGTTCAAAATATGAAGAAAGTACACCATCATTCATTCATTTTAAAAGAGTTCATAGTGTTTTTGGCTTATGCAGTGTTCAGTCTGTGTCTCAGTCTTCGGCGCAGCTCCTGCCTTAGGAGGTCTCTCTCTTTGCGGATTCCCTGCAGTACCGTGCGATTCTCCTGAGCCCTACGCACCAGGTATGGGAGGGTGTCATCCACAGAGCCGTACGGTACAGACTTGTAAATGGCATAACCCTCTTTAGCTGCAACATAAGGGGCATCATTAAGCATGCAATTACCTACCTAACTCAAATATTTTAACAGCAATGAGCTCACCCAGAGTAAGGGAGACGTGGTCGCACATGCCCAGCAACTGACCAAAACAAACTGAGCCACTGTCTTTGTCTATGCTTAGCTCTTCCATCCTGGAAGCACAAAATACATGCTATTCAAATCCTGTCATAATTAGGTCTGGCTTGTGGTTGCTTGTATCATTCCCAGACTTTAAATTGAGTTGAAATGTACATATGCTCATCCTCTGTATCCAAACATGGATAAATAAAGCAAAATCTTTCATTTCCTCTGCAAATCAGTGCATAAGCCACACTTCCAATAACTAACTTATTTTAATTGCTCCTTTTTTACCTACCAGAGGAAAAAAAATATTTTAAAGTTGACTAACCTTTGTACAGCCAGTCTGACTGACTTCTCGTTGTGTGTGGCCACAATGATTCTGTAGCGTTCAGGTTGTTGTGAGATCATCTCCAGCATGGCATTAAGTGAGTCATTATAACTGCACACACAAAAATCAGTTTGAAACGTTTTGGTGGATAAAAATATAAATTTGAAAAGTCTTACCTGTCATTCGTATTTTCCCAGGAGTTATGAATAGGGTCTTGTCTGCCCTCCTTCTGTGCAAGTTTCCGCTCTTTATCCATATAGGCTCCTCTCACAAGTTTGACCCCCAGGCAGAATCCCTCCTTTTTTGAAAGACTGATGGCTTCTTGGATCAGGGACCTGGACTCCTGGTGCAAAAACATTTTTTCACCTACTTTACTAAATTAAACCAGCTATTATTTCAAGAGTGCTTAAAAATTAACTTGCATTACCTTGAGATAACATTGGTATGTGTTCCAAATCCAGGCACCATTTTTGTTAAATTTTTTCATCATTGCTATGGTAACCAGAGAGAGGGCTGGGTTCATGTAGGTGTACTCTGCGTCAACCAAGACTCGAACTTTGTTAACACTGGCCTACAGTATAAAATTAAGTAAATGTTCTCAGAAAAAAGGCTCACATCCTTGACATATTTTGTCTTGTTTTACCTCTGCAATTTTGTTGAGTCGTCTCAGTCCACAAAGTAAATGTGCATTCTCCTTCTCATCTAAACCATGGAAACTGAATGGCTGAAATGTTTTAAGGTTAATGGGTCTATAAACTAGGAAAAATTCAAATGAATAATAGTCAAAATTACCTCTCCGTCCATGGCTCTGACCAGCTGATTAAGGTCATATGGTTGTTGTGCCAAAAGTGTCGTAAGCTTCACCTTGATATAACAAACACAAAATTGTTGATAGGATTAAGCGATTTGATGGGAATTGTAGCTCATTTTTACAGCTGCTTATCTTTGCCCCCAAAAGATAACTGAAGAAACATTCAGTCTTGGTATTTCACCCACACAAAACTTTAGTTGTAATTGGGGCATGGAAAGTGCTATTCAGATGCATAAATATTTATATTTGTTGCCTTACACACAACTCTGGACTGAGCAGAGCAGTAACTTTCAGCTGCATCATGGGGTCTTTGCTCCATGCGTTACCGTGGGACATGCGGACACACTCCAGCATAGTCTCCATGTTGTCCTCATACCTCTTCTCCCTGTCAATTCAATATTTATTACATATGTTTTGACATAACTCATGTTACTACAACTCATAATGTCCCCTGTTCTATTGACACCCTTATTGCAATGTGTCTTCGGCATTTCTCAAGCACTAATTAATAATGATATATTTTATTACTCCCCTGATGTTGGAAAGTCCTGTAGTTGAAATACTATTGTTCCCAGACACCAAGGAAAATACAGCAAAATATCCTACTTGCATAAGCTGCCAGTATTGTACGTACATTGTAAATAATAATGGTGTCTCTAATAGGAACTACCCACCCAGTGCTTTCTCCCAGATCTTCCTCAATGGGAACTGCCAGCATCGGCCTCAGTCCCAACAAACTCATCTTCTGCATGGAGTGGGATATCTCTGTCTCGTTCTCTCCAGCCACAAACTGTGCATACACTGTGGGTCGCACAAACAGGGAAAAGCCTCTCTTTCCCAGGATTCTCCGAGCAATGGACATCAACTAAATCAGCACAAAGAACCAGAGAGTCATAGGCTTTGTAACAAAGTAATAAAGTTCTTCTTGCAGCCATACAGTACAGCTTTCACTGATGTTATTATCACTGTGCTGCAGTGAAGGTAATTTTCCTGAAAATGCACAATAGGGGGATATCTTTTCCAAAAATCTAGCAACATATGGGGATGTCATGTCTACTATAGATAGCAATTTCTTTTATCAGTATATTTACATTGTTTCAAGGCATTGTTTGGAGCAGTTCAGAGATTTGATCTGTAAACTATTTTCGACTGTTTTTTATTTATTTTTTATAATTTCCATGTACAGTGAAATATTGCACTGAAATGAAATAAAACTTAACTCCACTGGCGTATTTAATATTGAAATAACCAAAAATATTTAATAGTTCAATATTCTTGGCATAATGAGGAAATAAACACAAGAGGACAAAAACTATTGATACATTCATAAATTCAATAAATAATCACATACAGTTTTTTCATTGTCACATATCATCACCACTGTTTTCTTACCGTGCCACAGTTATTGACCAGCCAAGGGAAGGAGCAGAGGCGGAAGACGCCCAGTGCACGCAGTAGCTCTCCCATGGTCTTCACCTGAAAGGCCCTGGGGTCTTCAAAGGCCAGAGTGGTAGACAGCAGCTCTGGGTTTCTGGCTGCAGTCATCGTCCTGGCTGTGGTTGTACCTACCTGCCGGAGGGGCAAGAGGAGAGGCCACGAGAGGCACACACGAGACCCCAGCATGGTGAGACCGTATTGATCTTTTGGGATTTTGTCATAAAAGTTTGACTGGAGATGCCTGGGTATTGTAATGCCACAGGTGTTGAAGTGTGGGACTACTGACCCAGGATCCAGGTCAGCCAAATCTGTCTGTCTGTTTTCTAGTTAATAAATGACTTTACATTTTGAACAAACACAGTTGAACCTTAGCATCCAGTATGTTCTTCACTTAGTGTGCCATCAATCTGTGACATGTGGTCCTTTGTGATATAACTACGCTGCCTGTTTTGCGATGTCCAGCAGACTGACCCCTAATACGCTCAACCAAAACCTGCCCCTAGCTTTACCCCATGTGTACACAGCTTACTTTTAATTCAGGTTAGTACTTGTAACATCTATCACAACTGAATCGAAATAGTAATCATCAAATGGCACAGGCTGTGATTTTTTTTTTTATGTAACAGAATGTCCTCTGCATAAAAAAATTCTGACTTATTATGAGAAAAAACATAATGGTGTGCCATCTGCTTGTTTCATGGAGATTTTAATATTTTGCATGGAATGTTTGACAGTATGGCGTTGAACGTATCTGTCTCTATGATGATGCCAGGCCAGGTTACAGGTCACATCTATGGAGAGATGACCGTGCTCAAAGTCAGAATTAATCTTTTTAGACTCATTTTGAGTATTAAAATACCCGTAATTGAATAAATGCATGTGAAACTGTGGCAGAAGTAAAACAATAACATTAGACACCAGAAAAGTTACACAGCGCACCATTAAGTATACCTTTCTATTTAAATATTTAATTATAAAAATAAAGCTTCTAATGAATACATTAAAAGCTTGAAGTTGAAACATTTTTATTTTTCAAATGGAATTAATATTTGAAAAAATAAATCACCAGATATATACAATGTGACCAAAACATCATCAGAAATGAGAGCTGCTAAAAAGTTTTAAAAAACACACTTGAATTCAAACTACAGATGGCAACACACATTTTCTAAAAAGCGCTATCAAAGACATCAGAATGCACTTGGATTTCAAAATACAGCCCTTGTGCCCATGTCCAAGTAGGACCCTTGGGTGGGACCATGCTGGTGCTGTCTGTACAGATGCCTCAGGGGGAGGGGTAGAGTTGGGTGGGGTTCCTGGGATGGTAGGAGCCTCAAAGGGTATGAGGGAAAGGAAGAATACATAGTTGGGTTTGCAGGTGCTGTGGTAAGATCCAGCTGGGGCAGGAGAGATGGGTGGTGCCGTACTATGTCTGGGCGATAAGGGGCGCCAGAGCTGAACTGAGAGATTGAACCTAGGTCAACGGGAGGGTAGGAAGAAGCGGTAGGGGGTGGGGCCGGAGTATTGACTAGGGCCTGGGGGTTGGAGGGAGCAGACACAGGCTGAAATTGTGGATGGGACAGCGAGGGTGCTGCATGCGGGAAAGAGGCTGGAGGAAACGGAGTGGTGAGAGAAGGTGCTTGTGGTTGGTGGCTCAGATTTGAAAGGTGCAAGGCTGGATGACCAGGGTGGGATGAGGTTGCAGCCATATTTGAGAATGCCAGATTTTGCATGTGTGGAGGGAAAGCAAAAGATGTAGGATTACCATAAGATGGAAGAGAACAGGACAGTGAAGGAGTGGGAAGTTGGTTTGGGAGAGACTGAATTGGGGGTGGATTTGTAGGAAGGAAATTTGGATATGTGAATTCTGGAGGGACAGGGTCATTCACAGCAGTATTAGTCATGGGCTCAGTTATTGGTTGATTGAGCAGAGAGTGAGTAGTCATTTGATCTTGCAGGCCAGAATCACACGTGGGGTTATGTACTGGGTAAGAAGGGTCAACTGGGGTGTCCGGGTTGCAGTGATAGGAGTTAGCTGGAGGACTGTCAGTGAGAGGCTGAGGGGAGGAGGAGTTTGAATGGGGTGGGGTGGGGAAGGTGAAGGTAGTCTGCTGCAGGGCCGGGGTGGTGGTAGAGGAGGGGGACAGAGTGGGAGATGAGGCCAAGATGTTGGGGTAGTTGAGGGGAGGAGCAGAGAGAGAGGACTGGGTGTTACCAGTGGGGTCTGAGGAGTCTGGGACGGAGAGAGGCGGGTATGAGGAGGCCTGGGGAGGGAGTGCTGAAGGGGGGAACTGTGATGACTGAGCAGGGGGGAAGCTGGAGGTGTAGGCTGGATCACCAAGCTGAGCTTCAGGACTGTGGAAAAAACAACAATTACTTTAAATGCACCAAAGGGTAAATTACTATTGCATTATTTACAATCATTAGTCAGAAACGCTATCCACAGCTCCTTAAACCATTGTCTATCAAATTATATTGTCACACAAACTATTAACTGAACCAATAAACAAACAATGTTGTAGTATTAATGTGTCTAACATAAAGAAATTAAACTCACTTTTCAATGAGGCCATTTGGCACATCACTTCCTCCTCTGTCCTGCATTCCATTGTTCAGGGGGATATTGACATCAGTCATAAAAGTCTGTCCCAGGTGAAGGGTCTGCTCTGGGACCAGAGTGTCTTGGTAGGGTGTCTCCTCTGACCTGTACCCACAGCGGGGGTCTGGCAGAGCAGGTAGACAGGACAGGCCCAGGATCTGCAGGCCTGAATGTTGAGTGGAAGTCATAGTGGGCTGGGGCAGAGCCTCCGTCGAATCACATGGATCACAATTCACTGTAGTAAGAAGAAATGTTATGAGAAAATGCATATTTGCCCAAAGTAGTAGTTTAGGTAGTTTATTTACCAATATCCAAAGTGTCTGTAATTTGGTCTAGTTTACGCTTCTGTCTTGCATCTCTTTGTCTGAAAAAATATATATAATCACATGTAGCTAAAATATTTTAACACAACTGAATATTTAGGAACAATAAACTATTGAGAATAATTACTTTTTGCTGTTCATGCCATCTTCTCGAAAGCCTTTTGCAAATGGGTTTGAGTTGATTTTCAGCTCTGTAATCTGAACAGGTAAATTTTCAGCTTTTGTATCATAATATTTATTAATCATAATTAAGTATTTACCCTTACCTTATTGTTTTGATAGGCTGTGACTGTGATAAATTGTGTCTCAGGGAACACAAATGTTTGCTGTCCGCCACCCCATCGCATGATATCTCTCGCTTCAACTATGTGGATTCTTGGCTGGTAGCGATGCAGAGAGTGGAGAATTATCTGTGGAAATAAGAATTATATTTCAGTAAAGGCAAGACATTTAGTTTTTTTGCTGGTAAGTTTTTATGCCCGCTTACATGTCCCTGTGAGTCCAGTGTGTTGTTTGTGAGCTTGGCATAATGGAAGGAGATGGTACGGCTTTGCCAGTGAGTCCCAGTGGCGGGCGAGTCCGGGTGGATGAATATGCGATCAGGTAGTCTGGCCTCAGCACCACCCACTGCCTGCCATCCGCCGCCTTGGAATCGAAACCTGGAGTTGTCAACAGGAACTATGTCCAAGAGCAGGATGTATCGGAGAGATGGATTTAGGCCGGAGAGTTTCAGCTTCAACCCTGGAAACATCCGTCTTTAAACAGAAAAGAGTATAAATTCAGGAGTCTAATCAAACTTTCAAAATTGTGCACAGTTAATATTAATTGTATATACCTGCCCTTCTTGGTAATGATCATTTCAGTTCCCACAGAGCTAAACTGTTTCCATAAAGAAGCATTCTCCAGCTCCATCTTGATCTCCTCTTGACCCTTGGTGAGTTGGCTGGAAGCAGAATCACTGGGTACACTTGGAGGAGGCAGTAGTCTCTGTGATAAGGTCTTGGCCACAACATCACAGGCTGAAGGGTAGAGGGGCATATGGGCAGCTGGGTCCCGATCTAGAAAAAAGGAAAAATCAAATGTTAAGTTCAAAGTGAGAGATCAGGGATCCAAAGAAATTCAAAAATCACAGAAAATCACCTCTGTAAAAGCAGTCTCCAATTCTTTGAGATCCTAGACCCAAGCTGGGGTACATATCCACGCTCAACATTTTTTCTTTGACTCCTTTTCCTCAACTTCTGCAAAAGTACATCACTTCTTCCAAAAAATCCTTGTTAAAGTAAAACCAGAGGTCAGTTCTTGCAATGTCTTCAATTGTCGTCACTTCGAATGGCCACAGTGCTGAGGGCTTCTGTTATATAGGTGTGTGTAGCTTTACACATGAAGCCAAATGGTCCCTTTTCACAGCTTCATTTGCTAAGCCTGACAATGTGTATATCTCACCCTCTACCACAGGGCATGCTTAAGCAACAAACTCTCATGATTTAATTTGGTAGGCAACAACTGCTATTAGTACAGTTTATTCTAAATATTCAATTATACAAAACATCCAGAATATTATTGTTGCAGCATTGCTTAAACTGTTAATAGGCTGTGTCATTCTGATAAAGTGTGAAAGTCTTCACTTTAAAGAACTGCATATAGAGGACATAAACATGTTTGTCCTAATTCTCAGTATAGACAGACCATGCCTCATGTGAAAGCTCAGAACCAGTATTCACTCACTTAGCTGAAGAAGCTGCACTAGTACCAATTAATGACTGGGTGCTGGAGTTTAGCATGGCATAACATAACATACTTAACTTGGCTATCATGCCCATGTTTTTGTAATTAAAAACAAATCAGCATTACATGTTTACCTCTTATCTGGGGATACAGATCTCTAAATCTTTAAACTTTATCTACCGAGACATGTTTTATATATGTGGTCTCTGTGTTCAGATCTGAGATTCAAAAATCACTTCCTAAAAGTCCTAAAAATAAATGCTAGTGTTTTGAATTGTACCTGTTATAGCTAGTGTTTACAGTGAGGACCCCCACTGAGTCCTGATGACTTGATGACATGTTTCTTCCTCTCGGCTGCCTCTGTGTTAGGCTTTGTCAGCAGGGAGCCAGGCCTCAGATGTGGGTAGAAAAGCAAAGTTTGGTCTATGCTGACAGTTTCGCCCCTACACTACACATGTCTGAGTTTACATTAGAGAGTAACTGTAAGGAATAAAACATTTAACAAAACAAACACCAACATAATATTGTATAGTGTGGGCAACTTGTAAAAACCACAGTTGAATTAAGTTCCCACCTTACATTTCTATTTTAATGGAGCTTCTATTCTATTAGCTAGGAATACTCTGCACTAAATAAAGTCAGCATGGATTGTTTGTTTCCTGCCCCCAATGTAAATCAATCTTGAGTCATTGTACATCCTTTATTGTAGTTTATCTATCAGATATCAGATATTCACCTTAATGTTACCAATTATTTGGTTAATACAGTTCATTTAGTGTCACCTTGATGGGACAAATAACTTTTTAAAATCTTATCACTTGGTGTCTCATGGCTTTGTTTGTTTTCTTGAGCTCTTTACATTATATATATTGTCAATGAGATTATCCCTCCATGTTTTGTTCTAAGTAGTCACATTCTAACCATCTAAATCGGAAGCTCGGCATTATTGCTCTGGGGATTAGCGTTACATCACTGTGTTGAAACTTAAATGCTGCAACTCTAATGTCTGCTTGTATTTGCCTCTTAAGGGTTTCCTGTCATTTAGACACTGAAAATGAGTCTTTAAAATCTACCTGCTCCCATCCTCCCATTAACAGGGACAGCTGGGGTCTTTACTAGACTAATGTATCACTGTTGTTGTTGTAGTTGTCGTTTAGCTTTCCCATTTGTGTGTATCCAGTGCATGTGACACAACAGGGATAAAAGCTGCAGAGGACAGAGGGGAAGTAGAGGTGTGAAGCCCATACTGAGAGTAAAGCCATTTTGTAGACAGGGGGTGTGTGTCTGTCCCAATGCATTTACGAACAGAGCGGTGTGTGGTAAGCAGTCAGGACAGCAGACCCTGTAACGGTCCATAATGGTGATTGGGGATTTGTTGTTTTACCATTATCACATAGAAGGGGTTGGATACTGTAAGCATTTAGTATAACACTAGCACTGGTCATTTACATGTGTGTGCCAAGTAGTTTCATCTCAGTTAATGTTTGTTTACCAAGGGCTAAAGGTCAGCTTGTGCCATTCATACCTTGCCTTTGATAGATCTGTTAAACAGTGCATCAGTTCTCCATCAATTCATTTTAATAATGTAAAATAACACAAAAACGGAAATTGTGTGAGGATGTATTTAGTTTAATTACTGATGCATACATACAGAGTAACCTTTGCTTTAATACTAATGAGTTATAATGCATAATTTCAAATCAACCTCCAAGTTTCTATTATTATTTTAATGATGTAGGACAGGATCTGTATTTTATATATAAGTATTTGTTCTATCCATTACCTTGAACTATTTTTATATACCTGGATTAATTCTAGAGGTGCCACACTGTGTCAATGCCTTTATGCCACTCAAGGTGCTTTGGATTCTTTAGATTTATAAAAAATAATCTGTGTTTTTGTGTAAACATGTCCAATGCACAATTAGGTATATAGTTCACTTATTCTATGTATTAGCAAGATGAAGTTTTATTCAGTCATTATCAGACATTTCAGACCACCTGCAGGGGGTCTTTGTCTGCCTGGGACACCAGCACAGACACTGCTTCAGGGAGACGAAGAGCCAGGCGCTCCCTGAAGACAGACAGAAACCCGCGCTCACTGTTGCTATGGTCACTCAGAATGACACTGGTTCCTTTGGCCACAGCATCCAGGACTTCATGATGGGACATTTCACCTGCAAAAAGGATGGAAACACATGCATACTGTGTGTTTAAGATTTTCTTGACAAATTCAAAATTATGCTATCGGTCAAAAGAGGTGTTCTTTTTAGAGCATTGACCCATATACAAGAAGTTAGAAGGGAAGTGAAAAGTTTGAACATTTTAAAATAGAAATATATCTTATAATCAAAACCTGTCACATAGAGATCAGCTGTCACGCCATTTAGGACTGAAGCTCCAGATCCTGCACACACAGCCACAGTGTGCACCAAAGAGTCTGTAAAAAATAGTTTACAATTTCAACTGTTAGTAATTGGATTGGATTTTACTTACATTTGTATTTGTAATGATGCTCTAGTGTCCTTCATGTCATATGGTTTCTTACCAAGTGTCCTTCCCACTCCAAGAGCTAAACGAAGATGACTCAAACTCAAATGTGTTTTCATTTTCTCCACAGCTGTTGCTATGGTTATAGGCCGGTCCAAAACGCTCATCCGTCCTTGGCCGTGCCCGGGGAGGGGGTGCTGTAACAGGTGAAAGTGGAAATGTGAATCCAGCAAGGACCTGTCAAACAAAACAATGTGTAGATTTGACTGTACCTTTTCTAACTTTGTGATGGTGAGTGACTGGCTGAGAATTGTGTGTCCTAACAGAATCTGGACAAAGTGGGGCAGAGCCGGATCAATGCACATAAAGCTGACATGGATTCCACTGTTCTCTGACCTAAAGCAGGCAATGCACACACATAATTAACTGCACAATTATTCTGATTTGGAATTTTTGCAAGGCGTAAATGTATGCTTGTTTAATATATGCATATCTTATGACTACAGTACTACACATTGATAAACTCACCTCATTGTTATTGGCTATACAGTAATGTATTTAATAAGCAATTATTGTTATGTTGTAGAGCCAATGTTTTGTTTATTTGAAATCGATTATAACCTGTTGCTTGAATGCTGGAAAGTTGCTGAACTATCACAGGTTTTGAGTTCTTCCATAACAGCATTTAGCTCCTCTTCGCTCTTCACAGTAAACTCCAGTCTGTGAGTTGGGAGGCCGCTACAGAGTGCCTGGCTGAGAACAGTCACATGACCACTACCTGAGGAAAAAACAGATACTTGATATGAGGGAAAAATACACTCACGGGACTAAAATGGAAGAGGTGAGCTCTTGGCTTAAACAATCATCAAATATGCAAATGCTGTAGCTTGTGTGACACTTTTTCCATTCACAGTGACCTCTTACCAAGACCTCCTATAAGCCAATCATTCACGCCTCCTCTGACAATGTCCCATGAAGTGTGTGGGGAGAAAATGGACATTCTTGCCTCCACAGCTCGGATGGCCAATCGCTGCTTCCAGTCGCTCTGAACTAGGCGCTTGATTGGTCGAAATAAAGGTGGGTGATATGAGATAATGAGGTCACAGCTGAGGGTTTCCGCTTCTCCCATTACAGCATCAGTAAGGTCATTTGTAAGTAGAATGCTTTTAATGGGCCGTGGCATGCTCGGTTCAACCAACAGGCCAACATTATCCCATGACTCGGCCAAAGACAAAGGGGCAAGTTGCTCCAATATCTGCACAACCTCCTTCAATTCCATCCTATTATTGCAATTAGAAAACTGAGAACTATGGCACAGTGGAATTACTGCACGTGGACAGGGCAAAGAAGGTGTTTTTTTAACTTTTGTGAAGAGAGGAGTTGTAAAAGGGTCGAATGAAACGGTAGAACGAAATGATGTTTGGTAATTCCTGAGGCGATGATCTGCACGGGTCAATGAAATAAAAGTCTGTCTTCCACATGCAGCAAACATCAGTGAATACGTGACCTGGGTGGGCAAAAAACAGGAAATATTTAGAAATTCGCACCAGAGTCATTGCATTTAATAAACAGTATATATAGCAAACAAACTATTGTTTACATTTAGAAACTTTACAACTTAGCTGTCAACACAATTTAGCAATGCTAACTTGCTAGCAAAAACAGCAATCTACGATTTCGGTTTTAATGTTACTTGTACAGTTATTGCATGCGACGACGTAGATATTTTTGCACGAAAAACAAAGTCATACCCAAACTGAATGAGCACACGTGTAGTGAGTGAACAGCTCGGTGTCAATGATTTCTATGGGTGCCTGTCTGTGGAGTTCGCTACCAGAGGTTCCTGCTCGGCTTCCGTTTCTCAAAGTGAAAGCAAAACAGCAAATGCGAGGGACTGGCCATATTGGCTCTATTATAATATACAATATACAATAATATAATATACAATATAGGAAAGCCTTATGAAAAAAATCTATATTTAAATGAGAACGAAACAATGATGCTAAAACAGTTTTATTAAAAAAACAAAAAAACAAAAAAAACAATACAGACCAAGTTGCTATCAACATAATGAAATTCCCAATGAATGACAGATAAATTCACTGAATCTTTGTATAAAACTTTGTCTTTGATCTTAAATAGGTCAATTACATTTCGAAACAGCTTTGTCTGCCTTAATAGTGTTTTGGACTGTGTAATAGCCTGTGGGCACCCCTGTGTAATAGCCTTTTTGTAATTAAAAACATGCAAATAACTAACTTTTCAATTTTATGCAAATAATAAAATATGTGATTATTAGGCCTACATAACACAGTACATATTATAAAAGACATTCAGGGTAATCCTAGAAAAAAGAGGCAAATTGGGTTTAATAATCCAAGGTTTGCAGCAGGTGGTCTATAACATGCCCGTGACCCTTTCTCAGAAGGATTAGGACTGTCCTCACATGCACACATTCAGCATATAGCTAATGTTTACCAATATAAGGGTCCTCATGCAGTACTCATTATGTGCATCACAACAAGCTGCCTGCCTGAGAGACTGGGACAGAGATTACTGTGGATTAATTCGATAAAGGTCGATGGTGGATACTAGAGGGATCAAAGACGGATCAGGTTGGGCAGTCTACATTACATCATGCTTCTTCCTTTGACCTCTGACCTTTGTCCAATGACTCAGATGTGTTTATACAACATTGCATGCAATTTGGATATAAGAAGCTATAGTCATTTTCAAGGAGAGGTGACATATGGGGTTTGATAAAGGTGGCACACAGGTCAACTTTCTGTTTATCCATTAGTCCTGTTGGCACATTTAATAACACTTTCAGTTAAGCATTTCATCTGCAAAGTGAGGTGGCCAGATGTTAACTGAGCTTCTAGGTGTGTTCCATATTTTGCCAATGAATACTGTGTATTCCATACGTCTGGTCATTTCAAGTTAGGTAAAGTTATGAAATACTTCCATTATTCCTCTATTGAGGATGATGGAAGGCTAAGCTGTGTAAATAAAGGATACATTTTTTTCTGTAGTTTTCCTTTAATAGGGATGAGGAATCCCAGTTTTTAGGCCTTGACCCACACCATTTAATTTATCTTTTAAAACATTTAAAAATGTTTTATTTGTGTGATGTATTGTATTATTTGACCTAAACACTAAACTGCTTTGAATTCAGAAATTGATTAAATACAGTGTTATAAATGTATACTTAACCATAATTTACAACTTGTATTATTAGCTCTTTCCAGGTCACAATCCCCTTTTCACGCCCTTTGAAGTTAATCCTTTCCCAACTGTTACACATCTGGCATTAAGTCAAAAAAGACTGATGATTCAACAGTGACACTTTTATCACCTTCTCTTAGTTCTAAAACCTAATATGCTGATCATTTTCTGAAATTGTAAAAGAAATTGATCACGCAAAACACATTTGAATCAAAAGTATATATATTTGTTATATTTTTCCAGGTTGTAATATGTACAGTATTCAGTAAGTCTCAATCTCTGAACAACTTTAAGCTTCCAAATAAACAAGACATTACTCGCCTTCAGTTTTCTTTTGAAATATATCATACAGTACGCTATTTACATAAATAAGTGAATAGAATAGCTTTGAAATTCTCACAGAGATTTCTTTTGCAGCATTAACTTAACAGTGTTAAGATAGACTATACCAGGGGTGGGCAAACGTTTTGGCTCGTGGGCCACAAAGGTTCTAAAATTTGATGGAAGGGAGCAGATGGAGTGTTTTAGTAAAGCACCTCATAAGAGAAAAAAATAACTTGGGATATGTAGAAAACATGTGCATGAAGTTCAATTGAAAATCATCACAAAGCATTAAAATTTGTACTATTTTAAGTTATTCAAGTTTGGCGGGTCGGATTAAAAAGATTAAAGGGCCACATTTAGCCCCCGGGCCGTAGTTTGCCCACCCCTGGACTATACTGTATCGACAATTAACAGAAAAAGTAGCTACAATAAATAACCATAATAATAATAATCCTCCTCATCATCATCATCATCATCATTATTATTATTATTATTATTATTATACATAAAGGTGACTGTCCACTTTCTCAATGTACAACCCTCCTTGCCTCTTTCTTTTGATGCCCCCCTTTTCGGTCTTGTCACCTTTTGTGATCAGCAGTGTTCTTATTATGACAGTGTCTAATGGGGCTGAATTGAAGGAGAAAATATAGCTTGTTCATTGCTCTGTGGTGCTCACTGCATCATCATCATTCTAACAAACTCTGCAAAAACAACAACAACAACAAAAAATACAACATATAAATATAAAAATACTTAACAAAAATATATACCCTAATATTTTTGTTTTATAAGTAAATTGCAGTATTACAAGCATGGAAGCATTATAACCAGGGAAAAAATTACCTTCAAAGTCCACTGTGCCGTCCCCATTGTCATCTGCCTCCTTCACTATGGCATCAATCTCTTTCCGACTCATGTGCTCACCCATTAACTTGCACATTGCCGACCGCAGCTCCTCTGTTGTAATTTCGCCATCTCCGTCCATGTCAAACTACACAACAAAATGTAATCATGAAATAAGTATAATAATAGTACATTGCATATGGCACCTTTTAATAAATACAAGTAAGAAAATTAAAAATGAGTTATCCAAGTCTAGTCAAAATCCTCAACAAAGTTAGTTTAGTGATGTCACTGTACAAACATTATATTATCCTATTAACCCTTACCTCTTTGAATGCATCTTTAAGCTCTTTCATTCCGATCATGCCAGCTGTTTCTGCCAGAAGCTTTGGGGTCATCAAATCTACAAAGTCCTCAAAGTCCACTCTTCCACCAACTGTGAAAAAATTAAATACGACAGCTTAATCTAACGTGTCTGTGTTTATGTATTTATTTATTTACTTTTAATAAGCATACGGTTCATATTTATGTTTTGGCCCAGCTCGATCAGTTCCATCTCTGTAGGCATGTAGCCCATGGTTCGCATGAGGTTGCCCAGGTCCTTACAAGTGATAAGGCCGTCCTTGTCTTTGTCAAACTCATTGAAAGCATCGCGCAGCTCTGCATTGATACAATAGAGAAAATCACCTACATTTAGGTCTGTCACAATGTCATATTTACATATTTTTACAACTTCACTTATGCTACAAGACTGTAACTACTATGGACATTGTGAGATAAAAAAAACAAACAAAAAAAACAAACCAACAACTATGAAACTGTCAATACCCCACCAGCTAAATCTCATTTAGTTTTGCTGCATGTTTTAAAAAGCAATTTCTTATATAATTTAAATTTAGTAAATAAAATGGTTATGATTAATAATAATAATTTTAAAATATTTATATTCCCAATATCCAACAATCTTGAAAGTTACCATCAATTTCATCTTCTGCCAGTGATCGTTCCTGCAATAAATAATAAATAATAATCAGTACAAAAAGAGCAAAGTTGAAAAAAAAAAAAGATTACACAACCTATATTTATTGTGTTCTCTCCCTAAGAAATCCTTTGCAAGTTAAAATCAGTTGTGACAAAGAGGATTAAAGAAAGAAATTCAGCACCTGCCCTATTTCATGCTGTTTTTAGATCATTAACTTCATAACAAATGTCATACTTACAATGTGTTTCCCTCCACGCAGGAAAATGCAAGCAGCTCCTAAACTCATTTCTAGGATGAAAAATGGAAAAAAAAAGTGTTATTTGCATTTTTATAGAAGAACATATTCCATGAATAACAATTTAATTTGGCCATTCAGTTTTATAAGTTAATGCAGCAGTTAATACCAGAAAGCAGAAAGATTTTCTGTTATTATTTCGATAGCAAAGAAATTTTAAAATTAAACTTTATAATACCTATTAAAATACATTACTTATGCAAAATTAGTTTTTTGCCCATATTTACTTTGAACTTGTTTGCAATTGAACAATTCTTTGGTGTTACAAAACTGCATTTAGTATTACTGTATTTAGTATTCATAAAACCGTATTTTGAAAGTAAATATATGTTAAATAAAACTTTCTTACTTACTTCTGGTGATTTTTGTTCACTCGTCATGCATCATCCACACCCCATGCAATGGAAGAGAATGGACAGCTCAACTTCAGATTACTTTTTATTCTGTGAGAGCTTCTTGCCTTGATCCCTGATCTGTGGTGTGGGACCCTATGTGCACAGGCCAGATGGGATGGTGAGGTTGTATGAGGAGAGGAGTGGCTGCATGCAGCAGCACTGTATAGAAGGAGGGAGGAGTCTGTGTCCGGAGAGGAAAGGATGCAATCACACATTCATCCTAATGAGAAGACGTCATGATGCTCAGGGCTAAACGGGCATCTGTAAATTAGTCTGACATTTGACTCTGCTCCTGACGATGTGATCACTTTACTAGCTGTTCTTATACAGAGCAGCTTTTCGTAGTTTACAGTAAATTAATTATCAGTAGAGGACACATGTATTGGTAATTGAATTTGTTTCATGATATGTACATTTCTAGGAAACATACTAAATTTTCAAGTAAAAGAATAACCTGTGTCCAGTCAAATTCAAATAACATGTCTATTTGATTATACCTGCTATTACGGAACACTGATACAGTTGTATGATCTATGCTTTGGTAAGTGAGTTTATGCAAAAGGTAAATATAGATATTCAGATCAATTACAACTACACATCTGTAATCATGGACAGCAGATGCATGGAAATGTGGATTGCAGATTGTAGACATGCAGATTATGGCTGCAGTTTTGTTTTGTTTTTTTGTTTTTTTTTGTAAAACCAGCACAAATGAACACGTTAGAGCACTGATCCTCTTTTGACACTTCACAGTGACCGCTGTGGCTGTGCCCCAGTTATGTAAATTTGTCAAAAATCTGTTTATATAACAGAGGTAATCCTTCTGGCATGCAACAATAGCAACAAAATAAAGTTCTTACTGTTTGTAGTGGGCAGCTGTGGCTTATAAAAATACTGCTTAGATACCCTTATGCAGGAATTTAACACATCACAGCTGGTAGAAATGGATTATAAAACATTTAGTGTTTGGGCGAAAAGATTAAAAGTAGTAGACAGATAGACATATAGATAAGGAAAGGTTGGATAAATTTGGATAAGAAGATTAGGAGCTCAGAAAGAACACCAAGTTCCATTTTAGGGGAAATTCACAAAAGGCTAAAAGTTAAAAATAGATTTTAAGGATAGAATAGATCATCATTTTAAATCATGTAAAAATTTGCATCAAGCCTAGGAGTCAAGAAGTGTAATCCATACACAGGATGTAAAGGTCTGGAATAAACTGTTGCCTGACCAAGAAGAATACATGTTCAAAAAGGTTGTGCAGAATTCATAGAATTCTACACAACCTTGTAGAACAACACTGTAGAATACTGCTGGCTTACTTTTTGGGGTCCATCACCTGCTTGTTTCTATGGATATATCACTGCTCTGCCTGAAATGTTCCACAGTATGCCAGTAAACAGCTCTACCTTCCATTTATTCAAATACAGGTGGATTTATAGCTAAAAAATACAGACAAAAACAGGCTTTATGACAGTCACTGAGTTGCCTCTCCACAGATCTGTAATGTATCTTGGTTTGATTTGGTCTCCATGACGACAGAAATGTTTAATACCATACAGTGAAACTTTCCAGACCAACCAATTACATCTCGATGGAGAAAAGCATTTGACGGGCCCTCCACCAGAAAAGTGAAACTACACAATGCACTTTTAAACTAATTTTAACAAAATTAACTAACGGCTGAGAATCTCCACATTTGACGGAACAACCTGACATATTTTTATAACAAATATAGTCTTGATGCATGTGCATATTTTGATTAACGCTTAGGGGAGCCAAGAACACGAGGATGTCAAGTTCCAAAATCCAAAGAGTAGAAGAAGTGAGTTTCCGGTTTAGTCTCGGCTCCCGCCCCGCGCCGCCATGATGAAGTCCTGAACAAAAACCATCAGACTCGAGCAAAATGGGGGTAACACGGACTGAAAATGAAAAATGCCGACCATAATTCAGTAATGACAATGTAAAGTGGAGCTCGGGGCAAATGCACAAACGTGGATGAACGCACTCTCCATCAGCGGCGTCTCCGCTCCATCTCGGCGTTGCGTTATTTGGTTAGCGTTTTGGCTAACCGTGGCTTCAGCTGCCTGTGATTTCTCTGGAAGAGCGCTGCTGCTCTCAAAGAAAGCTAAGCGGCTATAGCAGCTAGCAGGCGTCTGTCAGAGAGCTGTCATTTCAATTGACTGGCACATACCCATGTCAAGTTCTGCAGACGCGCTAGTTGTGCATTTGACTGTGGGCACAAGGATGGAGAGGGATTCGAGTGAAAACATCGGCAGTCACAATGTGGTTTATTCTTGTTGAATAGACCCCACCAGCGCCGAGGAGAGGGGAGTGAGACCAATATTTTCCTACCAGGCCAGTCAGCTAGCTCATTGCTAGCTACAGTGGATCCCAAAAGCCACGGTAAGACATGTTATAAATCATTTAGTGCACTATGGCAAGCAAATGCTCTTCTTCCTCCCAGGTTTATGTAGAATGGTCAGCTAGCTTTTTGAGCTCCGCTATTTGCAGGGCTTGGTTTCATTGACATTGACATGTAGTCTTGTTGTTGGCCTGAAGCCTGAACGTTCAACCAGCCTTGAGATGTTGTCTGCAGCAGAATACATTGAGCATTTTGTCGGTGTACAAAAGCAAATATAGCCTAATTGACCACCCAAGTGCAAACCCTCCTCAGCCTTTCTCAGATAAAATTGCTGTAGAAGAGGTGTCGCTGCTGCCAACCCCACAAAATACACAAATTAATTCCTTGTGTTGGCTGAGGCATTCCATCTCTAATGGATGTTTAATGGATGATCTTTCTGCAATTCATACACTAAAATACTGAAACTAGTGGTGTTTTTGCACCAGGAACTGGTTCCTTCCTCTCGGTTACTAAAAACAGAAATGGCCTATGTTGTGTTTAAATATTACACACTTATACATGTAGAACATTAACATGGTCATGTTTTCTGTTATGTTAAAAATATGCATTACACCTGCTCCTAAATTGATGACTGCCAGTGTTTTAAAAGTGCTAATGATGCATTGCTTATTGCATTGGAGCAGTCTTTATGGTCATAGCATTGCCGCTTGGATAATAATTCATGGCAGATTGCTGGATTAACAATTATATGTTGTGTTAATGTTGTCTGGCCACACTTTCCCAGGCGCTGGCCATGCCGTCGAGTGTACGGGCCGGGAGCCTGAAGGACCCGGAGGTGGCTGAGCTGTTCTGCAGGGAGGACCCTGAGAAGCTCTTCACAGACCTGCGGGAAATTGGCCATGGGAGCTTTGGGGCAGTCTACTTTGTAAGTAGTTATCTGCCAGTCTATTTATCTACTTTATACTAACATCAATAATTGTCTGATATATTTTGATTGAGTATGGTACCAAGTTTCTTGATTGTATATTTTTGGACTCATTTTACATTTAATCTGGTTTGTCTCAAAATACTTACATATGATGTGATGACATAGTCAAAAATGTCATAATAATTACATCATATAATAACTATGGTAATTTTTGTGTTTTATGAGTAAAAGAAAATGTATACACTTTAGTAGTATTATTTATAAAATGGTTTGTCAAATCACATTGGGCTTATTTGACAAAAGAACAGAAACACATGGGGTATATGTGCATAATGACATTGTATGCATGTTTCATTGTTATTAGGCCCATGACATCCGGACCAATGAGGTGGTGGCCATCAAAAAGATGTCCTACAGTGGCAAGCAGTCCAATGAGGTTCCGTAACATTTTATTTTAACTGATACTTTCCACAGTCTTATCAGACAGCCAATTAATATCTTGTTTTATCCCAGAAATGGCAAGACATCATCAAAGAAGTGAAGTTCCTCCAGAAGCTGCGGCACCCCAACACTGTGGAGTACCGAGGCTGCTACCTGAAAGAGCATACTGCATGGGTATGTGTTCATAATCTGTTTCACAACCTCAATTTGATTACTTCACTTGTAAAAAAATTTCCCTTCACAATTATAGTAATATACAGATTATACTGTAAAAACCTATAAGGGTATACATTATCTTTTATAAAACAATTGATATAAATAAAAATCCTCTCACATGCAAATTAAAGTGGACTCTATTGTTAAGCTTTCTCTGACATATATCTTCTGTGTAGCTGGTGATGGAGTACTGCCTGGGCTCAGCGTCTGACCTTTTAGAAGGTAAAGAGAATATCAAAGTAAATCGATGACCATTTCCCTTTGTTCACACATTGTAACTTATGCTGTTGTTTTCTATTCCCACAGTTCACAAGAAACCCCTTCAGGAAGTTGAAATTGCTGCCATCATCCATGGTGCACTGCAGGGCCTGGTGTATCTTCATTCTCACAACATGATTCATAGGTAGGCCTGGTTCTCTCTACTGTGGCCCTCCCCCACATTTGAATCAGAGGGCTGCATTACAATCATGAAAATGTAACACATTTTAGTCTGTTTAGTTACATACTTCCTTTCCTTTAATTGTTTTTCAGGGATGTGAAAGCAGGAAACATCTTGCTAACAGAGCCAGGCCAGGTTAAACTGGGAGACTTTGGATCTGCCTCCATAGTTGCTCCTGCCAATTCCTTTGTGGGGACACCTTACTGGTGAGATGTGAATTTGAACATAACATGGGACTAAAAAGTACAGCTGTGGCACTGAAAGCCAAGGAGTCATTTTCACCTTCGTATTTAGTACGCTTACATATGGTTGGACTTGCTTATCCAAACTTCAGCTACAGAAATAATTTTATTGAAATTGCTAAAAGTACTTCTTAACCTTTACTCCATTTACCATGTGAAAAGATCTTTTCCCATAAAATCCTTGTATGCAATCTAATGTCTTTGATCTTGTCTGTGTGGTATAGATGTGAGGCTTTCCATCTATGATACATGATGGAGAAAAAAGATCAAAGTTAACATTGTTTTTTGCAGGATGGCTCCCGAAGTAATCCTGGCCATGGACGAGGGTCAGTACGATGGAAAGGTGGATGTGTGGTCACTTGGCATTACCTGCATAGAGCTGGGTAAATATTCAATATTTAGTAACATAGACTATAATGCTATTGTTGTTTTCAGTGATGGCCTTTGTCTGTATCCATTTATCTCTCTCTTTTGTGGTTGGTCACTGTACAGCTGAAAGGAAGCCTCCTCTGTTCAACATGAATGCCATGAGTGCCTTATACCACATCGCCCAGAATGAGAGCCCTGTGTTGCAGTCAAATCACTGGTGAGAGCAATTGAAATTGCATTCCTCTGGATGATAATATTTTAAACTTACAGGGCTTAAATGTAAAATGTAAAACCTACGTTTATTTTTTAGGTCAGACTACTTCCGCAATTTTGTGGATTCCTGTTTGCAGAAACTTGTCCCAGACAGACCTACCTCTGATGTGCTGCTCAAGGTATCATGGTTCGCAAAACATTAAACGAAGCTGTACATTTCTTTTAACAATAAAGACTTAATAATACCTTAATAAAAACTTTATAACTTTGGTGATAGGATAATTTCATATCAAACTATGTCTGGAAATGACATAGTTTAGAAAACAGTCTGGAAAACATAAAACTTCTTTGTTTTATGTTTATTGTAATAAACATTGGTTTGTGACATAAGCTAAGAAAATCACAAAAAGTTATCTAAGCTGTTTTTTTTTTTTTTTTTTTTTTTTTTTTTTTTTAAATCTTTCAATTAGCACCACTTCCTATGCAGAGAGCGCCCTATGACAGTTGTGATGGATCTAATTGCACGAACGAAGGATGCTGTTCGAGAGTTGGACAACCTTCAGTATCGAAAGATGAAGAAAATTCTTTTCCATGAGGCACACAATGGACCAGCCCCTGAAGGAGGTGATGATGAGGAGGTAAGAATGTGGTGGAAGAATATAGTTGTAATATTCTTCTCACTGTATGATTTAAAAAGTTTTTTCCTTGTCTGGATCACACCTGGTGTTTGTGTTTTCAGGATGTGGAGCAGTACATGCTACGTACTGGTACAGTAAATAGTATGGAGAGCTCTCATTCTCTGCCGTCCATGTCGATCAGCGCCAGCTCCCAAAGCAGCTCCGTCAACAGTCTGGCAGACGGCTCTGACGACAGTGGCGAGATGGCCATGATGCAGGAGGGAGAGCACACGGTCACGTCCAACAGCTCCGTTTTGCACAAGCCTCTGGTCAGCACCAATTATTGATACTAACTGCTTAAATGTTTCATTCTGCTATTTGTTGCAACTGTGGGCTGAAAATTATACTATATATTTTGAAAGTGTTTTATTGCGATTACCTGTATTCTGCTTTATTGGGTTACTGTGTTAGTGGCATTAAGTAGAATCAATATTATCATTAATTGTGATATTTTTGTAGTAATATATTGCTTTTCATAACTGGTTATGGCAAGGTAGATTTTTATTTATTACAAATTTTAATTCATCAAAATGTATAAAAATGGCTAAATATTAAGTTTGAGAACATGGAGAATACTGTTAAAGTTGCACCGCTTTTACTACCACAGTCATCGGTCAAGTAAGTTGATAAGTCACAAGGTGATCAAGCTCTGCAAATAAGTAATGATTAAGTAATTGTTCAGTCCAAAATGTATGCATTTTAACATGCTGTGTAGACATGTATTTGCTGATTACTTCCCACTGCTGGTTTAATGGCTTTGTGCCTTAACACAGGAGTAAAGACATCACAACACAGATTTCTTTTACTCCATTGACTGCCCTCTTTTCCAACAAATAGAGCCATGACAACATCTATGATGACCCTTATCAACCTGAAGTTGACCCACAGCGAGAGGCTTCAGGAGGAGGGGGAGGTGGAGGGGGTGGGAGACGCCGGCGGAGAGACCATTTTGCCACAATCAGAACAGCCTCACTGGTCACACGTCAGATCCAGGAACATGAGCAGGGGTCTGCTCTCAGAGAACAGATGTCTGGGTATGATTACTTGAAGACGTTTTTTCATTTTAGTACTAATATTATATTTAATAATGCCACTTGTCTGTCCACAGGTATAAGCGTATGAGGCGACAGCACCAGAAGCAGTTGATGGGCCTTGAGAACAAGCTGAAGGCAGAAATGGATGAGCACCAATTGAGACTTGACAAAGAGTTGGAGAATCAGAGGAACAATTTTTCTATGGAAGGGGAGAAACTTTCCAAGAAGCACCAGGCCATTTTAGAAAAAGAGGTGAGAAAATAAGGCCTGTTGAGCTTGCGGCTGCTATATAGCTATAATCTATGACACCTGTGAATCATTATGTTGCAATTTACAACAACTTCGGGTGAATAAATGGTGAGGGGAAACAAGTATAATATGGTAAAAGTTGAGTTGCATAATAGGTGTGCTTTAAGGGAATGTAAGCTCAAGTACTTCCATCACTGAGCTAAAACATTAATTTGTCTTTTTCCATAGACAAAAGCAGTTCTGACTGAGGAGAAGAAGTTTCAGCAGCATATACTGGCACAGCAGAAGAAGGAGCTGACAAGTCTTCTGGAGTCCCAGAAGAGACAATATCGCCAGCGCAAGGAGCAACTTAAAGAGGTAATCCCACAGTTCAACAAGAATACTAATATAATAGATAAGAATTCATTACAACAAAAATATATGTTGTAATAAAATCTTTTAAAATGTAGGAACTGAACGAGAACCAATCAACGCCAAAGCGTGAGAAGCAGGAATGGCTGGTGCATCAGAAGGAGTGTCTACAGCAGTTACAGGCTGAAGAAGAGGCAGGTCTGCTTCGGAGGCAGAGGCAGTATTATGAACTCCAGTCTCGCCAATACAAGAGGAAGATGTTGTTGGCTCGACACAACCTCGAGCAGGATCTGCTTCGAGAGGTAATGTGATGCTCCTACAATGTATACCGACAAAAACTAGTACAGCAATCTTGAAATGTTTGAAATGGCATATTGTGGTTTTCAGCTGTACGAAAAACATTTCCCCATTGTAGGACAAATAAAGTGTTCTCTTATCTTTAGTATTATTATCCTTGTGGTCCTCTAGGAACTGAACAAGAAGCAGACGTTGAAGGACTTGGAGTGTGCCATGCTGCTGCGGCATCATGAGTCCACCCAGGAGCTGGAGTTCCGTCAGCTCAGTTTGGTGCAGCGCACTCGGGCCGACCTGATCCGCACACAGCACCAGACTGAGCTCACCAACCAGATGGAATATAACAAGAGGCGTGAACAGGAACTACGCCAGAAACACGCCATGGAGGTTCGCCAACAGCCCAAGAGCCTGAAAGTGAGTGTGAGCCCAGTGTCTGCTGATGAGGATGAAGGTCTGACAGGTCAGAGGTCGGCTGAGTATTGGCCCGAGGAAGAGGAGAGGGATGAGGAGCAGAACAGGAATGAACTACAGAAGGAGTTTGCACTGAGTGATGGTGAAGAGATTGATGGAGAGTCAGAAGACTACAGAGAGGTGGCAGATGAAGCGAATGGCTCTGTTGTTGGCAGGCTAGATGAAGTAGATGGTATTAAGCCAGAGCAAAGTGACATTCAGAATGAAAGAGAACAGTGGGAAGTTGATGGTGAGGGAACAGATTTGAGGGAAGCAGATGGGGTGGGGTGGGGTGTTTGTTCTAAATCACAACAGCTAGACTATGAGGAGGAGGAGGAGGAGGAGGAGGAGGGTAGAGGTGTGGCTGATGGCTGTCCGTCAGAGCTGTTTTCATCTTTAGCTCTAGAAATGCGGCATCATCGTGACAGAGATCTGGATGAGCTCTCAGAGTTTTATTTTCCTGACACCACAGACGAGCTGGAGCCTATCCCTGTGTTACCCCCTCCATTGCCCCAGCCTCCTGAGTCCTCTCTGCCCTCGCTCCTGTCTCACGCCTTGTGCCTCCTGCTCTCTCTTTCGGCTGCGGCACACCCCTCAAACTTCACTCTGCTGCTCCTGTCTGTCTTCCTCCTGTCTTTGAGGCGCTCCCCTCCTCTGCCCTCTCTCTCCTCTCTGCTGCTATCCGCCGAGCTGGCAGTGCTTGCGCTGTTGTTCTCCTACCTGTTTCTTCGCTCATGCTGTGCTCTGTCTCTGTCCACTTTTCTGTGGCTCAGTCTTTGGGCCAGTGGTCTCTTCAGTTTGGGCCTCTCCTTTAGCCTGGGCATTTATTATGTTCCTATGATTCTAATCTCTGCCTCCTTCCTCAGCTCACCCTCCCTCTTCCTCTCACTGTATTTAGTGGTGGTCCTGATAGTCAGGCCAGCACGAGACTTTCTCCAAAATGCACCTCGTAAAGTGAACCGCCTCTGCATGCGTGTGCTCTTCCGATTGCCGCAGCCGCTCTTTAACGTTAGTCAGCTCTTTTTGGGAGGAATGGCAGAACGGAATCTTTATGAGATGTTTCCCAAAGCAGGTAGAAACTGGGGCGCACGTCAGTCTAAAATCCCTGTGTCTATCAAAAGTGTACCTGTGGAATATCAGGCTCACTGCAATAACAACTCTCCTTTGGCCAAATGCCTCCTTTGGATAAAACGTTTCATTAGACGCCCCATTGGTGTGCTAGCAGACCTGGCCAACTCTGCAGTGGTAGGACTAGTGCTAAGGCTGGTGAAAAAGCTGCCCCCTAGCTGTCAAATGAGACTCCAAAATCTAGGCCTCCTAAAGAAGGAATCTCCAAGCCGATTGCCACGCCTGTTGCCTCGTGAGGTGAGAGAGCAGATGCAGAGGGAGAGGCAAAGAAGGGAGAGGGAGCGTAAGAGGAGAGAAGAGAGAGAACGCCTGTTTCGAGATTACACTCGATGGGAGAGTGGTTTAAGGAGAACTTCCTCTGGGAGATTTGTACGGGGTAAAGTCCGACCATGGAGGTAGTAAAACATCAGACCATCATGAGGGGCATTTTATTGAATGTTGTGCTAAAGACGTGAGCACATGATGTTTTCCTATCATATTTGTGTTAGTGTCATTGGGCCAATGTGTTTTGTTACATGATGTGCGACAGTTTTTTACACTTGAGCACGTTTCATCTAGCACACATTTTTGGGTGAACACCAGCCAAATTGTTTCAGCTTTGGAAAACTAGTTTCCACATACAAATTGATGGTAACAAGCTGTGCAGTTGTAAGACTGTTAACTCGGTTACTGTACAACTTGCAATGAAGTTTTATTTTACATTATTGTGCTTTTTGTAAAAGTTCCATATTTTTTTTAATTTTGCTTTTAATTTGTCAGACAAAGATTTTTATGGTTATTTTGACCACTTTGTGCAATTTTATTTTATTATACTGTATTTTATTTCTAAGTGCACAGTTGCTTAAGTGCTTGGATCAAATGTAGTGTTGAACGGCTCCCTGGCTTTTCACTTTCCAAAGCTGTGAAGCTTATGACAAATCATTTCTCTATCACTCCTGAACACTAGAATTAGTAAAGTGCAATAACCCTTTAAACTAATGGGTATTGCTAATATGGATAGAAATAGAAAACCTAAGATTTGTGTACTTAACACAAAGAGCCATTGAAGTTTTGTCAGATATTGTATACAGATGATATGGAAATGTCATGAGCTATTACTATTATTATTATTGATGTTTTTATTGCACTTTATACAAGGATCTTTACAGATATTATTGAAATTATGGAAACCATAAATGATTAAGTGCCTAATCATACATTTGCACAGCTCTTGTTTGAGTGATCATTCCCTAATTCCTGGGAACAGTAGAAATAGATAAAGTTAGATATATACATGATTATTTCAGTGTTGCCTAAATTATACTCAGTGAAGCCATATAGACAATTTCATGTGACCACTATCTATATTGAGTCCAAAGATTGATCGAACTACTGAATGTGAACGTTGGCATTGAGTGGCTGCCTTTATAAACAGATGCACAGTTGCAAGAGCAGTAATTGAAATAACATTTCCAAAACCATGTGTCATTTCACTAACCTGATCATTCCAGGTTATGGGAACACCTTTCAGTTTGGCTTTACATTTAATTTCTTTGTGAACAAGTGAATTTTTAGCCATTCTCAGAAACCTCAGCCAGTCTTTCAGGGTAGTGGCTCTTGTCATTTGGACCCATATTTAAGGACTTAAGCTTTAAAAAAAAAAAGTTTTCTTTTTATTTGAATGTATCTCCCTTGCTTTGTGTTTCCTTCCTCTGTGTACGTTTACATGTTTGTATTCTGTTCTGTGACACCATTTGAGTGTTAGTGTGTCAAGTTCCCACCTTAACTTTTTATGCATATGATTTATGCAATATTCACACCATTCAGCAATTTTGTTCTCTAATTTACAATTTAGTGGTAGACGTAGTGTTTGGCTATGTGTGCCTATGGAATTTTAGAGATAAAATGTAATTTAATCTTTACAAACGAAAAATAAATTTTGTGTTAAAATCATTGTCTTGTTTTTATGATTTTTAGTTTTCATTTTTTATTGTTATTTTTTTTTATCAAGTTTTTATTGCTTTTTCATTTTGTTGTTTCCCTGTTACACACCTTTTTGTGTTGTCTTCCCTCCTCACCATCCATCAAAATAACACAAGCAGCTTTTGATTTAAGCATAACTGTAAGTATAACCCCATATTAATTACATGAATGTCCTGTGTTGTACATTAACTAATGTAGGACCAGTGTGTAACATTAACTCAAGTGTAGACCCTGTAGAGATTTAGCCTTGTTAAATTAGTGATGTGAATAGTAGCAAAAGAATGCAGAGCTCTCCATTCATTGCCATTGTTGGCACTGTACCAGTGAAATCTTAAATTTCAAATTTAGCAACGCACAGAAAAGTTTGAAATATGTTTTACACATTAAAATAATGCTAGCCTCAGCAGGCTTAGCTCAGCTGCATCATCTCTCCTCTCTTTCCTCAGTCAAAAGAACTCCAAATTAAGCGGCAGTTCCAGGACACATGCAAGATCCAGACGCGCCAGTACAAGGCGCTGAGGAACCACCTGCTGGAGAATACACCCAAGGCCGACCACAAAGCCGTGCTGAAGCGCCTCAAAGATGAACAGACTCGTAAGCTGGCCATCCTGGCTGAGCAGTATGACCACTCCATCAATGACATGCTGTCCACTCAGGCTGTGAGTAAGGCAAGGAGTCGTCGTTCCTTTCACACTCGCACCACACAGCACTGTCTGGCCCGGGACCGTCACCCACCTGCCTGTCCGACTGCACCCTGTTTGCCCCTCAGCCAGCACCCTCTTGGGCCCTCTGTCGAAATACATGGAAGCACCATTCAAAGGACCCTCATGATTTCCCTAAATGTCTCATGCCATGTGTGCTGTGGCCCATATTGCATAAATATATTTATTTTAGGGCTGCAACAATTAATCGGGTAAATAATTTATAACACATTTTAGCAATAATTGCAATTAATTTTGTAATTGGCTGAATAGTAATTATTAAACAGGTTAGAGCTGAAATTCAATGAATAAAATTGTTAATATGTTATAGAATATAATAATTATATTTTTTGTAGCCCTAATTTATATATTTTACGTTACAAAACATTTACAGTAGGTGACTCAAAAGTGAAACCAAAACACTTTCATTCAGCAAATGGACACATTTATATTTAAACTTTATAAATGAATGAGAACTTTGCACATCAGTTTCTTGAAATGGGTGCATACATTTTTATGCCTTAGCCCTAAGGCTTTAGTTTAAAAAAAAAATTAAGAATATAGTTGACAATATTACCTGTATGCGAGCCTAGTGGTAAGAATAATGTATTGTCCCTTATAAATATTATTCTTGTACCTTTTATGATTCATTATATGATTAAATATATTAAATGCCATAAATTTCAGAACTCACAAATTACACTAATTTGACCTGTTCCACTGCCTGTTCTCATGTGCTTTCCCTTTTCTCTTCAACCCTGTGCATACAGTTTTAAGCATGTATTCTTAAACTTCAGCTGCCTTCCTCACATGCTCCGTGTGCTTTTTCCCTTTTAGCTCCGGCTGGATGAGACCCAAGAAGCCGAGTATAAGGTTCTCAGGATGCAGTTGCAACAGGAACTGGAGCTGCTGAACGCTTACCAGAGTAAAATCAAGATCCATACAGACACTCAGCATGAGAGAGAGGTGAAAGACCTGGAGCAGAGGGTGTCCATCCGCCGTGCCCTGCTAGAACAAAGGGTTAGCCAACATTCATGCTAATCTATCCATACACACACAGCAAGAGTATATAGCGAGCCAGCAAACTCATCATCACAAGTTATTGTTTGCTGTTTACACTTAGTGGATATAAATGGCAGAATATTATAATAGATAAATAACTCTTCTTCCATCTCTTTTTTTTTTAGATTGAGGAAGAGATGCTGTCTTTGCAAAATGAGCGCTCTGAAAGAATCCGCACTCTCCTGGAACGGCAGGCCAGTGAGATAGAGGCCTTTGATTCAGAGAGCTTGCGTCTAGGCTTTACCAACATGGCTCTGTCTGGGATGCCTGGTGATGCTTATTCCAAACAAGGATACTCCAATGCCCCTCCCTCTGGATCCCGATCAGGAGGCCACTGGAGCCACGGCCTGCACCCCCAGAACTCCTCTGCACAGCCACCACAACACTCGCGACGCAGCCACAACAGCGGCAGCGGGGGAGGAGAGCGCAGGAGCGAGTCTTCCTCCCACGCCCTGGCCCTGGCTTTGGGCAGAGAGGGGAGAGAAGTGCACCATTCATCTCGCTCTTCAGCCTCCTCCTCTTCGTCATCCTCGTCGTCATCCTCGCACCATCAGCGCCACCAGCTGCCTCAGCACTACCATCATCAGAGCACACCACAGCTGTACCGTGAGCGGGAGAGGGATCGCGAACGTGAGCGTGAGAAGGAGAGGGAATGGGGAGCACACCCGCACCCCGTGCCCTTCTCCCACCACCTGCCCTCGCGCTCTTCCTCACAATCTCTGGCCATGCTCCCACCTCCACCACCTGCTCCTCCCTCCATTTCTGGGCCGTCCTCCTCTTCATCATCCTCCTCTTCGTCACAGGGGGGTATGTATGGTGGTGTAGGGGGTAGTGGGGGCCTGGGAGTGCGTGGTGCTCCTAGTTTGATGGCTCTTAGGAACAGCCCCCAGCCACTGAGGAGGACGGCCTCAGGTGGGGGTCCCGGGGGCGCAGGTGGCAGTGATGGAGTCTTGAGCCGAAGCACCTCTGTCACCTCTCACATCTCAAACGGCTCCCACCTGTCTTATTCCTAAACAGCCCTATGAGCAGGAGTGGGTGCATGAAGACGGTAGCACTCACTTTTCACATCTTCTATCTGTCCCTGACCAAATGAGGTATAATATTTGAGGTGCTCACTGCAAAGCCAATAGGACTGAGTGTCACAATTTTCAAGGTACACGGGAGATTGCTCTGATTCATAGTTTGTGCTGCATGGGCCCAAAACATGGTAGTTTGTAATTTGGCCATGCAGTGAGCACTCTCGTAACATTTCATCTTAAAGGCACACATAGTGAAGACTTGATGATGACAGACTGAAACATATGTGACCTGCTCATTTAGACTCAGGGGGAGAGAGGTGTTCTTCCATTCTCTACACTACTTAGTCAGAAATGGAAAACTTGTGACCATCTGTGAGTAATTTTGAGTGAGCTTAGATGAAGAGGTTTGTGTTTACTGTTTTGATCTCATCACCTGTATAAAAAGGTCTTTGCCTTTTGTCGCAGAGCATGGAGAGTTGTGGGCAGATATGTCTTCTATGATGTTCTTTGCTGGAATGGAGAAAGACTAAGAACACAACGACGGAAACAGGAATACTCTATCTGCAATGTGTATGTATGTGTATGTAGTATGTAGTGTCCAGATATATTTAGCAAGTTCTTGCTATTGAAGTTCCAGGAAAGGACAGCATCAACAAAGATGACTTTGCAGTCGGTCATACACTGGAGATACCAGGAAACACTTTTTCATTTTACAATATTTGATTTTTAATAGCAAAAAAAACAAACGAGTTGCTTTGCTCATCACCAATGCCTTTAAGCAGCTCTTAAAGGGATGTTGTGCCATCAGTTATATTTAATTCAATGCAGAATGTTTATTGAGGAAAGATGCTGATTTAATAGTGCAAATGGAATAAGGCTAAGCATTTTATGTGAAAGATGTACAAAACTAAAGAACCCTTTTCGGCATCATGACATACTGAATATCCCAACATGCGTGTCTACTAAAATCACTCCCAATGCATGAGATAGATGTTCAAGACATTTGTAAACATGATCAGACACATTTGAAATGTACTGTACAAGTTTCACTGACATTTACAATTGTGTGTCCCACGGTTTTGATCTTTATTGTACTGTATATATTTATGGAAATACTAAAAACAAGCTCAAGTTTTTGGTTTTATAGGATAACACAGATAATGATAGTAATTTTGATAAATCAACGTGAATATTGAATTCAAGATTTAGAGCAAACTCTAACTGCATTTTCTACAGGTGTCAATATTATAATTATTCTTAATGTGTTTGTTGTATACAGTACATGTTCACAGTTTTCTGCAAGCAAGAAAGTGGCCCACTTTTGACCCCTGCACTGGGACAAGAGTTAAAAGAAAGAAGAGCTGCCAGGTGTGGTGTGTTCAGAGTGTTAATGATTATTAATAACATATTATTAATAATTGTTAAGAAAACAGTTAAAGCAGTAAAGTATGGTTCTATTGCCACATTTTCATAGCCACATCCCTCTGGAGAGGACTTTCCACTATTATATGAACTCAGTGGAATGAAACGTTTTACAATTAGCCACTGGAATGTAAATGCTGTTTTTAAATTTTATTTTAATGTCTGTGAACTTTTGTTGGTGAAGATGAAGTGAGCAATCCTAGTTGATAATCTGATTTTTGAAGGTTTTCTGAATTGAGGACTGTGACAGGGTGATGGAGGGGCCTGGACTGAGCTGCTGTGTTTTTGCGCCCCCTTGTGTTGCACAGCAGCAGTGACCGAAACAGCCCTATCCCAGCACCCGAGAGACCAATCAGTGTTTGACAAGGTCCAAAGGTTCTTTCTCTCATACTTCAAATACTTGAAGGACTCTATGTTGTTTTTTATGTTACAAGAAAAAGATGATCTCGCTGTTTGTATGACTCAGAAACACCAGCTAAAGACATTTCCCTGTATAATCTACTTGCTTGGTTGGAATCTCAGTGCATGCATAAAATCCTTATATAAACTAAGACAAGGACAGTTTCTGGATGGCTTCACAGTTTTAGTTGGAACTAGTTTAGTTTTAGTTTTAATTTATTTAGATGGATTTGTCATTGTCGCAGGTGTCACACATGTCAGGAGTGAGGCTCTCCTACCCACCCATACTTGAAGGTGAAAAGAATTTAGAAGGGCAGATGATATTAGAAGAAATTCCACATTGAAGAGAGTCTTAACACTACATTGAAAAAGGAATGAGGGGGTTAGAATTAATTTTAAAAGATAATAAATTGATATTAACACAACAAGACTATTTTTCATGTATTTTTTTTTTTTTACTAAACTTTTTCAAATTGTACATTTATGTATTTATTTATATAATATATTATTTATATATGTATGTAAAATTATATATATATATATATATATATATATATATATATATATATATATATATTATTTTGAAGTAATGAATTAAAAACGGAAACAACAAACAATGCATGCATATAGAGAAGGCATCAATATTGAATTTGAGGCAAATTCTACATATCCTATAAATACATATATATTCTGACACATTGTTAAGAGTTTGAAAACCAATTATTGACTTCTATGGTTCATACTTAATACTGTTAATACGAAAAGGATGCTATTATAATGGAGAATTTGGATTTCTGAAAACATGCAGCCTGCTCTACACAATCTGTGACATCATTGTTCATTGAATTGGATGTGAGCCCCGCCCTTTAAGATGCGTCGATCATTCCGCCCAGAATAGTGTTCAGTGTGTCGGCCTATGGATTGGATGTTTTGTTTGTTTTTTCCCCCTTTCTTTTCTTTTTAGTGGATCTGATCTAATCCCTGTTCCAACCAGCTGGGAGAGAGAGCAACGCATTTAAAGTCGGCCGAAAATCCCAGGGAGGAACTGGAAAGAGCAGAGGGAGGGAGGCGGAAATCAGAGGCGATCCCTTTAAGAGCAAGTGGGACATAGCGGTGCGAGAAAAGGAGAGGAGGGGGAGAAGAAAGAGGAATTAAAAAAGAAAAGGAAGAAAGAGACGGGGAGGGAGGAGGGAGAGCGGGCGATAAAAAAAGAAAGATGACATCCTCGCTGCTGAACGGCCGAGGTGAGGAGCGAGGCTGCGGCCCGGAGAGAACGCCTCCAGCTGGGGTCAGGGCTTGACTCGACAGCGAGGCTTCGACTTACACCCAAGAGGCCTATCGAGGAACCCGGACAAAAAGACTCAGAAATTCTCCAAACTAAGCATGCCCTGCTGTGCTTGTAGATGCGGTTATTACCACCCATACTTGTTATGCAGCCTAAATTAATTTTTCACGTTACAGTTATTTTATCCTAATTTACTAGATCATGGCTTTAGTTAGGTTTTAGGCCAATGTTAGTAGTGATTTGGCACGTTACTTATTACGATTTGTGTTGTTTTCATGAAACTTGGAAAAACAAAAGTGAGAGAGAATAACGCTATTACAGTGGCCCAGTGCTCTGCAGCCTACGTTTAAACAACAGCTGCGTGCATGTAATTGACTGCAGCTACCTCAACGACTAAAACATATCTTCCCAGACGACTTTATTCATTAGTAAAGCCACGGAATTGTCGGTTCTACTGCTGAATGGAGAGTTTTTAGGCTTCCGTTTTCAGTGGACGAGGGATATTCAATGCAATTCTCTTGTAAACTCAATCAGAAGCGAACCCAATAATCTCCGTCGTTGTGGCGCAAAATGGATGCTGCTTGGAGCAATTTTCTCTTCCAGGTAGGTTTGAATAATAGTCGTGTTTTTTTTTTCTCTCCATCGCACCATGCACAAATGCGTATTAATCAGATATTGTTATTTTGCATACGCCAGTGGTCTGAAAATGTCCCTGTTTTCTTAGCATCTCTGATAATACACTGAGTGGTTGTGTTTATATTTATGATGGCCTTTTACTTGCCCCTCCAGAATACTCCCACCCAAAATCAAGGGGATGGGAGTCTCCAATCAGAGCTTATGCCAGCGCAGACGAGTTCTCCCCAAACCCCACCCACAGACCACATAGCGCAGCCTCCCTCCACTGTGGACACTGCTGCTCTCAACGAGGAACCCATGCCAGGTGAGAGACACTCCCTGGGCCCAGCATCAATGGAGCAAATGGCAGTTATAATTCCTTTAAAATCCATAATATTATAATTTCAGAACTACACAAAAATGCTTTTGACCATTTTTTTACATCTGTTACATATTAGGTATAGTTATAATAAACAACCTTACATCTTTAAAAACGAAGCTGTGTTAGCTACATTCCTTGTTTGGCAATGACTGAACTCACAACCCAGTTACTATTTTCACCTTGATTACATCATTTGTTGCATTGTTTGCAGTAAACATGGTATATTATAGATCTACCTAGACAATGACAATCTACTACATTGTATAAAATGAAGGTGGTAATGTTGCTATCCTGTCTCCTTTTTGTCTTGATTTAGTGAAGCCTGTGTCCCGTCCAGCACGTGTCGCCCACATTTGTGCCATTTGCAACAAGCAGTTCAAGAACAACTACAACCTGAGGCGGCACCAGTCAGTGCACACTGGGGTACGCATGAAGGACAGGGCCAGAGAGCAAGCGGAGGGAGCAAAAGAGGCAGTGGTGGGCCAGGTGGCAGCGGTCGTCCCGTCGGTGGTAGCGGTGGGGGGCGAAGGGAGGACGGAGAGGACCACAGTGCCCCTGTCCCTGCTACACCTCTCTGTACCTCCCACACTCGACCCTCCCGATGTGCTGACGGGAGTCCAGCACCCCACCCTCATTAGTCAGGATGGTGAAGGGGTTGCCATTGCAAACGTAGTGGCCAATATAAATCCCCATGCTCCGCCTCCTGCTGCTGTCGTCATGGCCACAGGGACGACAGTACAGGTGGGTCAGGGCTTTGTCACAATGACTGTTGTCAACCCCAAAATCTCAAAGCATGTCTTTAAGCAGCCTGGCCCTCGGTAGTCAGTGTTTGTCTAAACCTGCTCAAAGGTTATGTAGTTTGTGCATGCCTCCTGCTTTGCCAATACAGGTACAACCAAAAGTTTTGAGAGAGAAGATTTCACTAAAAGCTTGCCTCATTGAGTGACAGAACCTTAACATTTAATATTCTCCCCTATGCCATCCTGCATGTTCTCTGTAATTCTGTTTAGTAAAACATTTGTCACTGCATGACTTTTTTGATTTAGTGTGCTATTTACATTTTCTTAAGTAAATGAACATGTTTTGTCATAATTTTTCAGCGTCCAACAAATGCAAACCCGACACCAGTGAAGAAGAACCATGCCTGTGAGACTTGTGGAAAGGCGTTCCGTGATGTGTATCATCTCAACCGCCATCGCCTGTCCCACTCTGATGAAAAGCCCTTCTCCTGTCCCATCTGCCAGCAGCGCTTTAAGAGGAAAGATCGCATGAGCCACCATGTGCGCTCACATCAAGGTGGTGTTGAAAAACCTTATGTCTGCCCTCAATGCAGCAAAGCGTTCTCCAGGTAAGTTATTTGATTAAGGTGCTATTATTGCTGTAAGTAGAAGGTGGTAACTCACAACATGACACTTCCTATAGGCCTGACCACCTCAACAGTCATGTCCGGCAAGTGCATTCATCAGAACGGCCTTTCAAATGCGCGGTAAGTCAATTGTACTTTTTCTTGTTTTAGGCAGACATGATAGTACTTCTTTTAAACACGTTGTTGTGTAATATGAGTCTATTGAGAAAAAAAATATTTATTTGCTAATAGTTTATAGATATATAATCTGTATAGTTTCAGGGAAGGACTTCTCTGATTTGGGGCAGTATAGCTTCTCAAACCAGTACCTTGAGATTGAAAATGACTTCCAGATAGCACTGTTGATTTCATAAGCACTGACCAGAAGACTGCATTTGAGAGTTTTTCTTCCATGGACCACTCCTGGATAAATGAGGGATTGCACAGGCTATAAATTGTAGCTACTAGATTTCCACATTCACATTTTTGTTAATTTTCAGACTTGTGAGTCAAGCTTTGCAACAAAGGATCGCTTGCGTGCACACATGATTCGTCATGAAGAGAAGGTGCCATGTCACATATGTGGAAAACTCCTCTCTGCTGCCTACATCACAGATCACATGAGAGTGCACAATCAATCTCAACACCACGTCTGCCACCTGTGCAACCGCAGTAAATTCTCATTCTTTTCTATTTGTTCACAAACGCATTTTAAACCTTTTTTAAATTCATTTTTATCTATTGCCTTTCCCCGCCAGGCTTCACAACACTGACTTATCTTCGTGTCCATGCTCAAAAGCACCATGGTCAGGAGTGGAAGGACAGTCCTGGGGGTTTTGGTGGGACAACCTCAAGTGGAGTACTTGTATGCCACTTGTGTGGTGTCCACTGCAAGACACCTACCCAGCTTCAAGGGCACATGGGCACCCACAACAGCAACCAGGCTGCCCCTGTCTCCAGTGTGGCCTCCAGCTCAGTGTCTCTCAGCAACATGGTGACTGCCCACCCTGTGTATGTTACTGGTGGCACTGTGGTTGATCTGCTGGTCACAGACTGTTCAAGTATTGCTGTACCTCAGTCACAGAGTTAGCAGAACCGAGCTCTAAGGCCTGTACTACAAAGCTGGCTTAACTTATCCTGGATAAGTTTCTTTTACCCAGATAGACAAACACAGACATTAGCATCTCTGGATAAGAGGTACTACAATGCAGATTTATAACTCACTCTATCAACCCGTGATTTTCTGAATGAAACCATCTGCATTTACAGAACAGGGTTTGGAGGAAGCGCCAGGTGAACAGTTAGAGCAAAACAGAAGGGGAGAGCTGCGTACTTCATACATGAATAATTGTCAGTAATACTTGTCAATCATGAGGAATTAAAAAATAAAATATTGGTATAAACAATGGATTTCTCTTTATAAATCTGTGCCCACTGAATAAAAAAAAAAGATGACATCACCAATGCATTTCCTTAAGTTTCCGCACTCATCTCTATGCACTAATTGGCCACTCATTTGGCTCACAGCAGCTGGTTTCCCATTTCTGATTGGTTAATGGGTCGTATTATCTTATTTGGGAACTTAACCTAATCTTTGGTAGTAGTGTAGTAGTACCTCTAAACCAGGGTTAAACCAGAAGTTACCTCACTCTCAAATCCAGCTTCGTAGAACAGACCTCAGCAATATCATCGCCTGTTCCTAAGCCGATGAAGAGGTTGGAGAGTGTTGACCCAGTTATAGTTTTATGATGTTCACTTTGGTAATGTTTGGTTCACGCTTAAGGGAAATTAAGATGTTGTGAAGCAAAATGAAATTCAAGATCAGCAAAAAAACAGGGCAGTATAAATAGGGTAGTTTGGCCATGTTGCTCTGGGTATTATGGAAATCATTTAAAGAAACATTTTAAACAGTTACATTAACACTAACAACAACCTGAATTTATAGTAATAGTAATTAAGTGGTAAATTTAATCTTGAATGTGTTTGTGTGAACAGAACAAACTTAGTATAATTATGGTATCATGATCACTGAGAAAACTGTTATGCCTTCACCCCGATGCGTGCATAGGCTGCTTTCAGGTCCAGAAAGTACTGTATTTTTTCAGGCTCTCTGGTCTTACCTCTATTTTGCAGTTAATTTACCCTTACAAATGGTGAGTGAGTGGTAGATTTAATAGAATTTAAAATGAGAAAAGGGGTTCATAGTGTAGGTTAATATAACCTGACTATTGCTTCTGAATGGGCTGTTTTTGTAAGGCAAGAGACTTGAATAGCCACTGGTCTTTATGCATTGTGGGATGTACATTTATTTTTTAAAGGTACAGAGATATTTGAAGGTTGTTTCAGGGGATTTAAGCACCTTAAAAATTATATTGTTTTATTCAGCACAGATTAGAAAACTAAACAAATCTGTTGATCCTGTGTTTTTTGCTCTGAGTCTTCCTCTCTAGATCTGGCCATTAAAAATAAATTTCTTTTTATCAGCCCTTTTAGTTCTGACATGGCAGCCTTGGCACCTGAAACTACCTTTGCATGCAAACAAGCTAACACAGCCATGCCACTTATTATGGGAAAAAAAAGCTGTCATGACAAAAATTGTGTTTTTATGTACTTAAAAATGGCAGTTGTTAAGTTGATTGTGCTTGTTGTTGCCATAGTCTTTTTTTTTTTTTTTTTCTCCCTGTGTACCTGTCAAATAATTACAATTATGCATTAGAATTGGTATTACGCCCTTTATATAGGGTGTTCTCTTTTAAATGTTTTTAATCATGTGATAATTTTTCACATTTTATGTTTTGTATTGGGTTTTCCTGTGAGTTTGTTGTCAGAGAGACATAAAACGGTAGTACTGAGTTAAGAAGGCACCGTATTGATAACAAACCCTGGTTTTGTACTGGAGTGCATTTATTTAGCTGTGTTCATGTTTTGTTTTTTTATTTGCAGAGTTGTTGCTTTCTTTAAATTTCTTATATCTTCCCTGTTAGATTTGTTGTATTTTGATTAACAGTCGTATAGTAATACTATATTAGGTTTGTATCAAGAAAAATAATACCTCTTTGATTCTGTACAGCTATCGCAAAACATCTTTCTGCCTTATTGTAATCTGCAACATTTGAATTTGTTAATGAAAGATCAACTTAGTCATGAATTCATTAAGAATATCAATGGGATGTACTGTATTTATATTTATATTTTTATATTTCTCAACAGTATGCATGTCTAAAGGGTATAGTTAGAGAAAAAAATGCAACAATTAAAATAGTCATATATTACTTTGTAGATGAAGTAGATCTTATGTTATTTTGTAATTTGGACAGTTTAAAGTAAAACAAAGAAATGGCCAATGTTTATATTGTGACGTTTATTGTTGTAACAGTGAATAGAAAATCCCATGCCATACATCATATCGTAAATGTGGGGTTCAATTCTAGACCATTCAAGAGGATACTAGTTCAATCAACATCTCATTGTTCTCCCAATGCTTAATGAGTTTATTGTCAGGTACCTGAAAACAGCAATTAACTCTTTTAGTTAATTATACAGCATTATAGAACAACTAACAGACAATATCCACACATTAGGCCTGTAGGCCTTTTACTCCTAATTTCATAATAATTTCAAATCCAACACTTGGGGTGTACAGAGCTGTTTGGGTTCAGTTGCAATTATAGCAATCAAAGGCAAAGGAGAAATTCAATTTGTCAGCTGGACAAAAGTTTATTTTGGTCAAATACATTTCACAGTTCATCCAAGCTGCTTCTTCAGTTCTGGTCAGAATGCTGGTGGACACTGCCTTATATCTGCCTATGGGGAGGACCTAACTGCACTGAGACTACTCTAAAAAACTCAATTTCTGTTAAAGGATGGATTGTCTTTCCTAACAAAAACAGCCTCTTTAACTCCCCTCTCAAACCAGTTCTTTTCTCTGGCTAAGACCTGAACCTCACTATCCTGAAAGAGTGGCCCATGGATTTTAGGTGGAAATGTACGGCAAGCTGAGGTTCACTATTGCTCTCTCGTCTATGTTGGTACATCCTATTGTGAAGGATGATGAGACACAGACACAGGAAAGACAGTCCATCTTCCAGAAATGGAGGCCTCAGACATAATCTCTCTCCCATTTACAACTCCATCCTCAGACCTAAATCAAAACAAAGAAAAAAAAATAGGGGTAGCCAGATCAGGTCCAGAGGTGTGAAAGCGCCCATTATGGGCCTGAATGATTATGCTAATATGACTCCACACTCAGTGCCGTTCAATAGGCCTAGCTAACAAACAGAAATTGTAAACAAATAGGGTGTTAGTTTGAAAGTACTTTTGGTGTAGTTAGCCCCTCCCTGCAGGCAGATATAAGGCAGTGTCCACCAGCATTCTGACCGGAACTGTATAAGCAGCATGGATGAGCTGCGAAACATATTCGACCAAAAAAAAAAAAAAAAAGTCCAGTTAACAAATTGAATTTCTCCTTTGCCATGGATACTACCTGGACGACTGAGGGATTTTACACACATATAGCAGTCAAAATAGACAAACTTTTTCAGAGAAAATTCTTACAAATGTGGTCCAATTAATCTCATAATTTACGTATTAGGGTACTATTTGAAATTTAGGTCTTCGAAAACAAAGTTAATTTCCAAAATGCAGTGCAGTGAGTGATGACATACGCTGCTGCTGAGGAGAGGAAGTAGCTGGCGCAGCAGAGCTCAGCCCAGTGTTGAGTCAACGGTGCACCGCATCTCTGTTCTGACCAGTGCACAGACAGATGACATGGCATAGCGGTGCGGTTGGATCATTGCATAGGATTTGCAGACTGAACAAGCTCCATATTGATTTATTAGTTACCTATATGGTGTGTTTGATCCATCTTCCGTGCTCACAGTGAGCTATTTTTATATTTTATTGCGACCTGCTGCATGCTAGCGTTAGCTCGTCTGTGCTACGCTGCAGATATTGAGGCGGTCACATAAACATGCGGAGCATCGAGGCAGAGAGCCCTGGGACATCTTTAAGTACATCCTGTGGCTGGACTAGGTTTTCTACTGGTCGTTGACTACACTTCCCAGAGGCTCTGTGTAAGTTTGCTTTTAATATCTCGCCTTCAACGTCTGTATCTTAAATGCAGTGTTTTAGCAAGTTTGCTAGCTAACAGATCCGCTAGATGCTAATGCTACATGCTATAAACAAATAAGCTAACCGTGTCTGCGTTCCCGAATGTTTTCTGTGACCTTATGGTACTGCCATTATCTCTAACGTAGATTTACGTACTAGATTGATATTGTTGTTAATCGAAGGAGTTTGGCGCATGTTACTCTACATTTGCGAAGGCAGATGCTGTTATATCACTTTCCAGCAGGTGAACGATGACATTTAAATTTGCCAGCCTTCTTTGGTAAAGCGTTTTGACACTGCCCGTTTAAACTTGGTCAGTTTTCACAAAGGAGTTTTCATACAGATGCGCTTGTGTAGAAGGTAACGTTAGTCGTTTCTTTAAACAACAGTTTTATAGACTCTGTGGCGTAAAAACGAGTAAAAAACCCTTACTAAAACTGCCTTGTGCATATGTCTTCTGTTCAAAACTCCCAGCTGTATACTGCAGATTAGCCCGAATAGACTAAACACTGCAGTTTAGCATGACACTTATTAGATGAGCATTAGTGACAATACCTTAGGATTTATGAAACAATATTGACAAGATATAGTTCAGCTCGTACTGATATTTAACATTCTTTTATTTATTTAAAAATAATACAGTGCATATTTTGAACTTTACTTTCTCGGTTTTGTTACTTGTGCATGTATGCAACCTTCCAAATCTCATACAACTGCTACATACTTGCTCTTGGAAGTAAGGGGACATTAAATAAGGCCTCTAATGTTTTCAAGTGGACATTGCATTGAAACATAAAAACGACCCTATGACATTCTTCTTTGTGCTCAGGAGATAATTTATCCTCCCCTTCCATTTCCCATTTGTTTAGTATTTTACATTTCAACTGCATCTTGTCTTAATCCAGTTTTATCTTAATATGCCATACGTTTAGTTGAGTGCACTTCTTGCTGACGTTGCAAGTGTGCTCAAACCCTGACAGATAGGAGTTGCCATTGAGCTATAATCAATGAGGTCTATGTTTTTACTGGTCTTTCTCACAGAAACGACAGAGCGTTGGATTTTAAGAATCAGATTGCCCATTGAACTCGCTGCCTCGCCAACTGACCGCCTGGCACTATGCTGACCGTTCTAGCTGCCGGCTCTGTGTTCTTCCCAGGACTTTTTCTTCTCTCTAAACAATGCCTAAAGTCATTCCCTGCGCTGAGATGGAGCGAAAGAGATGCCGTCATTGTTTCAGCCAGGTAAGACACAACACTGAAACAGTCCAGAATCTGTTTAATCTTCAGCCTGTCCCTTGTCAACCCCCTGTGTTTTTATTTCTGTTAAATGTATTTATAGGTTAGTGTCATCTGTCCAGGCAGTCATGGCTTCATCAGCTGGGTACATTATTGCTTCGTCTTGTGAAGACATCATTGAGGACCAGTAAGCAGACCTTAATGAGTGCTGTTCCATGTGACAACAACTAATTTGGAAACTACTGTCTTGGATGAAAGCATTCATTTTCTTATTTCTTCACACAGACACTGGTTGACAAGCACCTATATCATGTTTGCTGTTCCCTACTTTGTGTATGACATCTACGCCATGTTCATGTGCTACTGGTACAAGATCCAGGTCAAAGGGCATGAGGAGGCCACAGCCGTGCCACGGTCCATGAGTTCAGCATTGACCAGTTACCTGCGTCGGGAGTTCCTCATGGTGCTGCACCACGTTGTCATGGTCACCGTCTGCTTCCCTGTCTCTGTGGTAACAATCACTCTTCTGATGTTTGCGATTTTATATTTGAAACTTGTCAGTATCTGGGAATGAGTTATTTGATTGCATTTAAGTTTGTTGCATTAATTCTGCTTCATTTGTTTTTCCTTTTTTGCTTTCTACCTTTTATAGTTTTGGAGGCAAGGAAGGGGAGATTACTTCCAGGGTATAATGTTCATGGCTGAGCTCAGCACTCCATCTGTTTGCTTAGGAAAAATACTCATCCAGGTAAGTAACTGTATCAGTATTTTGTTTTTGCATGAGCATGACTTTGACTGGTGATTGTGTATGGTACTTCTTCCTTTTCTGTTGTAATTGAATACATTTTATTTTCCTTTTATGCAGCATTTTCTTTTATACTTTAAACAAAGTGCAACAACATAACTGGTAAATACTATGTAGTATAGTTAGGGCAGTGTGTGTGAGGTGTGGGTGTTACAGCTAAAAGTCATCCCTGCTTTATGTTTGTCCCCTCTGAGGCTCCCACAGCTGTTTGCCTCTGAATATAGCCACTAGTATTTAGGCAGGATGCTCAGCAGATTCAATATCACCCCCCCCATTACCCTTTCTCTCTTGTGTGCGTGTGGCAGTGAGATAAACTTCAATGGCATAAAAGCATTGTAGTGTGCCCCTTACACCTGTAGACAAAGACACAATAGCAAACGTGAAGATAAGATACAAGATAAAAGATGTAGGCAGTGAAGTGGATGTTTTTCAACTTTTAAGTATTAGCACATGTATAAATTAAAATGGCTAGAATCCCAGTAATACAGTACTTTTTATTTTTATCTATTTATACTGGGGTTGTCATGAAAATCTATGTCCTACTTATTCCACTAAATATTGGAATTATTTAACTAGTTATATCTTTTTATGCTTTTATTCAAACTGAAGTCTGAAGTTAATGTTACGCATCACTCAAGTGTTTCCGTTCAAAAAAACACTCTTCCAAAAAAGTTTTCAAAAAAATGACTTGATCATGAAAACAAAAAGACAAATACAATGTATGCGCCAGAAATTGGTGCAGTATAGTATGCGGTTCATGTACTTTGTCATTATAAATTACAAGTAATATACCTATTGTGCTTGGTATAACTGTATATGACAAATGTGATTAACAATGTTGGCTCTCAACAGTCTGTACTGCTTGCCTCTTTTCCTTCCTATCTCTCTTTCTTGACTTCTTGGTTGTTTCTGCTCTCAGTATAAACAACAACATACTCTCCTGCACAAAGTGAATGGGGCTCTAATGCTGATCACTTTTTTCATCTGTCGAGTCCTCCTCTTCCCTTACCTCTACTACGTTTATGGAAGGTACGTCTCGACACCCGCTTCTACCGCACAGTATGATTCAGACAGTTTAAAGGGCATGTCATAGCTTGTCACCAGTGGTTTCCATGAAAAAAATAAAATAAAATCAATAAATTGTATTGTCCCTGTAGGTAATAGTACTATTTTGACCATTACGCCAAACACACAAGAGTTTGAGCTTTATACAAGGGACATGTTGTACAGCAGTGTCTGGGAAGAGACATTGCTGTCTTGTCTTCTTTTTAAAAGAGGTCAGATTGGTATTTGTTGTTGCTGCTATATAATGGATAAAATTTACTGACCCCACAACTTCTTGTACAGTGTTCAAAAGTACTACATAAGCAGATAAATCCCTCTTAGAAGCTTGCTTGTCATGACTGTTGGGCCTGGTGTCTTTCTGTTACCTTAACTCTACTACACTTACTCATACCATTTTGCCATGTAAATAGGATTTCATTTATCTGCTTCTGATGTTGAACTTCTGTTTACAACAACACTGTGCACTAAGTGAAAGAACCTTGTTAAACTGAACTGACTAGTACTGTACCGCCTGGTAGAAACTGGATTTTTCCTTTGTTCTGTTTTTCTCCTGATCTGCAGTTTTATCTAGAATTATTTTGCTCAGTATTGTATATTTGTAAATGATGTTCAGTTTGACAATGCCCTGTCCTGCCCACTGGTTCCAGGTACGCATCCATCCCATTCTACATGGTGCCGCTGTCAGTGCCTTGGCACTGTAACCTTGGTGCTGCTCTACTTATGGCGCCCCAGCTCTACTGGTTCTCGCTCATTTGCCGGGGTGCCCTGCGACTATTTACAGGAACCTCACGCTCTCGGATACCTCCTGGGACATCGGCCGCACCAAAAGAACAACAGAAAACGGATGATACTGCTCTGCCTCAGCCAGCTAATGGCTACAGCACGCGTCCCACAGAGCCTGAGCTGACAACTCACTGAGAATGGGGGGTGGGTGGGGAGGGAAGAGGCGAATGTACCAATGAGTATGTAAAGGAAAGGAAGTTTGAAGGCAAAGTTAGACTTGAAATAAGTAGCAATATAAAGCTACCGACTTTTGCCTCCTGAAGTCAATTTGGCCAGTAGTCATAGAATCTAAGGATTAGATTTCTGGCTATCAGAGACTTCAGTTTGAAAGGATGTAATAATCAAAAGGCATTGCGCACTCAGTATTTAAAGATGTCATCAGGCACTGTGACAGACGGGAACATGCACTGACCTAAGAGGAATCCCCTGTATGTATAGCAAGCATAGGTGGCTATTTCCCTCATGTAGATCAAATGAATCCTCTCTGCCTGGTGGCATAGAAAGAGTAGGATAATAGGAATGTATTATACTGTATGTTAGTACATTTGCTGTAGATGGAAGGCCTAATTCAAGTTAGTAATGAATCAGACCTTCAAAAAAGAAAAAAAAAAGAAAAAACTCCTGGCTAAGCAGTATTTTGACTTGTTAGTGTTTATTATCTGTATCCTCTATGTAGTCACCGTCACTCTAACAAAATGTAACCAATCTGCAGACTGACTCATTAGAAGGGAATATGTCATAAGACTGTATTCTGCTGCCTTATCCCTTTTCACATTTTCAATCATCTATTTTGTTTATATTTATTTATTATTTATTTATATTGTATTCTGAGAGGAGAGACAAAAGGATCCTCACACTGGAACATGTGATGGGTGTACATAGCTGATGTAAAATTGTCCATATTTCCATGTCAGTGTTATCTTTGTCTTGTTTATGCATTTTATGTTTGGACAAGTGCATTTCACGTATTCAGTTTTAAAATTGCAGACAATTAGACCACTTTTTTTATTATTTCAGTGTAGATATTACTCCATTCCGATTACTGGCGTCACAATGTTCTGCACAAAAGCTAGTGATGCACAGTAGCAGCAGTTTTCATGTATGTTTTTAGGTTTAGTGCTGTGATAATTGAGTATTCATGTAATCTGCCTGAATTATTTTGAGTATTAGCATTGTTTGAGGACATGAATTATTCCATGTTGAAGGGAAAGAAAACAGATAAGATAGTTTTTGAGTGACATGCAGCACATTTGTTCATTGCCAATTATTTTAATGTAGCTCAATGAATTTAAACTACTGTATTTAAAGCCTTTAATACTGTATTAAGTGCTCAGATCATTGAGCCATGTTTTAGCCACATGTTTTGTGAATGCACTTGATTACTTGTTTTAAGTTAATTTAAAGCAGCTACACTATCTTGGAAATGGGGGAAAAATGTGCAGTAACCATCAAGACTGTGCCAAAACCTGGACCGCTGTGGGCATGTTGAATACAGAATATCCATTCCCCTCCTCCATGGTTCATAACATACTGCTTTTGGCCAATACTAAAAAAATCAACTGATGTACTATATATTCCACAAAATGCTTGTTATTTATTTGTAAGTATTTATTTATTTATTTGGTTTGTGGTTTGAATGCATATTTATGCATACATATATATATACTCTATGCTTCTGAGCCTTATGTGAAGGCCATATTGTTACTCAAACTTAGCAAAAATATACTTCTCCTGTCCTGACCATGCCTGTCTGTTTTTTTTTCCCATTTGTATCAGATATACAAATAGTATCGAGGTTTTCACTTTTGGATTAACAGGAACACTAGAGGGAGCTAGCGTAGACGACAACTAGGAAAAGATCATGAATTGATGGTTAAATAAAATGTTTTTTTATTTATTTATCTAAAGTAACAACTGTATTTTCATCATACAAAACCATAAAAAATGATTACAAAAAAATTCAAGTCCGCTTAAATTACTCAGTATCTTCTCTGCCTTGGGGAGAAGATGGTATTGGGGTTGCTGTCCCGCTCCCTCTCTTTTTCCCGTTCTTTCTGTGAGTTGGGAGACAATGCTTCTTCCAGCTTTTTTTCGCATTTGAAGAGATCCCGTCCAGTGCGCAAAATCTGCTCTTCTATCTTTCGATGTCGCTTCATGTCTGATAACACTTTGTCCAATCTGGCTTCTCGCTTCACAGATGAGCGAGCTGATGATCCTAGTAATACAAGAAAAAAACAATTATATTAACCATTGTCATTCTTACATGACAGCAAAGTTAGATTTTTAGATGACATTACTACAAAGACTGCTAATAAAAGATAGGGGGAAGGTAAAATTAATAATCTTTCAAAATGTGTGAATTTTCATATTTATAATAAAAATACAGTACTCATTACAGCTTCCTCACCCAATATTTGGCTGTGAATGAATATGAAAACAATCGACAGAAGTAAAAAATGTGTGTGCAACCTGGAGTTCTCCGTCTGTTCATGAAGGCATTTTTTGGGGTTGCTTTTAACTGCTCTTCATCAAAGTCAAATTCAGTTGGAGTTGGGGGCCTGAAAATGTTTTTTTTAAACAGTTAGTTTCCAGTGACGCAACTTCATAAAACTGTGAAATAAAATTGGATACAGACTTGCGTTCTCTCTCCTCCCTCTCTCTTTCCTTTGCTGCTTCATCCTCGTCATCTCGCTCGGGTGAAGGAGTTCGTTCTGGTGTTGGCGATCGTCTTGGAAGAGGCACAAAGTTCATGTCTAGCATTTCCCCTTTGGCAAGGAGCTCATACAGTCTCTTGATTTCCGCTGGAGGAGGCATCCAGTTTTTAGGATCTCCCATTTCTTCATCGCTATAAGCAATTTCCCATTCCTCTGTGTCCTTAGTGGCTTGCGCTGTTTCTGTATTGTTCACTTGCGCATCATCTTTAAAGGTCCCATCTAAAGCATCTGTTTCTTCATCTGAAGGGATAAACAAGATAGAATGTTTAATACAACAAGTCAATATTAATAACTCCCCAACTATAGAGAATATGCTATTGCAACCATTGCCTCTACTACAGTATTCCATTGGAGAATAATTAGAATGTTGTTAACTGTACATTTAATTAACATCTTCGTGCCAAGAATGCCAAAATGGATAGAGTGTGAGAAGTTTATCAGCTGTCATATAGGTTAAGTGGATAAATGTACTGTCACCTTTGTCTTTAGAGTGTGCCGCTTCCTCAAGTACTGCTGTCATATCTGTGTCTGCATCTTCCTCTTCTTTAAATGGATCTGATTGCTCGGTGTCCTTTACGCCAAGAGCTTCAATGCCCTCTCTCACTGTCGAGTCAATAGTCTCAGCTTGCATCATTTCAGTGCAGGTAAACAATGTCTAAACCAGTAAAACACAATGAACAAAAATCTCAGACATTTTATATTAATATATAAACAACAGTCATCTTATGGCTACTGGCGTAATCCTGTAAGTAAAGAAACCATACCGATTTATACACCACTTTCAGGCCTTTCTATGCTGTGAGTAGTTATAGCTAGCTAATGCATAAAAAGGTTTAAATAACCACCTGATCTCCGGCTTTACTTCCGTTTTAAAATGCAAAATAAATTGATGAGTTTCACGCAATAATGCAAGAAAATGCATGAGGCTCGTTACATATAATAAACGATATTGCAAAGACATAAACAAAGCGCCATTTTGAAAAGGGGGAAGAGCTGCAGCGGCAACGTTGCGCGCTCGTGGTGCTCAACCAGGATGCAACATGACCCTTGATGCATAGCTCATCCGGATACACTCCCACCAAGCCAAGAAAGCCACCAGGAGTATACATTTTTGTATAGAGATCTGCGGTCATCTTAAGTTACTTCCGGGATACGTCCAAGCCACTCATGGCAGAAAATAAATATTAAGTTGCAATGCATCAAGCCATACGTGGATGTTAACCATCACTAAACTTTATTAAAAAGATGATATATGAAACCACAGTGATAAAGAAGCAATCAAGGGAATTAGAGTCTGGTAGTCACATGGGGTGGTCAGCGGGCTCTGATTGGTTAGTCGCTGTTTCCGGTCGCTGCGCTCCTCATTTGAAAAATCTTCAGTTAAGCCTCTGAACGCGTTGTCGCCATTATTAAATACGGAGTCTGCAATGTTTACATATTAGAATTTGTAACGAACAAGCAATCATTTCTGGAATATATCGGTAAGATCTTTGCTTGACGACATACACATGTAACAACGCATCGTTAGATGTCTACGGCCTACATTTTACGCTTTTGGGCTTTAGTGTTCTTGTGCTGTATAACATAATCTATGAGGCTACTTTTCACACAAACCAGGCCTCGAGTTTTAAGGAGTCAGCCATGGCTCAGCGTGTGCCTGTATCAGATGGAGGGTCGAAGAAGACATCCCGTGTTCGTGTAGCTGTCCGTCTGAGGCCTTACATGGCTAAACCCGATGAAAAAGATGAAGGGCCTTGTGTGAGAGGCATAGACTCTCAAAACCTTGAAATCATCAACTGGAGAAACGCCACAGAAACCGTCAAATATCAGTACGCTTTAGGGTATCAATCACAGTTATCTATCAAGTCAGAGAGTCTTATTAACTAGATGTTTTTTTTTTTCGTGTTTTGTTTAGTTTTGACGTTTTTCACGGAGAAAAGACAACACAACAAGAAGTCTTTCTTTCCTCAGTGAAACCAATTCTCGCACATATACTAAATGGACAGAATGCAAGTGTTTTTGCTTATGGACCAACAGGAGCAGGTATAGTGATTTTATTTAATTTATTCTTTTCTTTTCTTTCTTTTCTTTTTTTAATTTATTATTTTTTTTTTTTAATAAATATGAATTTAACATCAAGGTTATGTTATTGTGTAGTTACTGAACACCTTTGATCATGTTATTGTTTATCTGGTTTCATTTGATATTTCTTTTAGAAATTAACTGATGCAAGAATCCTGACCCCACAGATTTAAAAAATCTAACAACAACCACTTATTAATTCCTGTTGTTTAATTCTTATCAAAAGGCAAAACTCACACCATGCTGGGAAGCACAGAACAGCCAGGAGTGATTCCCAGGGCTGTCCGTGAGGTTTGCAAATTGGTCCAATCAAAAAATGAGGAAGACGGGTGGGACTACAGTATTGGAATGTCTTATCTGGAGATTTACAATGAAAAAGTAAAATAATAAACATTTGTGAAATATTAAGTATATTTGTTCCTGTCATATCTGAGTTTGTTGCATTTTACAAGGTACTGGACCTTTTATCACCAAACTCCCAAGACCTGCCAATAAGAGAAGACAAGGACAAGAATATCCTTATTCCGGGCCTCACTCACACCACCATCTTGTCCTTTGCTGATTTTGATAAACACTTTGTTCCTGCAACTCTTAATCGCACAACTGCATCTACAAAGCTAAACCAGCGCTCCAGTCGCAGTCATGCAATCCTCCTCATTAAGGTATGTCATTAAAGTCATGTTCTTTGACCATACACTTCAGCTTGCAGTTTGACTACAAGTGGCATCTTAACAGGTCGTAGCCTTGTGCAGTAGGCTGGGATTTGGTAGCTGATGCTAAAATTAGTTCTCCTTTGCAACAATCTTAACTGCTTAACTTTTGGCATTTTGGGACTACACTGGAGGAGAAACATTCTTTTCATAATACTAATGGTCTGCTGGTTCTTTTGTATTTAACTAAAATTAACACAATTTTAATGCATCCTTGTTGCCTACACAACCTTTTTCAAATGATTAGGTGGTGAGAACACTGCATGCACAGCCTCAGCGACAACAGACTGGAAAGTTGTACTTGGTGGACTTGGCTGGGTCAGAAGACAACCGTCGTACTGGCAATCAAGGCATTCGTCTCAAGGAAAGTGGTGCCATCAACTTGTCCCTCTTCACTCTGAGTAAAGTGGTGGACTCCCTGAACTCTGGCACATCGGGTCGTGTGCCGTACAGAGACAGTAAACTCACTCGGCTCTTGCAGGACTCTCTGGGAGGCTCTGCGCACTCAGTCATGATCACAAACATTGCCCCTGAATACAAATACTATTTTGACACTTTCAGTGCACTGAACTTTGCAGCCAAATCCAAGCTTATTGTTAACAAACCATTCACCAGAGAAACTGTGACTCTGCCCAATGTTCAAGGTGAGTATACAGACAAATGCCAAGAATAGTGGATGCGATGACATTATTTTATCACAACATTTATTTCTCTGTCTTTACATTTGGTATAGTTAATTAAGTGCTGGGAAGTGACATATTTTGAACAGCTGCATTTGAGACTCTTCCCCTTAAATGCCCATATGTAGCAAACGTTGTCCCAGGTTTAGATAATCAGTGCAAAAAACTGGAGCAACACATGCAGAACAGAAAAGCTACAACATTTTTTGTCAAATTATTTAATATTTAATGAATATAATGGACATATTGTTTGTGTTTATTTATTGTTTGTATATTGTAGTCATTTTTCTGGTGCATGTGTGTGGATTTACACCACAGAATTGCTCTTTGTCTTTATATAGTCGAAAGCTAGTCAGATTTAAATTATTAAATTGACAGTTGTCAATTGAAAAAACACACATATGTATGCACAGACAGCCATTATGAGTAATATGTACATTTTTATTTATATCAAAAGTCTCAACCTGTTGTCATGGATCCACTCTTGTTTAGCCCCACCCTTACGAAGATTACCCATAATGGCTGCATTTTTCTCCCACCATGTTTTTATCAATGCTTTTAAGTATCTACTATGAGGCAAATTCAGTTTTATATTGATTGCATTTCAGTTTTCCCCATGAGCCATTTTAGTTTTACCATCTACAGCCAATAGGCAGCACTGTTGTGTAATATTTGAGGATTAGTGCAGGTAGCCGCCTGTGACCCTTATGGATGCTTACCATTTATGAAATTTTTATGCGAGCGGTGCTCTTCAGGCTGTTGCTGTAATTCGGCCACTACCACCTTTACTGTTCCCACCTACATTTTCACTTCCAAATCAGGGAGTGTTCCAAATAATGAATGTTTAATTTCCCCTCTGTCCTCATCTCCAGTGAAGCGAACCAGAGAAGACCAGGAAGCAGGCAGTTCTGGCCCAGAGCCACAGAAGAAAAGGCAGAAGGAAGAGAGAAAAGCAGAGCCCTCTCCATCCTCTACGCATTTTCACAGGTTAAATGTCATGGTGTAATGTGCCAGTTTGTCCTTCTATTAACATTATTTTGGATAGAAGCAGCAGTTGCAGTTGAGGAACACAAGATGACCTTTATTTGTTCCACAATTTCAGTGTTTCAAAACAGTTTGCGAATAGAGAGAATAAGCACTCAAAACCTTTATTTTTATGTACAATGTAACAAGTTGCACATGTTCTTGCCACATAAAGGATGTATCAGTTTATCCCTTTTCTTTCCCTAGTCTTGCAGAGCCGTCAGTGATGGATAGACTTATAGCCCTGGAGAAGCTTATGATGAGCTGTCAGGACAAAGACAGACTCACTATGCTTAAAGATGTGGCCCAGTCTCGCAAAGAGATCCAGGTAACATAGAACTACTATAAAGAGATTAATTTATTTTTAATCTCTTGTATTACAGTTAAAAATGATGTACATGTATTGAAATTAAGCAAATTATTTATCAGAAAATTAGCTACTGTTGCTTGATATTTTTTATTATTTTTAAAAACAATGTGGTTAATGGCTCAAAATATGGATGTTTACTATAAAATAAGGCCTCATGGTGTATTTTGTTTTAATGCGCACTTGTATCCACAGGAGCTAAAGGAAAAACAAAGAGAGTTTGAGAGTAAGGCCCTCCTATTCAATCGAATTACCAGTGAAAACTCAGGAATAAGTCCACAGTCCAGCTTTAAGAACAATATAGCACCTTTACAAAGGAAACCTTTAGTGGACACCAAAGCAAACAAACAAAAGGCTGTGGTACAGCCATTACAAGGTTAGTAGTCTTGCTTTATTAAATGTGAGCTTGTGTGTAATAAGCTATGTACTATGAACTTCACTATTTTCTCAAAAACATACTACTCAGTGTTTTGTCATGTTGAGTTAGAGGAGCTATAGATTGATATACTGATATAGATGATATGACTCACGATCACGATGAATCGAATGATGAGTTAGGATTGCTTTTTACACTTCTCAGCAGCTTGAATACATTTCCTTATTGCTGTACCCAAATCTGGTGATAGGTCATAAATTAGGCAGCCTGTGTACACCATAAAAAGAATTGCTCCAATAAACTAGTTCAACTAAAACACAAGTGTCTTTTCTTGCAGTTTCCCAGCTTCAGCCTCTTCAGCAGCTGGCTGTTGTCAAAAAGCAGTCTGTGTGTGTCAAGAAGAAAGAGCAGAAGCTTTTGGGACAACTTGAGGTTTGCTGTCAAGTCTTGAGCGTTTTACTATTAGTTTGTTAATTTATATTTTGGCCTTATTGTCAATTTTTCTTGATGCATTTTAAAATGTTGACTTTAACAGAATCCTATTAATCCATAAATACATTTTGCAAATCTAATCACTATCACAGTGCTTGTCTGAAGAGTCGCAATTCAATAATTTTCCCTAATCGTTAAGCCCTAGTGCTAAGATGAACACAGTAGAAGCAGTGTAAACATGCGATGCACGCTAATCCCCACTCTGTGGTAATTGTATTTACTGGTACCAGCTCATCGGGTTGTTCCACTTTTCTTTGATTTCATAATATTGTTTTGGCTACTACATTTCTTACGGATGTTTTACACACCTGTAACAAACATGGCAAATTTGGTCATTAATGTTGAAGTTCAAAACTCTAACAGATTGCTAGATTCAGCAATAGACTATAAACAGTGAATTCTGTTTTGCTATGCAGCAAAGCCTTAGTCAAAGTCATCTAAAGCTTCCCTTTTGTTTTTGCTTTTCCAACTTTACATTCAATTGAGTCAAGGGATATAGCTAAACATCATAATGTTTCCCATGTAGCCACTGGATGGAAAGGAGAACACCATAGAGAAAGACTGGGAGTCCCATCTTGACACAACAGTCTTAGAACAGTCCCGAAAGAAAATCCTGCAGATACTCAACAGTGGCTCCCTCAAGGAGCTGAAAGGTCTGCAGCAGATTGGGGACAAAAAGGCCAAGCTCATTTTGGGCTGGCGGGAGATCCATGGAGACTTCACAAAGGTATGTTTTTGCATATTTGTATTTGCGCTTACAGCTTGATTTGTATTGTGTTTAAATCGTATTCATGCTGTCTTTCAGGTGGAAGACTTGGGCAAAGTTGAGGGTATGACAGAGAAGAGGTTTGCATCATTCATGAAGGTACCCCTAAAACATTTATTTGTATTGACCCATCAAAACATAAATGTGAGTTAATTTATGTATTATTTTTCTTCTGCTTTTCCAGGCAAACATTGTGAGCGCCATGGGCAAATAAATTCTTTTTTCATGTTTTTAATTTTATATTTTATTTTAACCTTTTTTTTTCATGAATTGTGCTGATATTTTTGTTACCACTGCTTCCTATTGGTGGCGCTCTACTCCTTTTAGTAAACATGCTGTGATACACATTTATTGTCTTTAGTTGTTCCTTTTAACTGTTGTGTGCAAAATATTCCTGCATGGAAACTATCTCATTTTCAGCGCATATTACATCACTGCCAATTTGAATAATGCATGAATTTGTTAATATTATTGTAGTAGAGGATTAGGCATTCACAACTGTGGATGGTGCATAAGTGCTTCTGAGGACAGCAGGTCGGGGAGATGTGCGCCCCCTTCCCCCGTTTATATGTCCAACCGCGCGCACGTAGTCTAGTAGATTTCACTTTTCATTTCGCGCACCCCTCCTCTCGCATACGCTCTGCCATCAGGAGACTCCCATCCGATTTACTGCTTGGTGAACGCAGCTCTACAAACAACTCGTTTCCTTCCACCTCCAAACAAAGGGACATCCCCGGGTTTCTCTTTCTCTGCGCCTGCGAAAACATTGCGGCTGTCGATGGTGATGAGCTGCTTTTGATCCACGATTTATGCACCTGAGAATTGCGCCATGAAAAAGCTAGGGATGCTCCGACTGTGTTGAAAATCAGGATTAAAAGGTCAGTATTTCTATAATATTAGAATTTGTGCGCTTATGGATTTTCGTTCTGTCGATTGGTTTTAATAGGCCTTTTATGCTTATTGTGCGTTTTGGAAGGCTTTGTCACGTTCGGTGCTTCAACCGTGGACTAATTAACAAGCAGCAGACCGCTCCTTTGACTTTGCGCTTCCCCTTTTGTCCATAATATCCTGTGCGCGGACTATCTCTCACCATATTGTTTCGTTCACAACAACCAGCTTTCCGCCATATGCCAGTTATCCCTGTGTACACATGAAATAATAGTAGACTATGTACACACCTGCAGGGAGACACTGGCCACGTTTTTGAAAAGCTGACTCCATCTATCATGTCTTTGTAGTCATATCAGTGTAACGTGCCTTTTCTAAAACGTCTGTGGCAGATCATAGGCGATGACCCTATTGTCCATCATAGGTGTGTTTTGTTTACACTGGGCCTGACTGCTGAAGTGAAAAATTACACAAAGTTAGAGTTAATTAAAGCCTGCTGTGTTAATTTATCAGATGTTTTATTCGTTTGTCCACGTAGGTGCACCTAGACTCAAGTCCGGAGTAAAGCTTAAGAGTAACAAAAAAAAATCATGACGTCTGTGAATATGATGCCAACCTCTGCCATTTGGCCTGGAGATGAGCAGCCGTCAATACTGGACCAGGAACCTGACTCTTTGTCCAGCCAAGCCCCTATTTCTGTGCCATGCCCACCAGTTATAGGTGAACAGCCCGTCAATAACACTAGCCTAGCCAACTCTCGGCCTCCCCGCAGCAAATCCAAAGGAGAGCTCGTCATAGTTATCAACGAGAAGCTCAAGAACGGTGAGTGACTGTTTGCCCTCATTACAGTGGTGGGTAGTTTCACAGCAGCTGTTTAGTCTCATACCTCAAGGAAAGGCAACTTTTGGCACTCCTGTTTCTAACTGCATGCCCTCACTGTCCTCTGTGTAGGTAATGGGATCCACCCTTCAGACAGCACTTCTCCAGTCATTTCCTCTCCTCCAAAGAGACAGCACTCCATCTCTTATCCCCATCAGGGCAAAACCCGCAAAGGCAGCAGAGCAGGATCTATTGGCTACACAGCTTTTTCACCCCGGCCATCCCTGTCCCGCCACTCAAGCATTGCCACTAACCCTCCTTTGGACCGGACCAAGGTTAAAGACTACCTACTGCTCTCCGTGCTGGCCTGCTTTTGTCCTGTGTGGCCCATTAACATTGTGGGCTTTGTGTACTCTATCATGGTAAGCATATTTTGCACCGTGTGGATTATTTTTAGACATGCACTGTATGTAGTGCATACGCATTGGACAAAAGCTGACGAATGCTCTGCTTCTCTTTAGTCTAAAAACAGCCTGGAGCAGGGAAACCTGGATGGGGCTGTGCGCCTGGGACGGGTGGCCAAGATGCTTGCCATGGTGTCTCTAGTTGGAGGGACCGTCATTATCATCGCCTGCATTGTCAACTTGGCTAGTGAGTGTCCCAAATCAGACCTTTAAAACCACTATCTCCCTTTTCTCTGCACTCCCCCCCCTGAATATTAGGACAACATGCTGATGTCTAGATAGCTTTGCCTGCAAATGCCCTTTGAAGCCTTGATCCAAAAAACCTTATACTGTCATTGTTAGATTGATCATAAAAGACACAAAGCATTGTTTGCACAATCTGACACCAGTAAATTGTAAAATCTGTGTTTGCACAAAAAGATGCTAATTCATGTGCAGCACTTGTCCTCAGGAGCTTTGTCAGTGAAATTCAGAACAGATACATCTCCTCTAGTACCTGACATTATTCTGGGACAGCTGTGAGTGACTGCATGCCACAATACTGTGTTGACATTCAGTGATCTGTGTCGTCTGCTGTCCTGTTCTGTCACTTCTCACTGTAGAAAATGTCCTCCGGTTCCTGTACCACTTGTTTGTGTATATAATGTATCGGTGTGAATGATGTCAAAGCTCACAAGACAAGTCTGTACTTTGAATGTTACTAGTAAATAAAGGGATTTATGTAACGGAACAGTGATTATGTCAGTCACTTTAGTCAGGTTGTTGGATAATTTATATTTTAAATATAATACATATATATAAAATTTTAGTTTGAATCAGTGTTATGTTGTTTTGAATGCACAGGCACAGCCTGTTGGGCTTATTAAGCTGGGAGATGTCCTCATTAACTTGATGAGTTGAAGAGCGTTTGTGAAGATGACTTGTGCATATGGGCCCTGGGACTTTACAGTCCTTGTTTTCCTGCTTATATAACTGTCCTCTGGTGTTTATTAATACATCAATATTACACATTATATAGCTTTCACTAATGTGCTTCCTTTTCTTTTTTCATAGTAAATGTGAAAACCTGAGTTTCATTCCTCGATGAAACAGGATAAGACATCAGACCACCTGGCCCACACCTGCACTATCGTCTTACCGCCTAGTCATTACCTGGATGTGACAAATGTACACCTATTATTCAGTGCTTACTAATATTTCTGTAACCTTTTATCAGTGCAGTCACTTTGCTAATGGATGAAAAACACATGCAAACACTCTGCTGCTGTGAGTCAGGGAGGGTTCAATCTGCTTGTAGGTGTAGGAGGTGCAACCTTTCATAATCCGGTCAAATGTTCAGACATTTGACCAAGAGGACTATAACTATAGGGCGGAGAAGAAAGAAGGCCTCTAGCTTTAGTGCCACATGCAAACTCAAAATGTCTGCCAAGTCTCCTTCACTGCACCACCACCAGGATGCTCATGCTCGCCTTGAAATCCCTTCAGTTACACAGGATGGCTTTGGGATTTTTGTTGCTTTGAACAGAAGAAAGTTCAACATTTATAATTACAATGTCTGTGCCACTATTTTCTGAGAAAATGGCTACAGCAGAGGATGATAAAATGGAGGTCTAAGGAGGACTTGTAATGAACTCTGAAATATAAAACTGAGAGGATTATGGAAAGTCATTTCAAACAATCATAAGCTAAATTTCATAGTCACTTTCCGGTCACCTAATCAAATTTCTATTTCCGAGGAAAATGGTGCTTTCCTCCTCTCCTGGATACCACTGTGAACTGCAAACCACTGTAGCAAGATATGGTCTTTGTG